TTACATATGTAAGAATTAAAAATATTTTTGTGTAACTTGACTATAATGCTTTTACCTATTTTGAATTGTCATTCAAATAGCTCTAAAAGAAATTTGTAAATTAAGATCATCACAGACTAATTATATTTTCAATAAACTTTATTGTATTTTCCATAATTATAAGGACTTTTAATCTTGATGCAAAGAAAAATTATGTTTCCAAATATGTCATTAATAGTCTATAGTCGAAACACTTTTAGTCGATAGTTTAAATCAAGAACAAGTTCATCATCAATCGATGGCTAAAACTCTCAATAAAACTTTTTATTTTATATTATATTATTACAACTTAACTTCATTATTCACATTAAAATTGAAGGATGGCAAATTTCAAACATCAGGCCTGGCAATCGTTTATAGTGCATTCACAACTTTGGTTTCGTTGCTTTATTTTGTTTACATGGTGCTAGTCTATACAATCTGGCGTGAAGAGCTTGGAAGTATATCAACACTTGAAACGATCAAAACTTTGCAAATCTCGCCTTTGAACAATTTAACTCTACAAATTATTATAGTTTTATGTTACGCGCAATTCAGTCTTATAAAATTTTTGAATTTCTTCTGTCGTCATGAAATTAGAATTTTACTTCAGAAAATTTATGAACTTCCAATGACGGATGAAAATTGGAAGAAATTTGGAAAATTGTGTTTACAAAATTTGATGAGATTTATAACTTTTACAATGACATTGATTTTACCTCAAATAAGTTTTTATAAGTTTTCAACGAAGTCATTGGCGTTATTTCTCTTGAACATTTTTACTGCTTTGTCTGTTTTCAATTTTTTTGGATCTTTCAAGTTTATTGAGACTTTCATTATTTTATCAATGGAAGAATTTCAAATTGAATTAAAATCAACAAAGGACATCAAATCAGCTGATAATGAAAGTAATAGAGTTCTAATTGAGTTCACTAGATATTATCAGAGTATTGTTGATATAATGGAGCAGTTCAACAGAAGTTTTGGGATGCATCTGACCAGTGTCATAACCATAACAACTTTGATGATAGTTTTTTGTGTAAATATTTGAAATTTGATATTGTATTTAATGTATTATTAATGCTCTTCCAATGATTTTTCCAGGATTTTCATATTCTATTTTTAATCAGAGAAGATCGTAACTGGCCGAGGATATTAGCATCAACCTTCTCAATGATTTTTCTACTAAGCAACTGGTGGAAGATGTCTCAAATAGGAGAACGAATTATTTCAAGGAAAAACGAAATATTTTCGAGCCTCATGGAGATTCACTCATTCAAAAAAGTATCATGATAATCATAAATAATTCAGTTTTATCTAACTAAATTCTTTTCAGATGGATTTTCTAGCCATTCAGATAATTCAACATGATTCTTGTCTTAAAATCTTTAATCTGTTTGTTTTTGACCACAAAATGTTACTGAAATTATTATCAATTATAGTAAGTTACACAATCGTTCTGATACAATTTAATATCGAGGAAGGAAATTTTAAATTTTAAATATTATTGGACACAAATTATATCAAGAATTATATTTTATTGAATGTTCTGATGGTTATCAAAAGTCATAGCAAAATTTTTTCTCTTGCTAAAACCAACTTAGTGGATTACTTAAGAGTGATTTTATTGATACAAAAATTATGCAAATTTTCAATATTATTGATGCACTTTTGAGAGAACTTCATTGATGTTAACATTCATACCTTAAATCGTGTTGTAGATGTTCGTAAACCTGTGAAATTACAATTAGTATGCAAATTGTGGATTGTCACATAAAAAATAAATAAATCAACGAGGCATGTAAGTGAATAAAGCTTTTCATTTCATTACTAACTCTTAAGAGCAAAGAGACACACTCAATATTGTTTCATTTCTTACATCGTTAAAGACAAAAGATTGCTGAAGTGAAAATCCATTTGTTAGGCGATAAGTAGAAGAAAACGGTGAAACATATCTGAAGGGTTCTCTCCCCTAAGCTGTTTTGGAGGCTGCTTGGTTTGCGGAAAAGACGGAAAAAGGGTTGTGAAAAATTAAGAAAGACAAATGCGATGTAATTGAATTCATCTCATGATGTTTTATTCTTCGAATGGGGGAAGTTTAAGCAATGTGTAAACAACGTCTTATGTGCTGCAAGTATTCGATAGAAGATAATTTGTTTTAGGAAGAAATTACATGTTTGCGAAACAAACCTAAAGAATCTTTGATTAATTGGCAATCGAATCTTACCTGAGGCTTTTCTACAAGAGGCCACGCTGTGTCGGACAATCATTTTTAAATTTCTGATAGAAAATCTTTTTGCTTGCACAAAATTCATGTTAAAAGATGAGCAATAATTCTCAACAAAACCAATTTTTAACAAATCATCAAACAATCAATTACTTTTTTAATGTCTTAATTCTTTTCATTCCTTTGCCATTGGTTGCGCAAAAATGTCCTTTTGTAAACGAACACAAAATTAACAATTGTGCAGTAAAAATGTGTCAAACTGTTATCTTCTGATTTTTTTTTGGTATTGTTCAATTCAATTTCCTTTGGTAAACTTTTACTGCATTGGACAAGAAAAGAATTCTGCAGTAAATATTGTTGCGTAATAATTTATGATGCATGATCTCGCCATTCAATCGAATAGAAAAAGTTTGTTTACCGACATGATGAAATGATAGAAGAGGCATGTTTTCTTAAGAAATTTCCTTTTGTTCTTCAAACATTAAATGCCGAAATTCCAAAACAAAAATAAAATATTTTGACTTGTTTATCATTGCCTTTCGTGTTCCAAATCCTTGCGGTGCCCAATCTTTTATTGTTATTCAAGGAGTTTTATGTTGAGGCAATGTGTGAACTCAGTTGCTGTCATAAAAATCTAAATTGTTTGTTTAACTCATGGGGAAGACTAAAATCCGTTAATGAGCTTCATAGAACGAACCAAAAAATAAATAAAAATAAACGTGATAATAAATTAAAAATTTCATAATTTATATATAAATAGCTTCATGCAGATGTTTTCACCTTTTGCCATGCTTCTGAATATGCTGTTCATGGTTCGTTTAAGGATAACATGGTAATAATTTTTTCTCCCAAAAATGAGAAACACTCGATGATGGAAGACAAAGCTTGAACACAAATCCAACCGAAAGAACGAAACTCAAAACGAGTAAAGAAAATGCTCGAGTTAATAGAGACATTCTATGTAATTTCTAAAGCAATAATCCGATCCTTCAACAGCCAGAAATATCATTTCATCGTCTTCTCCCTTTTCACCTTTTATGATCCCAAACAAAATTTATTACATCACATACAAAAAAATGCATCATTGTGCAGTTTTTATGATTACCAAAGCAAGGCAAAGCAAAAAAAATTCTTCTTTGAGTCAAGTTAGGGAAGGTAAGAAAAGTTTGTTTGTTTATGTTGGTTTGAATCAAAGGGCGCGAGGGTTTAAGTCTCTTTTGTTGCCGGGAAGATTCTGTTCATGGCGAAGGAAGAAAATAAAAAGAAATATAAAAATATAATGAAAACATCCCTTAAATAATTCTTGTAAACTGTTTAAGGATGTTATTCAATTTATCAGATGAAATATTAGTCAATGTCACAGCTTCAAATGTTTCCATTATCAGTTGGATGCAATTGTCTTTCTTAAATTTCTATCTTTGAATGTTCAAAATCTCAATTAAGATCTACCGAAAAGGAGAGAAGAACAAAGCGAATGCTTTCATAGTAAAGTTAAATAGATTTATCTATCTACTTAGAATCGGCAGCAGAAACAACGGCGTCGAGTCAAAAGACATTTTCTTACCTTATGTTTGATGTTGTTTGACAACAATTTAGAATTTTATCAAAATAAATTTTGATTGTTTTCACGTGAAAAATGTCCCAGTATGTAACACCTTTCGAAATCTTTTGTTTGCTTTCTGGCCAGAAAAAGTTACACAATCTGAGTTTCGTAAACAAAAGTCATTTGAATGATAAATTGCGCTTTGACAACAAAACTCTCAATTGACAATGGCGAGAAAGTTCCACGATATTAAATGAAACCCTTCAAAATGAAGTTCATTGAGTCAGAAAACGGATGAACGTTGCCTTCTTTTCAAGTGAATGAATTTGATAATAAATTATTGCGCGCCCATAATTTACACAATCAAAAGGCGAACTTTTCCTTCTATTTTCACCACTGTTTGTGAAAACAGCCATTAAGCTATTCAGCCGCTTTACGAAGAGGATAAGAGTCGACAATAAATCAGAAAATTCTCGTTGGGACCCCAAGAAAAGAAATCCAGAGCTATAAAAAATGGTTAACCGAATGAAATCTTTTGCAGTAAGTCTTGGGAAAAAAAGTCTTGAAGGATGGCGGTGAAAAAGGGTTGAAACAATTTTTTTTTTTGCTATCTGATGTCTCTGCAACTTCTGCATTGTGCAACGATTTGATTTTTCCTAAAAAAAAGTCTTTTGTCATTGTGAAGTGATTTGAGAAAGGACATAACAACATCTTATTATTGCTGGAAGGATTTCTCATCTAATCTCCCTTTAGTTTGTGTCATTCCGCTTTATAATTTCTTTATCTGCTTAACAGACAACAAACAACAAAAAAGAATCCTCTTGAAATTCTTTTTCTAATGCATTGACTATGAAGAGAACAAAAAAAAGTTGTGACAATTTTGCTTGAAGCATTAAAAGATTGACATCAGAAATGTTAAGAAATTACTTACATACGTTAAGATGGAAATTGCGTAATAAAGCGTAAGAGGATTTCATAAACATTTCATTCATTGCTTCTTTCAAAGATGTTCGGCTGTGATCTAAGACATCAAAGGTTTTCTCTGCTCCACTTTCTTGAAATATTAAATTTTGATGTTCAAAATTTGAATAAAATTTGAATTAATTTTATTTCTATATCGAGAGCCCACCGAGACTGTGGAGAACAATTCTTGAATCGAACAACAGATGCAAACTCAATTCAATTATCAGACATTTAAATTTTTATTTCCTTTTGTGTTAATTTCTGAGTCGATAAATGAAAAAACCAAACGACCAATATGGTCAATTGACTATGCGACGCCGCTTTAAGAAATTTAATTTATTACTGTTTAAAGTCTGTTCATGTTTTGGTGAATGTTTTTAATTGAAGCTCGTCTGATCTGAATAAGTGTAACAAAAATTTAAAATTCTCTAATATAAAACGCGAAATGTGCATCCTGCTTTTTATCGAGAATTGTAGTTTAAAAAAAGAAAACAAATTGCTTACTTGGCATACTCAAAGTTAAGAAAAAGAAGTTCATTGAGAAAGCAAGAAGAAGTTTAAACACAAAAGGGAATTCATAAAATTTTATTGTGGTCATTTTAAACCCTTTCTTCGATTCCTTCTCACAAGCTGACTCACTTTTTCAACTCTTCAGTTCATTGTTGTGCATGTTTCGTGAAGTTTTGAGGGCCGTTTTAATGGTCAATTTTATTGTATGATGTGTAGTCATCGTGAAGGGTCTAAACTAGGACTAGATTAAAAAAGGGTTAAATGAACACACAAAGCACAAGCTGACAATGAGCTGTAACAAATTCCACAGCCCGAAACATTTGAATAATGACAGTTCATAAAATATCATAAATTTTCTCATCATCGCGTACGCTCTCAGGATGTTTCCTTTCAGACATCATCCGCGCATATTTTCCTCTCATAATATGTAATGAAAAATTATTTTAATTTCCGTTTAAAGTTGAGTTGGAGGAAGAATTTATGTCAAATCACCGCCCGCAAGTAAATGATTGTATTTTATTAATAACTTGCAATGTACAGAACGGTAGTTTAATTAGTAGTTTCGATATTTAGAAGGGCTGTTAATAAGAAGCAGATGATTAATTAAATTAAACTTTTTTTTCATGCATCTACGCAATTTTTAACGTAGTCATAAAATTCTTCATCGCACGCCCTTTTAAACTGAGCGCATGCAATAAAAAAATATTTCTCAGTTATTCTGTCAGTGATGTTTCTTTGGAATGCTTCAAACATCAGCAGATTCATCCCGCAATATGGTTTACCCGAGGAAAAATGTGTTCGAACTGTTTCAGTTGCTGATATAATTATCACTTGCGATTCATTAAAGCGCGTCACGATAAAGCCAGCAAATAAACAACAGAGGAAAAGGGAGAAAATGAGCTGTGAAGTGAAAAATAATTTATGGAAATTAAATTAGAGAAAGAAGATCAAACATTGTTGGCACCATGATGAGGAATGTTCCTCGATTATATTCAACAATGACGAGCGGGGGGAGATGGAAATTGTTGCTTCCTTTCCGATGGGGCGACATGCGAACAACCTTTTGAACACAATGTGGTGTTGATGATGTCAAAAGAATTTAATTACGCGAATACATACACAAGATGTCGTCGAGGGTTGCTAATGAAATTTTCAACGAAATGAAAATTGAAATTTCCAAACTTGGGATTTCAAGATGAGATTGAAGAAGAAGTGAAAAATTATTAAGTGAAGCGGCTTCCCGAGAAACCCAATAAATTGCTATCATTATTGTCATCTTTATGTTACATTTCGAAACGATTGTCTCGTGACTAGATTCAACTTGAGGATTTCTTTTATGTCTTTCAATTTTCTTAACCCGCTATCAGTTGATTTTGCCAAACTTTTTCTATTCTTTTCTCCCTTCGATGTCTCACAAAGAACAACTGAACGAAGAGCGGAAATTGAATAAATGAAAAAGAAAACGCCATAAAATCAAATGACATTATCTTAAGCTTGTTTTTATGTCTCAGTTTCTTTCAAAAATATACAAAAGAATGAGAAGAAGAGCTTAGAATGGAAAATGTTTGTGTGCTTGTAGTCTTTGCATTTTCCATTTATAGAAAATTTCCTTTCTACAATCGATACATTTCCATTCTCTCGCTGTTTGAGTGAAAACGAATCCTCAAACCCAAGTAAATGATACCAAGAGATGCGGTTGAAAATCGGTGGAGAACCGCGATGTATTTTCAGTTGATTTCTATGTCAGGGTTTAGAGGATCTGGAAGATCAATACAAAGTTACGTAGCATGATGTTTGCTTCAATTTATGTTGTGAGTTAAGCAACTTTGAAATTGTCTTCTCAACATTTATTTGAAAATTCTTTAAAAAAAATCCAAGTCAAAACTTTGGAAGTTTTCCCTCCAACCAAACAAAGAAGATAATAGAATTTCCCAAAAGACGAAAGTAGAAACATTATTTTCATTGTTCGATTTGGAAATTGGATTTTCTTCGGCACCATATCGTATTTATGTTGCGTGCGAGTGTGAAGATATCGACAAACGATATTATGGTAAATGATCTTTCCCATTTTATGGTGATGTCATTTAAAATTGAATTTGAGGCGAATGAAGAGAAATAAAAAAGAATCTTCAAGTATCATCTTTACTTATATCGATTTTCATTTTTTCACCAATTTATAAACTGAGAGTTAAAGTGTTTCACATCGCCGAAGGAGGTCTTTGAATAAACAGATGATTGTGTACACAAACAAACAATGAAACGCATTCATCCATAATTTTAATCCAATCATCAACTATTCCTTTTCATTATTTCTCCATTAGCTGAGGCTTCAACAAACAAAGCAAAATTTTATGCCGAAAAGAAGATTTTTGCGGTTCGAAAGCAAAGAAAAATTTTCTCTTCTTCCTTTCTTTAAAAGCTGTCAAAATTGGAAGATCTTCGTTCTAGAATGTTAGACTCAAGAAGCTATTGAACCATCGTTTAAAAGAATATTATCCAACACAAATTATAGATCATTTTACGCTTATTAACTATAATTACGTAGTTGTTGGGGGTTGAGAGGTTTTATTATACTTCAGGCCAAAGGGAAGAACTTTCATTAAGATGAATGAAACCACTTGGAGTTAAGCTACATATCAATACAGATAATTCTAAACATCTCAATAACATAATTGCAGTGTTTCATCATCATCATTATGCACGGTAAGCAGATCAATGCTGATGATGCAAATTGAAAACACAAATCCATCGGTAAACATTGCCTTTCATCATTCCTCGATCTCACACTTGATGGGATCGCATAATATTTTTCTCACATCTCATTATCGTTTTGTTGATGAGAAAATTGGTTGCAATGAAACAATTTTTTCTTCTTCTTTTGTATTGTATCATTTGATGAAAAGATGGAAAGCAATTGTTGTGTATTGAATGTGAATAAATCATTCGGCGCCCCTTGCATGCCTTCTGTACATAAATTTGCATGAAAATCACTGCCGGGAGCTTCTCAATGAATGTTATAAAGTTAGGGATTTATGGGTTCAATTCAACATTTCCCTGCTATGGGGTGAGTTTGCTGATGACATCACGACAAAGAATTTTAATCGGAAGCGCATTTAACTTTTTTTCCCTGTCGACCTTGCTTATGATTTAATGAAGATATCAATTTATGTTTTATGCTCTTTCTCATTCATAAATCCATTAGCATTCCCTTCCCTTCTTCCTGCATTTCATCGTCATCTCGTCGAGAGTGATCTCGTCAAAAGGATAACAAATTTTCGTGTTGTTTCTCATCATTCTTCAGCCTTTTGTTGTTCAATTTGATGTTTGTTGAGTTCTTCCATCATCAAGGTCGATATGGTAACGGTTTTGAATTAATTGAGTCTTTGGCCAAAAAAGGATGTTCTTGGTTCAGAAAAGATTTTTGAAAAGTTATTCGGGGATTGGGAAAAACGAGTGAATTGAGTAAGATGAAATCTTTGAATTTTATAACACCTTGTCTTAATGTATCCTTTTTCAAAAAGCCTTTCTTTAACATGCCATCAAAGAGAATTTTAGATTTCCTGAACTTTTACTTCACATCTCGGAAGGTGAAGCTTACTTATGGATGGAAGTGGAATCCAATTACGAAGAAGCAGAAGCAAAAGGGAGAAAATGATACTGTTGATGATGGTTGCGCATGTAAACTTGATATCATCTCTTAAGATGACGTTTAAAAGGTTGATGACTACTTATCGAAAGGGTTTGAGAAACAAAACAACAAAATGTAGCATAACATTGGAAGAAAACATGAAAATATTTAAAAATAAACTTCAAATTTATTCTTCGAAATTCATCAAATTGTTTAGTCATTGTCGTGACAATAAATGTGAAGTTTCATTGACTTCTCATTAAAACTAAATCCAAATGACAACAAACTTTCAATAATCATTTCAAATTCAAATGATGGATGATTTTTTTTGCAATTTCCGAGACATATTTTAGTTTTGCCACACAAAATCTCTTGTGAGATCACCCAGTGAGTGGTGAAGAAGATTCGTCCATCGATTAATGGTTTCTTTTCCTGTTCAGTTGCCATTAATGGCAAAAATTTCGATGAATTATTGTGTTTGCGAAATTGATATGTCCTTAAAAATGTTTTCTGTTTCATTGACTTCCTTTTCGTACTTTTTTTGTGTTCTGAAAATAAATAAATATTTGCAGAATTGAAATGTTTCTGAATGACTTTTCGCTTTCTAACGATACAATTCAACTTTTGTTGACTATTCAAAAATAAAATCTCATTTTAAACATAAAGATTTGAATAAAAGAAATTATTGTATGCAATTGTGAGATGCTTTAGCTTTTGTAAATGTCCTTGAGTGTAATGAACAAGAATTGCATTCATACTGAAAGGTAAAGGACAATTGTGATACTTGAAATAAAAATTGATTCATAAAATTGACCGAAAATGCATGGACAGGAAATGGCGAAAATGGCAATTAGTAAAGTTGGCATCACGTCACAAAACTCAATGAAATTAACTGAACTCGATGTTATTTCTTCTTGCCATATGCTGCTTTTAGATGTCGACATTTTTAATTGCTTGAGAGGCTTTCAATACAGACAACACATTTTTGACCTTTCCCGAAACTGAATTACTATGAAGGCTGAGCTCGGCTCGAACAAGAATGACTTCTAAATGTAAAAAAATGCCATAAAATGTCGTTCGAATTGAAATAATTGGAATTGTCGAACGAGGGTAGTAAGGCAGAAGAATAAACTGGAATAATATTCGACACTTTGGCCACATACTGAGTGGCAGATCTCCTGCTGTGAAGTCTTTTTTGCGTGCTTGGGATCGTTGGTTATTTTCGGATACGAATTCGCAACTGTTTTTCTGCTTCTGAACATTTCTTTCTTCATAATTTGCGATGAAAAAATGACTCAATTGAGAATTTGTTTCATTTCAATTCATTACCTCAATTGATCTCGTCTCAAGATTTTCCACGAATCGTTTTAAACAAAACCCAATCAATATTCACTTACATAGAATAATTTTCTTAAAGTCACCGACAGGCTGCGAATGGCTTGGTTATTAAGGGCGGCTTCCCGTTGCTTCTATTTTGGCAACACAAATATTCATTCTTTAAACATTTTTCTCTTCTTGTAATCTTTTGTTGGCATTTAAAAGTTTAGAAGGTTGCATTGTCGCTTAGAAAAATAACGCACCATGAAGGTTCAAATTTACCTTTCAGTTTTCTCTCACTTTTGCTTGTTGATGCTGCGATGATTTAATTAAAAGAATTTTGAAAGAGCTCCTGCTACTTCATTATGAAAATTGACCAAAAAGACGATCATGCGGGGTGTGGGAAATTTCGAGTTCTTTTTTAAATATTTTGCTTCTCAATAAATAATCAAAACAAGAAATATTTAAAGTAGTCTACCATATGGTTAACATTCTTCCAAGCTAAATAAAATGAGATCACGAAATGAAACTCGTGTAGCATCTGACAAGCAATTGTCTGGTTGCGTCTGGCGTGGCGACCGAGCGTGATGTTTACGTTATTTGGCCAAAATAGTAATTAACAGTTTTGTGTTTTACACCGAACATTTCGAATGCAATGTGGGAACGTGAATGAAGGAAATGTAACGATAAAAATAGGTTGAAAATGGAAGAAAATTTCGTGTAAAATCTGATGTAGTTTGATGGAAAGATTTGTCACTTGAGACAAGAACAACATCACATTTTATGTTGTTTACAATTCTTTTGTTCACTTTTTATATTTCATTCACAACTGTCACCGTGACACGAGCACGAAATAATTCTCAAATCCGCCACCGAAAGCCAAATAAATGTTTCCATTAATTTTTAATTTCGTTAAATCTACTTAAAGGAAGATTTTGCCAATTAAGTCACTGAAGATTGCGACAATTTTCAAAATTATTTTAAATAATTAATCTCAGACGAAAGTTTTGATGTTTGTTCTGTGAAAATTTATTACATCAACAAACTGTTCGGTTTCGCCTCAAACGAGAAACCTCGAAACTGTTTTCACTTGTTTATTTATAAACTCGCGAAATATTTTTGGAATGGTAATTAAATATCATAAAAATGGAAGCCATTAAATGGAAGGCGTTGATGTGCTTTTTAAAACGTAAACTGATGGTGTGTCTGGTGTTTTACAATAATGGTCATTTGTTAAATATTTTTATTAGCGCTAGTTACTCGATCTGTTTCTTCTAGGTTTGGTTTCTAAGCGTCAGTGTTTGTATTCGGTTAACGATTATTGTACAAGTTGATATAATTAAGAAATTCCTTCTAATAAAAACATTTTTTTCTAATAAATAAAAGGAAACAAATTCGTAAATAGGTCACTCGAATTAACTTCTCTCACATAATTAAATTGAAATTATTTTCTTAAATGTGTGAAATCATAAAAAGAAATCATTAATTATTTTTATCCTCTCGAATAAGTTGAAAATCTTCACGTCCGACAGTGATAAATGAAAGAAAGATATCAGCAGTGGAAATTGCGTGTTTTTCTTAAAGCGGTGTATCAAATCAACACTTGCGGTATCCAAAAACATATGCCGCAGAATTTGAAAATATTCGCGACCCAAAAGAAAAAGAGAAGATTAAAAGATCAAAATATTTTGCTTAGCCACGACATATCGGTTGAAAATGTGATTATAAAATGTCAAGTGAGACCAGAATTGGCATCGTTAAAGCAAAAATATCGACGACATCAGCGTCATCTCCACAGGCAGTCGAAATGTGACTTCACATTAAAATCTGACACATTTCATTATTATTTACTTGCCTCTTTTTCCTTCTCGACAATTTTTAATCAATAAATAAAAAGTTGTAAAATGTGTTGCAACAACAAACAGTAAAGAGTATCGAATGAAAATTTATGATTTACGGAGGAGTCACACGTGGCTTTAACGATGCTTCACATTACATTTCTATTCGCTCTTCGATTTTCTCAACAAAAAAAATTCTTTTTTATGAAAGTGAGCGTCGTATGTGTGTGGGGTTCATGTGACAACAGATGAATTTCAAGTCTAGTAGAGTCGAAAAAGAATTTGTTTGTAAGAAGGCAACCGGCTCGAGCTTAAGGATGTAAAGATTAGCGTTTTGAAGAATTATTTCTACTGGGATTTCGAAATCATTCACAGCAGTAAATTTGTTCTTTGTATTATAAATGAAAGTAAGCCTGCAACTTTGTAATATTATTAAACGCAGTAAAACTTTAAGAATATTTTTGTGACGTGAGCTGTTCCAACACAAATTGTGTGAGGGTGCGATTAGAGTTCTTATTTTTATTTTTTGCAAGCATGAAAAGGTTCCCGGAGATGAAAGAATTAAAAGAGAATTAATAAACACCAAGCATAGACCCATTGACACTTCTGTTACTTTTTCCTTTTCATCTGTTTCGACAGAAGTGTGACTGTTATTAAATATTTATTTCTCTGACTGCTTGTTAACTTTTCTGTCAAGCATTTTCATAGATTTTTTTAATTCTTCTTATACTAACCCCCGTGAGTCAATGATGAATTGGCATAAAAATTGCTTCATCTTTCTCGTGATTGGATTTTGATGATGGAAAATTATTTGATTAATTATGGCGAAGACTTCAATATTCTTGACGTTCGTTAACTTGTGACGAGGTGAAATCTGTGTCAAGAACAAATGAAAAATAAGATTGATGAAGCTTGTTTTAATGAAAAATGAGTTTAGAAATTAATTATTTCGCAATTTTAATTGTCTTTAATTTAGAATTGTACACTCAAGGGGAATTCTACTTACATACATAATTAAACTGGTGGAATAAAATAATAAACAAAGTTCTTAATTTTCGAAAGATAAACATAATCAAATTACGTTTCATTCATAAACATTACAAATCATTTAACAATAATTTAAATAAAAAGCCGGAATTAAAAAAAAAACAAAATTTCCAGCGAGTAGTGGCGCCAAAAACTTTTGTTTACAATTTAATCTCCACAAAAAGAAAATTAAGTTTTAATTGCACTAGCGAAGTCGATGATATCTCGAAAAGATTAAGTAAAAGGCAGACTGCATTTCTGTAATTACATCTGCACTTAAAAATCCTCCAATAATAAACAGAAGATCGAGTCAACTTTCGTTATGCCAGAAAGCCTAAACACAATAAACGGAAACATGGAAAAAAGAAGAAATGAAAATATAAAAAATGGAAAAGAAAAGTCGATTTTTCTGCAATTTAAGCAGAGCAATTGAAACGGAAATCTTTTTGCCATTTCCACCTCTCGCTTTACGTGTAGGATGATTTTGTTGTTCGCTTCGACTGTCGTTTTCTTTTTTCATTAAATCATTTCCTGAAAACAATGAGTTGCAACGCCCGACACTTCCTTGATCTTTTCATCATTTCATTACCGGGAGAATTCACGATTGACACGGTGTAGAAGTTCATGACAACAAACAAATTTCGCGATTAACACAAACTTCCTTCACCTTCCCTGAACAGAAATAAAGAACTTCGACGTTCTACCAAAAATTACTTTTTTTTCTTTAACATTTTGCACGTTCTAAGTTGGGGTGAAATATGACACAAAAACTCTTTGACTTTATTCAAACTTAATCAAGTGACACTGTTGAAAATTTAATCTGAAACCTTTTTCTATAATTAAACTTTTTGTTTGTAGTGTATGTGGAAGTTGTCAAGTTAAATGTAGTCACTTGACTTTTAACTTTCACAGAACTTTGTCAAATATGTATATGTAACGCGAAACTCTGGAAATTGTAAACCTGAAAGCCGCAAGAGAAAGGTGGACGTTTGTCGGTGTTTGCAATGTTTATTGGATGACGAGTCATAAAATCTCCGGGTCAAATAAGAAACCAAACTTTGGCTACTTGCTTTTTATGTCCACAATTTCTTTTAGTTTCCTTCTTTCTTTCCTTAGAGAAATGAGAAATTCTCAATTATTCTTTTTGGGTCTTTTATTGTTTTATAATCTTTTGGGAGAATATTTTCTCGCTTTTACAACATTTTTACAACTTTTTTAAAGTAAGTTTTCGTCATCCATAAAAATACTTCAGAAGAAGAAATCTCAAGGTTATCTGAAGATTTTGAATATGCGCGGGTGGAAATCCTTTGAAATGTTTTCTGTCGAAGAAATTAAATGTCGTCCATTTTTCTTTCTTCTTAATCCACCTCCATCGCAGCCCGCAAAACGATTTACTCTTGCGGAAATGATATTTCAAGAGCCATCAAAGATAACTGTAGAATGAACGAGAAAATAAACAGAATGGTAGAAAAGTGGAGAACGAAACGAAATGTTTTTGTGGGTGGATGGGAGAAGAGATGTGAGGGTAACCCGAAGAGAATATGCTCAAATGTGGTGATGATGAATCTGCCGAGATCTCCGCACACATTTCTTCCCTTTTGGTTGCTTTTTGCCCAAATTATGTAGTGGCGTTATCAATTGGCTTATCAACAATAAAATTACGAACATGATACGTAGACGTGCACATATGTTCGGAGAGAGTTTTCATCACCCTTAAACAAACCCTTATGCTTAGTTCTCTTTCAAAACGAAGTTGCTCATACACATGTGTAGTGGTTTAAGCATGAAGGAAGAGTTGAGGGTACTAACGATATTTGTCAAGACGACGAATCTTTGAAGAATGTCATGAAACTCTTCGCATGATTTTATTATTTAACTTATCAATTTTTTGATATTTTAAAATAAATCTTATCATTGATAATTAATTAAAGATCTTAGAGTATTAAATGCAATTCCACAAATCAGGAAAATGATAAACCATGTTCCAACTAGCCACAAATTGTGGGCGGTGAACATTCTTCAACCGACTTTCAACGTAAGCCAAAGAAAAATTGTGGAAAACATTTTCTCTTCTCCACATCGTATATAAAACCAGCACACATTCACGCGAACAACAACCACACGTAAAACTTTTTAATTTTCGAACAAGTAGGAAAAAAAGATCTGAAAATTTTTATTTCCCCTTGCCACGAATTTTTTTTCTCGTCTCTCACAATTTCTTTTGCTGTCTCGCTCTGCTTTCGAAGTGAAAAAAATTGAGTGCGTAAATGAAAAGCTTTGAGATTTTCCCCTCGTGAAAACTTGTTACATTTTTTTCCCGATGATCTGTCAAATGAGGTTTGGATTTTCCACTAATTATCCTTTCGAATATATTTTTTATGATTAACTGGTTGATAAAGATAACAAATTAAATAATATAATTTTGCTTTATTGATGTAATTAAGTCAATGGATAATAAATGTTCAACCGCACTTAAATAGTCTCAACAAGCATCTAAAGTCTAGAGTTAGGTAAATTTTTGTCAAATAAAAAAAATTATCTATTGAAAATGAATAAGCAAAATCAATTAAAACTTCAATTCTAACATGTCATAAACTTCTGCATATCATTAATAATTTGCATTTTTATTAATTCACTTACCCTGCCTTCCCATATTAATAAATTCATCAATGAGATTGTCAGTTATGTTAACAGACAAATAGGAAGCAAAGAATTGAAGTTTGTAAATGAAAACACAAACCATAAACATCAACGAGTTGTGCATTTATTTAACATAAGAAGAATAAAGTTTTTCATCTCACCACGAAAAGCGAAAATATTGCGCTCTCGTTTCAACAACTCGAATCAAATTTTCCCCTCAACCTCACACCAGGTTTCTTGTTGCTAAAATGTTCGAAAAAAATATCGTCGTCAACACAACATTCAACCCTCTTTTCATGGTGACTGAAACTTATTTTTTCTCCAAAGTTTGTAGTCGATTTTGTGGCTGTGTTGGTGTAAAGCGTGGTGAGAAAAAAGTTGGATGTGAAACCGCACATTTCGGCTAAAAAAAGTTCTCTCGTACCCCTCCTGTTTCGTTTTCTCTTTCGCCCTATCTCTTTCTATTATCCACAAACCATTCCCATATGATGCCCTCATCGTTGAAAAGATTTTCGAAAAATTAGAGAAAAAAAGCATTGCCACAAACACCAGCACATTTTTTCTTCCTTTCCTTCATTATGCCGCACACAAAATTCTCATTTTTTTCTTTTTTTATGAGGGGTTCCACAGGGCCTCGAAAAATATAACATTTAAGTGCTTCACTGACGAAGCAGGCAGTTGAAGAAGTTCATTCGAAAGGAATACATCTCGTCCCTAATAACTGTTAGTCGCCGGGATTATTCTTGCTTTACAAAGTTTAATGTTTGAAAACATGAAAATCGGAAGAAAATAATTTCTCATTTCGAATAGTTTGTCGACGCGTGTTTCATTTATATTTTCTATACATCTTTTTTTTTATGGATTTTAAGCCTCTACAGAGCATAAAAGTGATCAAGATAAAAAGGATTATTAATAGAAGTGGAATATAATTTAAAAGAAAAGCGAGAGTTTGTGTTTGTTATTTTTGGAAAACTCATTTTCCCAATTTTCTCGGTGTCATAAAAATAAAACAAAGTGTTTAAAAGAAGAAGATAAAAAGTGATAAAATTTCCATCACAGAAAGTGGATTAAAAGGTTGATGAAGATTGATAGCAGATGAAATATTCTGAAAACATAAATTCAAATAATTCGTCTTAATAAAAATTCTTGAAAATATTATTGAACAAGTAAAACTTTCATAATTGCGTCGAAAGTGAAAATACGTGGAACAAAAATGCATTTGCCAAATAGTGAAGGCTCAACAGCAGTTGCGTCTCCAGCAACGCCAGAAACTAAAACACCTGAATCTTTAGGAACATCAATCATGAATGACATGTATCAGAATCTTCATGATCTTCTCCAGGAATATCACGGCGAACTTGTGACAACGGGATCTCCTTCCATTCTCTGTTCCTCACTTCCCAACCATTGGCGTTCAAACAAAAGTCTTCCGTGTGCCTTTAAAGTCGTCGCACTCGATGATATTCCAGATGGAACCATCGTCACGATCAAAGCCGGAAATGATGAGAACTATTGTGGTGAACTTCGAAATTGTCAAGCTCAAATGAAGAACCAAGTAGCGAAGTTCAACGATCTTAGATTTGTCGGTCGAAGCGGACGAGGAAAATCCTTCTCGATTACAATCACAATAAGTTCTTATCCATGCCAAATTGCCACCTACACAAAAGCAATCAAAGTTACTGTCGATGGACCTCGAGAACCTCGCTCCAAACAAAGTAAGTGTTGATTGTGTTTTCCAAAGTGTTAATTGAAACTCCTTAGTGATTATGAAACTCACTTTCGATCATAAATTTTAATGATTGAACTGGCAAAAAATTAAAATCGTTAACACCCTTTTGCAAGACTTCTCGTTGTGATTTAATTGTACAAAAAAAACTCTCGACTCTTCATGGCAAGTAAGGGATGAACAACAACAAAAAAACGCAATCATCTTAATTGTTTATTTCATTTTTTTTCTTTCCTTTCTTCATTCCCAAGACGATGGAAATTATCTCGGAAAAGTGAAAATAAAACAAGAAACGGGAATGAAGACATGAACAAAAAAAAAAAAAACTTTTCTCCATTTGTAAACGAAACTATTTAATTTAATTACATCCAAAGTTTCTTGTTTCCATCGTCGGAATCTTTTGAAAGATTTTATTTGAGTTTCCAAACAGCAACGATTTGTCTTTCGTCGGCTCCATAAAAATCATTAAACGAGTGTGAACATTTCCTTATATTTTATTGCTTGCAATCAAGAACATGAATGAAAGTCTTTTAAAGAAAAATCAATCGAAGATCATTTATGGATCAAAAGTTAATTTAAATAAACATTTTTAACTAAATTTCCCGTCTCTTCCAGATTTTGCATATGGACATCCGGGTGGCTTCAATCCATTCATCTTAAATCCGGGATGGCTCGATGCAGCTTACATGAATTACGCCTGGTCAGATTACTTTCGACATCAACATCAACCACATCATCCAGTGCTAGCCAAAGGTAAATATTGAAGTTAAAATAATATTTTTCAAGCAACTTACACAAAATCGTCGTTCAACTGTATGGAATTAATCGATACATGAAGTTTAACATGATTTTTTTTAAATTTCCTATCTGAAACTGTTGGCTTAATCTCGATCATATTTTTCAACGTTTACACCAACATTTGGTGTGCAAACAAAAAGCGTTTTTCCATTTCATGTCGATTTTAAATTAAAGATTTTTTACGCGGCCTTTGCCGTTGCCCGCGACACTTTTTTCCATTAAAAATAATGATTCATGGATCGATGGCAATTTTTTTGCGTTCATTTTGTTCTACTGCTTTTCATGTACACAATGAAAGCAGCAACAAAGAACGTTATTGGTTATCAGATGAAAATCGTGAGAAGGAGACGAGAAAAACCGTCGATAAAAAGAACATCGAATCTGTCAAAACTACTCTGCCATCAATAACGTAAAAAGTAGCTTAATTAAGTGTCTTTAACAGTCTGTAACATGTGGAACATTTGAAGCGGGTTGTGGCAATGTCGGATTGAATATTAAAAAAAACAAAACTTCAATTAAAAAAAAGAGGAAAAATCGATGAAGGGAAATATTTAAAAGAAAATCTTTCAGGAAAATTCTCCTCTTTGTCTCTCGTTTTCCGAATATCAAATGACATAGAAACGATCCCTTCAACCATCACGAGTCATGTTCAATGTCGCACCATCTGGCATCGTAAAATCATTCACACATGATATTTATCAGAAAATGGTCGAATTCTATTTAAATCTTGATTTTCTTTCTTTTCAAATAGGTTCACCAACGTTACCCACTAATGGAACGGTTTTGCCGAATGGTGGGAACAGTGAAAGTTTCTTTCCTTCTATGCCAAGTCCACCAAACAGCATTGCTTCATCTTCAGCACCAACAGTCACAACACCTGCTCCGCCTGGTTCTATGATAGCACCCACAACAAGCGTTTATCTTCCACCTTTCCCCTTCACAGCACATCCCGATCTCCTACACAAGTCACCGTTCTTGCCTTATGGATCCCTCCGCCCTTCACATTCTATCACTTCGGTCCAACTTTCCGATCAACAACAGATAAACAGCGCGAGATTATCGCCAGCTTCTTCACGAAACTCATCAAGTCCACCATCGAACAGTCAATCAACTCCCAACCATAAAATCAACTCGTCAATTGAAGTTAATTCCATTAACGATCATTCATCGCATACGTCGTCAGACGACTCAGATGATGAACAGATTGACGTAGTAAAATCAGCATTCGTACCAATCCTTCGACCGTCGTTAACTGCCACAATAACCACCACAACAACACCTGATTCGACAGTTAAAGAACATTCGCCTTTAAGAGAGATTCCCACGAAAATAAAATGTGAACTCAAAGCTCCGTCATCAAAGAAACTTCATCTTCATGAAAGACCATCCAAACAAGAAAGTCCCAACTCTCCAGAAACAAAAATTAAGTCACCGTCAATAACACAACAACCCAAAACTGTTTGGCGACCTTATTAAAGTTCAATTAGTCCACAAAACAACCCAAGACGGGATGTTAATGAAAGAGAAATGAAATTTATTTAGTTAAAATTTGTAAATATTTTTATAAGTTCATTTTAAGTGAAAATTATGTAATTGTGCAATCGCCATCAGTGTGAAGCTTTTTCAAGTATTCTTTAATTATGGAACGCACAAAATGAGAGAAAAAATATTAAAATTGTTCACCACTTCAATCAGCTTCGAGATGAAATAATTGATGGCGAATAAAAAGGTACAAAAATTATGCGACAGCCGTCATTGAACAAAAAATTATAAATTGAATTGAATTTATGAATTCTGTAAATATTTTAAATTCTTTCTTAATTAATGCAGTAGAAATTGCACCAAAAAAGAGCATCAAAGGAAAAAATGTTTCAAATATTAAAATGTTTAAGAAAATACTGCAAATGAATGTAAAAAAAATTAAAAAGTTTTAATTTAAGGGATTGTGATAGGTCCCCGGACTTAATTAGGCAATTAATTCGAGAGAAGTTTTTATGTAATTTCGTAATTCGTGATTTTATTATTCTAGATTATCAGTGATTGAGAATAAATGGAAATTTACTGAATGAAAATATTTCATGGACTTTTTTTTGACTTAATTTTTCAGGCAACAAAAATTTTGTTTTTCAATCGCAGCAGCTTTAAGAATGAATTTAAATTTTCCATCAATTCTCTTAGAGTTTTCATTTCATAACACATAAGCAACCACTGTGAATGAAATCAATCAAAAATTGTTATTACATATGGTGACACCTGCGTATATTCCAATTAATTATGAAGGAAAATGATATTTCCACCCTCGCTACCTTAATACGTGGAAAAGCTCTTGCTGTTTTTACCCAGTTTAACCCACAAACAATTCTGTTGGTTAAAACGTTTTTTCAAACATTCACAGCTCAGGGTTCTCAACCACGAAATGCTTCTCCAAACTAATTTCATTGAATTTGGTGGTTTCAACCGTGCGAGAGAGTCGAAATTTACGAATGATATTCACGAACTGTGATTAAATAATTGCAATGGAAATTAGAAATTACTGACATTTGGAGGTGCATGCAGTTGATGAGAATTATAAGAAATTCACTCAAACATTGAAGTTCAATTCACATCGTTAAACTTATTTTCTCTCGTCATGCGAATATCCAACAATTCAACCCCAAATGTGATTTCATTTCTTACTGTTAGGGTAAATATTGAGGACATTATTTTATACATGAATGAAGATTTTCTCTTCTTCTCTTACATTGAAGTAACTACGACAATAAATTAAAAATCAATTTTTGTTCGAGCATTACGCAAATGTTTCAGAATTTTTCAGTTCTTAAATGACGAAGAATTCCACAAAATTTTACTTTGTTTCATTTTATTGATAAAAAAAATTATTTCTAAACGTAAATCAAACAAGTTTCCTTCTTCTTTCATTTCATTAACTTCAAGTTGCCATCGTCAAATTTTTTTGCAATCTTTTGAAGAAAAAGAATTTTTTGAGAACTCGACAATTAATGAAAGAGAAGCTTTAATTATTTTAAGAGCTCATCGAAGTGATTTTTTGTGTGCTTTCGAGAGAAGCACAATATTCCGCTCAAGAAGTGTTCATCGGTAAGAAACTTTATTCAAGTGGTCAGTCACTTTGAAGTTGTTGTGTGAAGAAGCTGAAAAATAAAAAAAATGCAGAAACTTTTGTTCTTTGTTCTATTGAGCTTGATTGCTTGTTGTCTTGCAAGACCAGCTTTACAAACAGACGATAACGTCTCATGTGAGTTAATTAAATTTTTCTCACTGACTTTTAAGTGTAAGCAAAATAATTTCAGCAACTGTTCCTGCCAGTGTTCCATACAATGAAGAAATTGTCGTTGAATCATCATTGAACATCAGAACTAAAGACAAACCACGTCAAAAGCGTCAATTTGGAGGGTAAGAAAACAACGAGATCGTTGCTTTGAATAACTTTTAGCATTCAAATATTAGGACAATGCTCCACTGAAAAAAATGATAATTCAAATAATTCCCGATTAATTCGCGACATTTTTGACCTTTTTCTCGTTACAACATCGAGATCATCGTCGACGTTATCATACACGCTTGACCCTTAAAAGAGCTTCTGACAATTAACGAAATAACTGAAAACACAAACGTCTTGGAAAACAAAAACATTAGCAAGTGATAACGTGAATAATCTACGTTGAAGTATGACGAAAGCTTTTCGTAAGAAGTCTCTGAAATAATTTGTAACAAACATTTTAGACACTTCCTTGTCACTGTAAAAAAGAGTTTAAAACTACGATTGAGTGAATCATTGAACTCACTGAAGGCTATGAAAGTAAACATACCATAGTAAGAAGTTCAATGTCATCATCATTGACAATGTCGCGTGATGCTTAAATTCATGTAGAAGTTTGACTCACGTTTTGTGTCTGAGTCTAGTCAGATATTTGCTTAAATATACAATTCAAGATGAACCTTGATAGATAATTGAATTATAGTAAATCAGCGAAATCTCCGTTGTCTAAATAGTTTCATTCTTTCCAAAGACACGCTTGATATCAGCTTCAACAAGTTTCATAGAGAACAAGAAACTTTCAAAGTCAGCATTAAATTCAGGTTCATGATTCATTTTTATTATTTATAGATTCGGTCAAAGCTCTGCATTAGCAAACGCTAACGCTCACAATCAATATCATGGACCTGGTGGTTTTGGTGCTAACGCAGCTAACGCTGGCGCACAATCGTTCAACTCACAAGGACCTTTGGGAGGTTTCGGAGCTTCTGCAGCTAACTCGGGTTCACAAGGTTTCCATGCTGGGCCTGGTGGAATAACTGGTAGTGCTGGCATGTCGGGAAGTCAAACATACAATCTCCCTGGAGGTCGTAACGTCAACTTGGCCTATGGTCAAGGATTCTCTCATGCTAATGGAAATCCCAGCATTACTCACTCCAACAGTCTCACCTACACGAAGAAATAAGAAGTGTCTAGACCTTCTTCTTGCCATGTTTGTTTGTGAACACATTAAGTAAATAAAGAATTGTTTATCAACAACATACGTGAGTGTCTTCCTCGTTTTATTTTACAAGATTGACGAAAAAACAAAATGATCAAGAGAAGAACAACTGAAAGAGAGACTGTGGTGAATATTAAAAACTATTATTGATCAAAGCTGTTGATTTTCCGGTTAGTTTGGTATCATAATCTCTTTCTTCAAATTGAGAGGCGACTCATGTGCTTAAAAGAGATTGATGTCAAGAAGATTTCATTAGTTGTTGCACAGAAGTGCTTACGAATAGACTTCCTCGATTGCTTCTAAGGAAATATTTAGAAATAAAAATGAAATTTTTAATTGCATTGTTTGTTATCGTTTTCATCGGAGAAATGTCTGCTTTCCCAAATCGTAAGTTCCACTGCAAAATCTAGTTCATCATTTAATAAATTTAGCAGGTTTTGAAAGTTTTTTTAAATTTCTTGGTGAATGGAAAGAATCAAAACCAGTCACACAAGTTTTTTTCCGTCTTTAACGAACATCTCAGTTTTATGTTCTTGTTTATTTGTTTCATTATTCGCGTGTGAAGTGTTAATTATTTATTTGATTGATGGATTTGCAATTTAGAATGATGAGACTTTGAATCGTTTGTTTGGTTTCATTAACAGCTCAATTTGGTGGCCGAGGAAGAGGATTTGGTGGTCGACAGTTTGGCGGAGGTTTTCGGTGAGTGTTGGAAATATTTTTTGACATTCTTTCGCTAATTTAGAAATTTCAGTCCACAAAATTATGGGCAAAGTTCAGCTTTAGCTAATGCAAATGCGTTCAATCAATATCAAGGCCCTGGCGGTTTTGGTGGATCAGCAGCTAACGCTGGTGCACAGTCATTCAATTCACAGGGACCGTTAGGAGGTTTCGGTGCATCTGCTGCCAATTCACAAACTCAAGGTTTCCATGCTGGTCCCAATGGATTCTCAGGAAGTGCTGGCCTTTCAGGCAGTCAAACTTATAACCTTCCTGGTGGGCAATCAATAGATTTAGCTTATGGTGGAAGCTACAGTAACACCAATGGACAAGCTGCTGGTGGCAATTCTCATTCAATTAATTATAATAAAGGATAAAACAAATTGTTCAATGTCGTTCGTTTATATTTATAAGAAATACAAAAGAAATAAAGTTTAAGGGACTGAAGAATGAAACGATAACTCGATCACCTATTTGTATGTTGTTAAGACGAAGAAGAAAAAAATTACACATCAATTTATATTCATTCATAAACCAGTTATCAGGCATTCGCATTTAGGTTACAACGAACGCGAGTTGTTGATTGTGGACTCATTGCTTGCCTTAACTTATGACGTTTCAAATATTCTCTCGGGGATTTTTCTTTGTTAACACAATGTTAAAAAATTCAAACGTGTGAAATCTTACAAATAATTCGCTGGTATTTCCACACGAGTTTAATTTCGAGAGATGTCCAGTGGACATTGTCCACTTATTCTTTCGTTGTATTTATAGACTGGAAGTGCTAAACAGAGAACTTAATTTAAATGAACTGACTGACGTTAAGATCATTCAGTCTCATTCAAAATTTCAGTTGAACCACTTCGTAATTAACTTAACTACATTTTAAGAATATGAAAGGACTTTTACTTCTGTCAGTGTTCATTGCCGGCTGCTTTGCCAGAAGCGTTTTTGTGATAAGTGAGTTAATTTTCAACTGATTATTGTTAAAGAATTTGCAACTTTAAAACAAAATGAATCAAAGATAAATTAAAGGTGTGAAAAGTAAACATTTGAAGCTTAAGAAAATGAAATTTGTCTTGTCAATTTACTATTGGAAATTTTTCTTACTAATTTTGTTCTTGTAATTAGAAATTAATGACTTGGAATCATCTTCTGATGCTTCATCAAATGATCGTCAACTTAAAAGACAGAAAAGACAATTTGGATTCGGTGGTGATTATTTTGGGTAATTTGTCGCTTAATATTCAACAATCACTTAACAAAATTAATTAAAACTTTCTTAGACCACAAAATTATGGTCAAAGCTCGGCTCAAGCAAATGCCAATGCTTTCAATCAATATTATGGTCCCGATGGGTTTGGAGCGAGTAGTTCACTTGCTGGTGCACAAGCATTCAACTCACAGTCACCATATGGTGACTTCGGAGCTTCAGCAGCTCATTCAGGTTCTCAAGGTTTCTACGGTGGACCAGATGGCTTCGGTGCAAATGCTGGCTTCTCTGGAAGTCAATCTTATAATCTTCCAAACGGACAAAACCTCGCACTGTCATATGGATCAGGCTACAACTACGTGCCAGGTGAAGCACCTCAAATCACAAACTCCAACAGCATCGCATTCACATAAATTGAGAAATAAAATTTCAAATTAATTCTAAAATATTTTCAATATTTGCTTTTCAACGTTTAATTTACAGCTATGGAAATCAAATTCGGTGTCGTAGCCATTGAAAAGTTTTTCGAGTGTAAATATTTACTGTTATTAAAATCCTAAGAGTGTCATACATGAATCATAACTCAGAATTTTTGTTGACTTTAAAAAAGGGATGAAGTTGAACAGCGATTGCTGAAATCTTCTCTATCCAAAGTAAAAAAAAGTTTGGGGTGACGACGACGAAGCGTACAGCGAACGAAAGCTAAGTGGAAACTCAATTTATGTCAATAAATGAAACCGAGTGATTTTTGAAGAGGTTTCAATCAGTTTGCCTCAGAAGAGTGTTCAATTAGAGGCGAAGAACACTTGGCGAATGGAAGGAAGTCTCTTCGCAATCTGCTAAAGTTCGTCGTTAACTTCAAAGCGAGAAAGCATCAAATGTGTTTGATTAAAATTCATCATTAATTGTTCCAAATTTTAAAGTTCTAATGAAGAATGAACCCTCACTGTAATGACATAATAAATCGAAGGCATAAACATGAAACCAGATTTTTTTTCATCTCACAGCAAGCCCAGTAAAAATATTGTCATACTTTAGTTTCCATGCACACATGTGGAGGTGAAATAACAACAACAGAAGCTACAAGGGATGGTAAGGAATGAAAAAGGGGCGAGTGAATCTATCCAATTTAATAATAAGGATGTGCACCTTAACAAAAGGATCAACGAGGCGAAAAATTCGATGAAATGTGACGCCATTCACCGCATTCTGTCGACTCGAGAATGAATTTTTGTGCTAACTCACTACCCGAAAATTGAAGGAAAATCTTTTTTATTTCTCCTTTTTTGAGATCTTTACGGTGTAACGCAACATAATCACAGCAGAAACATAAACCGGTTTCTGAAAGATGCGGAAAATGTCCCTTCAATGATGACGTTGCATCCCTCACTAGTTACTCACTTAGTCGTTCATCAGACGAACAACATTTTTCGGTTTCCCAAAAACACTCACACAAGCTTGGGTTTAGAGGAAAGCAGTTGTAAGTGAACATTACGACATTTGAAATGCAGAAGAGTGACGGGAAAATTTAATTTAAAGGGTGTTGGTTGACGAAGAAGATTAAAGGGACACGAAAACTTTTCCTTTGGACAGAAAATTTGCAATTGTGAAGCTAACAAATATGACAAATTGAAATGCTTCCATCTAGGGGAGTAAATAAGAGTCAATTTGCACAAGTGTCAAGCGAGCAACATCAATGATTATGATTTCATTGTTTCAACATCAAGCATCGCAAATTTATGAGATAAAATTACATAATTAGTTCACTTGTTGACTTAATTAATTATGTGCGATGGAAATTCATATAATTTGGAATGTCACTCAACTCTTGATTACTTTACCATCAAACCCTTTACAGCTTTATGTGCGGATTGCATAAAATATGTTGACGGGAAATACAACAAAGTTTGTTGACAATTTGAATAAAGGAAGGAAAATGACATCGTGAAATATTTTAAATTAACGAAATTAAATTAGAAACGATATATGAAAGTTCATCGCAATTTTTCCAACTTTTCCTAATTTTCATTGCAAACATTCAACAACATAATGAACTGAAATTTCATCCTGAATCAAAAGTTGCAACTCTCTTCTGTCTCATATGCAAATGCCGACAAATTGTTGATTAAAAGTGCAAACATCGCGATGACGTTGTCGGGATCATCATTTGATGAAGAGATTGTGCAATTAACAGCAAACGTATGTAATTTAAATTCGCTAAACGTAGATGAATGGAAATTAAATTATGTTATTTGCTGAGTTAAAATGATCTCACCGGATATCAACTCACAGAAATCAAAATTTCGTTCCTTTCTAATGCTACTTGATTTAACATTTTAACCGCTTTTCCATTCAGTCGTTCTCTTTGTTGTCGTTTTCAATGGCGCCGAATAGCCAAAGAGCCAAAGAGTACTTTGTGTGTCGCCTGATATTCATCTCACTTTGCATCGATACACTTTTCAATCGCTCAAATGAACTACTAGTTATAAAATTGCGACTCGATTGCATGCACAAACATTAAACAACACCGGAGAGGTGGACATGACACATTTATGTAGACAACAAGCGATTGGAAATTGGTTTCAATTTACGACAAATGAACTTTGAGTTGACGCTTTTGGAAATTCTCGTTCTCGATTCCCTTAAATTGTCTTTAAACTCATTCAAATTGGCTTGAGTTCCATCAGAGCAAGGAATTGTTTCTGGTCTAGTGATTCAATTACATAATTAAATGTTTCAACATGGAAGACATTTCAGCTTATGTTGAACAAAAAGTCAACAGAAAAATGAAAAAAACTCGACAGAATCTCATTGAGATATTCTGAGATTCTTCATTTTTATTTTAAATTTAATGATGACGGTATTTATGTCACATATTCTCATTTGACGATGATGTGAGCATCGTTGAAATGTGCTGAAAGACAAAACTTACTTGTCGACGATTGTCACTTGAAATGAAATAGAAATTTAATGAAAAAGCTACCGTGTTGCTACTTTCTCTATTGTACGATGATTGAAAGGAATTTTAAAGCTTAAAAACGACCTGAGTGGGGCATTTGTAAAATAACATTTTATGTTGCTATTTTTGTATGATTCCGAAACGACGAAGGATATGCAGAATGTGAGAAAAGAAAGAATCATAAAAACAAAGTATCGAGTCACTTAACAGGACTAAAGTTGAACATAATGAATAATTTTTTGCGATAAAATTTCACAAATTAAAAACTCTTATGAAAAATTTAATTGATTTAATTTAAATTATGACGAAAATCTTTGATTTTTGAAGCAATTTTGTAATCTCTCGAACTATTTGTTATCAGAGAAAGTAAGCAACATAAAATCATAAAATATTATTGCTGCTTTCATAAAAATTAAACCCGAAAAAGTCATGGAATTTCAATTCCACAAACTCTTGCCCATTTTTCTGGTTAGCAGATTCTTTCCCATTTTTCCCGAATGTTTATGTTACAAATGCCTTGTAAAATTCCTTCATCTATCTGCAATCCGTCATCATTGTGTAAAATTGAAAATGAATCATAAAAGTCAAAGAAGAAACAACAAAAACTGCTGACTCGAGGCGTAAAAAAACTTTTTTCCATCGCTGGGGAAACGTAAAGAATGTCAGAGATTTTTTATTCCATCCAGCAGAAACGAACAACTCGTTATTATCCTGTCCAACGACACGTCCCACCATCAATGTCCAACACATTTTTTTGCTGCTGTGCGGATTGAAAATTATTCATTTTTATCTCCACAATATTCTCCACACTCAATGGGGTTGGCGAATGACCGACCAACCTCTCCCACTTAAATATGAAATGAAATCATCATACATAATTTTAATTCTTTTTTCTTTTTTTCTCTCCATTTCAGATGAAATTAAATTCACATCGAGTGAAGGAATAAATGAGAAAAAAAGGACAACCGTAGATGAGATGGACATGGGTTGAAGTTGGGTTGAAGTGCTTTTAATTTTTCCATATGAAAAATCATTATTTGACGGAAGTCAAGCTCGTACAGTTCTCGATGTTTAATTTCCCATCCACATTCATTCGATTAAGCAAAAATATTTTTCCAACATGTCATTTCTTTTCCTAAGTAAGCAAATGACATTAAATTATCGTTGTGCCGGTAATGGCTTTACATCTTCCTCTTACTGATCGACTTTCAGCTCGGAAAAGGATTAAATAAGCTTCTACGATAAATCAACCCACATGACACACCAGAAAGTCTGTCATAAATGTTGTTAGTTATTTTTAGAAAACATTTTAAACCTTTCTCAAGTGCTTAAAATGCAATAAATTCATTTGCCTTCTTCACCCGATGCATCCATTTATGAATTCGAGGAATCACAATCGTACATATCGCGTGAAAGTTATAATTAGATTACAAAAAGGTTCTTCACTTGAGCTGTTTGAGTGTAATAAATTCACGTCTAAACATAACTCGAATCGTGCCGAAACTGCTTTTGATTTGAAATATTTTCAGAAGCAAGCACTCTTGATATTTATGCAACAAGTTCTGACTCGAGTCACAACATAATAATCGTAAATTTTCTCAACTCCATCCCCAAAAACGATGACATTTCACAATAATGTCCTTATTTTCGACTGTTGCTGTTGTTATTCTCATTGCATATCAATTTTGCATTGTGTTATGCACATCATTATTAATTCATGAATATTTATCAACCGCAATGACCAATTTATTCATTACAGCGACCACAAAATTATGGCTTTAAGCATGACCATGTATGTCGTGTTATTTTTTTCGCCTTTCCAACATTTTCATTTTAAAGCAAGCATTTTTATACTTTTTGTTTTGTCTTGAGTTTAATCCTATCGACTCGAGAGAAAAAATATTTACTAAACAGACGCGCTATGATGTCGAAGAGATTTTCTCTAATTAAAGGGATTAACATTAAACTCTCTTAAGAGATGTTTCGAAACAAACTTTCTTTAAGCTTATTAAGATTAATTTTTGTTGTGAAAATAACTCTTTTTTTCCTTGCCTGTAGCACAGCACGACTGGAGATCGAGATGAGTTCCCTGGAATTTAAAAATGTGTAATTAAATAGCTTAGGATTGGCAATCATCCAAGAAATGGTTCGTTTAGTTAATCCTTTCAGTTTCATACACTTTGCTCTGGAAGTTCCAATAAAACTGGACTCAAATGACACAAACTATGCAGAGAGAAAGGAGAAAAAAGATGAAACATGGCCTTAAATTACTCCTGTGGCGAAGTGTCGTAAAAACTAAAAGGATTAAATCGGTTTCCCACTGGCATTTTAATTAGGCCAGTAAAAGAAATGGAAAGAATAAAGTGTCAGGTAATTGTTTTATCAATAAAATTATGATAATCCAATGAAGAATACAATTTTCTGACCCAAAATTCTTTCGGGTCGCGTTCCCTGATTTAGAATGAAGTTTTATTGGCTTTTATTGTTTCTAATCCTTTAATCTCTTTTCTTTTTTTGCTTTACACTTGAACGAGGTTTTAACTCTTTTCATGCTGTAAAACAATCTAGAGAAAGGGTTTATGTCTACTTTTACAATAAAGCAATTCATTAAGAAAAGATTTCTTTATGAAAAGAGTTTCGTGCAAATATTTACTGCACTTTCCATCAACAAACTAAACTCCCAAGTTATGTTCGACTCAGCTGGAGTCTAATTCTAGAAGCAAAGTTGAAATCAAGGTCGTTTCGATCTTTCTTTATTTTCTAGTAAAAAAAACGGACATCTTGTTGGCAAGAAGTTGAAGCTCGAGAGTTGTTGTGACTAATAACATCCGAACAAGGCACTCAAAGCTGTCCATTGGCAACGAAAATTGATCTTTTTTTACCATTAACGTCTTCAAATCTTTCCCAAGACTAATAAAAAAATGTCGTTCAAATAATTGTCTCAAAAATAAAACGTAAATTGCTCCATAAATCTTGCATCATCGTTTACATAACTTCAAGTATAAAATTAAGTTATTGGGCAAAGCAATTAAAATTTCCTAGAAATTGAATCGTTTTATTGGAGGTTTTTGCTCTACTTGAGGCTAAAAAATAGAACAAACACAATTTTTTAAGCTCAAATTTCTCAGAGCTCTAGTTTAATAATTTTTATGAAGCAATCTCGAGTTTCCACCCATAATGTTTGTATTTATTTTTAAGAAAAAGAAATGACGCAATAAAAAGAAAGAAACATGACAGATATTCGCAAAAGAATATTTGAAGGGAGCAGAAACCTGAAAATATGTTGATTGAATTGCAGATTTTCCAAGCAAAACATAAAAAACACGGCATCGATGAATTTCTTTCGTTTTTTTTGCTGTCAAAAATCATCATAAATATTAATAGCCTCGTTCGGATTCCTGTTTGCCAAAGTCGACCCAGAGAAATTTTATAGCTGATAGAACGAATTTTTTTCTTTTCCTTTCGCATGTTTTATGCTTCTTTCTTCTTATGTTTTACAATCTTTAAGAATCATAAAAGTTTGTTGTTGTTCAAGCTCATTTTATGCATTTAGTAACAAGGCAAGAAGTGAAGGAACAAACAAGTAACTTTTATGCTTCTTTTGTGTGTTATGCTTCTGGATGTCCTGGCATATTTGAATTTTCTGGTGAAGACATTTTACTACACGCGTCCCAAAGTTGTCGTTTCTGTGTAAAGAAAGTTAGTTTAGGGCTGAGATAGTTTCTTCGGTTGGTTAAAATGACCGAAGAATGGAGAATCATAAACACCAAAGAAGGAAAGAAAGAAATTTTTCACGAGAAAAGTTAATAAACTAATCAAAGTGGAAAGTAAAACAAGAAACTGCTGTTTTGATTCCTTCTTCGAATTCAACTGTATGGACATCAAGTCATGCATTGTTGAGGGAATATTTATGACTGTCGTGAGGCAGAGCACAGTAGGAGAGTCTCATAAAGTCACCAACTGGCTGATGATTTTCCAGGGTTATCTGGAAAAATCATTTCTACTTAAAATACTTTCAGCATGTAAATTGAAGATCAATCACAAATTTGTATTCATTTTTAAATGTTCATTGCAACATGAATCCAAGAATTGTTTGCTAAGCGTTTTTGTTGAAATTTTCACTCACCATCGGCATGAAGTTTATTGAAGGTTTCGTGATTTTGAATTTGGTAAGCTGGTAAACCATCAGACACATCATCATCATCATCATCACCATTCACTCATTCATTCATTCGATGAATAAACTGCATTAAGAATTGCAACAAAAAATGAAACCGAAAAGTTTCCCGAAAAAAAACATCTGAAAATTGAAATAAAAATTGCTTGCAAATGCACTTTGATGGTTGTAAATGTTACTTTACTGCATGGTCAGCAAAGAGGAAAAAAAATTTCCATGTCAGAAGGCAAAAAGAATTTAATTAAAATCTCGTTTTCCGCCTCTTTTTGCTTTGGTTGGGCGTTTAAAAAAACGTTGAAATCTCCCGCAGGATGAGTTTGTTCGTTTCACCACGCGTAGCCTCGAGACATTCAACAGAAAAGTGGGCGAGAAAAACACAAAATGAAAATGCTAGATGGAAACTAAAACTAATCTATGGACATTTTCAGACTGTTTCCTGTACAGCTTCCTGAATGTCGCTTCAGGGCTAATCGAAGATTCAATTTTGATATCAAATAGTGTAAGATTCACAACTGCAATCATCTAACAAATTTACAAATCCCTTCGTTCTTCTTCCCTCCTAATATTTCTCTTTTGATTAATCTATTGAAAATAGGAATAAAACTTTTATTTAAATACACTCACACACACACACGTACATATCACAATGAATAATGATAAACAATGAATGGATAAGAGCGGACCCTGAGACATTCTAAATTACATTGGCTTGTAGTAAAACGAATGTTTAGGGTGATAGAGAAATGTAGTATGCGGGAGAGCTAGCGGCTTTTTCTTCTGGCCACAGTTTTTACCCTTTTCTAAAAAATGTTTCAGTATTTACATCAAAAAAGCCCTCTCGATCACATAATACAAGAATATTCGCTTTTTTTGAATGAACACAAAGCCGGGGAGGACGAAAAAAAAAAGAAATCAAAATAATCCGCATCATGTGTGTATGTTGGAATTGGAAAAAATGCGACGCATGGAGGGCTTTTGTCACGTGATGTCATGGTAATGGTGACTGATTCTTTAACACCATAATATTCGGCGACCCTCAATAAATAAACCGCTCATGGAATCACACGAGATGTTAAAAAGAGTTTTAACTGAATCTACATTTGATGTAAATAAGAAGATGCTGTAATTAAAGAATTCAGCTGATTTACTTAAGATTTAATATTGTCAGATGATTGCTTTCACCTTCTAAAGAGTCTTCAGAAAGTTACACACAGAAGTCCCAAACCGAAAACCCGCACAAACGGGATCCGATGGCAACCCTCTTCCTGTTATGATATCAGAGATTTGTTTTTAAATTAATATAATTTTTTATGTTATGTTTGTATCATTCAGCTTGGAAAAGACGGGAAAAGGGATTGAAGGTTGTAGGGAATGAAAAAATGAAAGTGTTGTCGGCAGCAGAAGTTTTCATATAGTTTTTATAGGGATGTTAAAAAACAATAAAAATTCATTCGTTCAAACTACAAGGATGTTGATGTGTTTAAGCCTCTTTATCACTGATGAATTCTTCGATCGTTATGCTTCAGCTTTGATGATGCCATTAAATTGTAATCTCATATTTCGCCCTCTAGTTGTGCATTGTTTTCCGTTCATCAACCCTTAAACTATAAACGCAACACAACATTATTCGCTTTGGTTCGAAGCAAAAAAATATAAAAGAAACACGCTAAGGCTAACAGAAAAATGTTCTCGCTTGAATTTAATTAGTTTTCGAAATTGAGAATTTATGCAATTGGAAATGTTCTATTGTGTAATCCTCTGTGTAAGTTTACCCTTAAAGCCATAGCGAATCAACATTTCTATAGCAAAGAATAAAGTTCTCTACACAAATCAATAAAAAAATATTTTTCCTTGGTGATCGATCTGTGAAATTAATTTAGCAAATGTTGAGGGTCAGGTCAGGTAGCAACATTGGATTATCTGCTGTGTGAAGGGAAGCAGAAAATATGCTTAATAAATATCACCACCAAACGTTCCTAATTATTACTCGACAGGATTTCTTGTCTCACCAAAAATTTATAATCATTTCAGATCGCATGATAAAAAAACTTGCACAAAACACAAAATTGGACCGTTTTCTGGTTATTTTAACTACTGCATACCGAGCAATGTTTTGTTGTTAAAAAACCGTCACCATAAAATGAGATTAACGTAATAAAAATTGTGGGTGGAAAAAAGTTTTAAATTTACAAGTTGTAAAAATCTTTTTTAAAATATTTTGTTGACATTTTATGATCGCTAAACACTTAAAAAATTTTGTTAAAGAATTGAAACCTTTTCCTTTCTCATCCCATTGAGTTAATTTAGAACCCCACCCGCAACAACAACAATTATAAGCAGCGAGAAACAAACATAAAAATTTAAAATAACACACAACCGACCAAACCAAACCGTATAACCATCAACGAATCGAACGAATATAAAAAATATAAATTTCCATCGAGTGCATGAATAAATACATAAAAAAGTGAAGTGCAAAATAAAAAATGTGTTGGCGAATATTGGTGATGTTGCTGCACATGTGAATGTGCGTTGAACGAAAACGCAGGAAAAAAATTGCAACGGAAACAACGTGCAAAAAAAGCAATGCAAGCTTGGCATATAAACTAGTTTTCATTTCACTGTTCTGACGTCCGGAAATAGATGAATCGATTGACAAACACAGAGGCTTGAAAGGAGAATAATAAATTAAAAAACACCACCCCCGCTTATAAATTGCAATTGCAATAGATGATAAAATGTGCATTGAGAAAAATGACACCACGCTTGACCGAGTGACGATGAAAAAAATTTGCAATTTATCACTCATGTAGTAAAATGCCATGAAACCTCTTCCACTCACATTTCTCTTGACCACTTTTGACTATTCCATCAAATGCATTTTTCATGTCGCGCTCAACTCGCGTAAACAAAAATCGTCGACATTCTATTCGTGTGTAAATCGTGGAAATCATTTGAAAGATGAAGTTCTGATGATGGGAATGTGAAATAAAGAAAACTTGATTTGATTAACAGGAAACTTCAGTGATTTGTTTCTGTGTATCTGATAAATGATGAGACGCTTAATGAACTCGATGACTCTCAATAAAAGCATTTAGCAAACCCTTTTTGATGTTTTCACAATCAATTTTCCTGTTATGAAAATTTAATAAAAAGAATTTCCGTTATTAAAATTTATTGAAAATATTCAAACACCAGCTATGTTACTAGTTGTGGAGATGAAAGAACGTGTACAGTCAGTTTGTAAATTATGCATAGCATAACCAACCATCAGCATGTTGTTACATTGCATAACTGCAGCTGAACGTAAAAAATCATAAAAATGCATTTGAGCAATGCACACACAAAAACAAATTGAATTTGCTTCGTTTTTTAATTTTTATATCAAGTTTCTCGCTCAATAGTAAAATGTAAATATGTAGAACGAGAATCGGCACCGAATTTGTGTTTTGTCCACGTCAAAAATATTTCATTATTAACCAGATGTGACAAATGATAAATTTTAAAAGTTTCCACGGATTGAAGGCGAAATATTAACAAATATTTTCCATCAATGAAATGTGTTAGTGATAGAAATTCTAAATGGATATTTTTATGGAATTTCCAAAATCTCAAAGATGAATCATTCAATATTCATGGAGATTTGAAAAACATGAAGTTACGATAACACATAAAATTCATTTCCATTTGAAACGGAATATAAAATTCCCAATTCTTTGATTTTCCATATTTGATCGGTTTGGAAAATTTAAAGTTTTTAATGTGTGTTGAATTTGGATGTTTGAGTGAGTGCTGGTAATTAAGAATTGAAGAAAATTGAAAATATAAAACCACGTTAAGGTTTTTATTAAATAATTAAATATTTTTAAGATCTTTACACGTCACTCAACATAAAATTTCCCTTCATGTTACAATCATCTTCACTCGTTTGTAATGTAACAAAAAGCCAATATTTGTTATCTCTGTCTTGGTTATCCAACAATATGAGGGCTGATTCTTCACTCACAAGACAACATCATCTTGAGGGGTGATTTTTTGATATGCATCATTGATAGATTTTACGATCGCAAGAAGAATGTTTTCAATTTTTTAATTTTACATCAAATTTGGCATGCCATTTCAGAAATGATTTCATTCACAACCCTCCAGTGTGTTGAGAGTCTGGGCTGCCGCTATGGGATTTCAATTTAAAAATTTTACACTGCATTAACAACAGAACATGATGGGTATATCAATTCGCAAACGGAGGGATTTGAGAGAAAAAGATTCTGCAATGTTCGATGGTTTTGATTTTGCAAAAGGCACCGGATGTATGCTGGCAATCCTCACAAACCATAAAATATCTGAATCGTCATGAGACGAGACAAAAGCTTCGCTTTTCAATTTCCCTTTAACATCTTCTTTGTGCAACAAGAAGAAAGAAAAAAATGTCTTTCCAATTCACCATAAATTTGCATAAAAAATTCTCTTTCACAAGATTTATTTAAGTTGGAATTCTTTGAGAAAAAAAGAGCAAGAAAAAGAAACGAATCCAATTACAATTTGACTTTTGCTTTTATCTTCGAAATTGAAGCATGAAAGATCAATGAGTTGGTGAAACCTTAGAGAGTTCTTTTGAATTATTTTAACAACGCGATGCAGTTGGAAATTATAGGAATGAGCGAATTTCAACTTAAAACTTTCAAATTTATGAATGTTTGAAATCTTTTAATCTTCTTTCTAAGTTTCACCTCTAACAAGAACCGCTAGAAATGATTTCGCAAAGAAAGATGTCAAACTTGTCAGATTTCAATGGCTTAGAAGTTCCTTGACATGACACATTCATTGCCATTATTACGAGAAATACTTTCTTTTCAAAGTTTTTCTTACATGTTTTTTATGTTTGTTCTCATCACACATTTTATGCTACTTATTGCAAATTATTTGTCGTTGCTTGTGTGAAATTTTTATAATCTGAAGCATGAGAAATTTGTAACGACTTACAGTTGTTATGATTGATCTTTCTGTAAGCATAACTTCCATCATAGAGTTGCATCATATCAAAATTTTATGAATTGCAAGCCTAGATTGTCGACTTTGCGTCCACAAAAGCATTAAAAGATCAGAAAGAAGGAAGAAAAAGAAGTCAAAAATGAATCGAAAATCTGCTTTTGTAGTTTAAAATTTCAGAGAAGAAACGTAAAAAGTGTCATGTTGAATGACGTTATGATCCCAGCAAACGCTATTTTCAGCCACAGAAAGAAGACGTCAAACAATGAATGGGACATTTTTATTAGATTTTCAAACAGAAATAAATCATGATGACTTCATTCATGAAAAGGATGATTGTAACATAAAGTTCAAATATTTTCTGCCTTCTTCTCAGTCTCACAATCGTTCGTTCAGTGCTGAAGTAAATATTTTCATTGTGGAAGGATTTAATAAAAAAAGGATCGTCGAAGGTGTGATTTATAGGCGCAACACCGACCAGAAATCTGAATTGAATTGAGGTAAAAAGAACACCACAGTTTTGATCGTAGGTTGAGACCAATGAAATTCCATTCCAAATTTCCTTCTTTTTTCTACTGTTTAAGAACTCGAAACGTTCAACCATTTTATGATTAATGAGAAATAAACAATTTAAAAATCCAATTAATAAAATCTTCCCCATTCAACTTGTGAAGGAGTTTTAAAAATTCATGAACTCGTTATTGGAAAATGTCTCATTGAGAAAGTTTTCCAAACCCTTTTTCGAAATGAAACGTTTACGACACCTTTTTCTATATAAACGAAACACTTTTATTTAAACGATAATTGTGCGAAGAGAGAAGAAAAGTTTTATTGGACGGAAGGTGATTAGGAATTATTGGCCAGTTTCTTATGGTCATTCAATCTCACCCCTGAACCCTTTAAATTGACATAAAATTTTATTAGACATTTTGTTAACACAATTTTTCTATTAACCGGAGAATACATGCGGGGGTGGACGAGTAAAGCGTGTTTGTATTCTCAAATCTCCCGATGGGACAAAAGGCACAATTGAAATCGGACGTGATTTTTATTTCTTCTCAAATTCTTATTTACTCAAAAGGGGTTTAGATTCGAAATCGATGAGAGGATAGGAAGAAGAAAATAAAAATTGTTGTGCAAATCGACTGAGATTTTCAACTCGCCCCCGCACGACGTGTGGATCGAATCCCATGTTCAATCAATTTCTCACACTTTTATCAAGGCCTGGGAATCAGAATGGACGATTTGTTTGTTTAAAATGTTGCGATGGGGATTTTTTCTCATTCGCTATTCATCCTTGAACATTGGGTGTGCTTTGGGTGTGAGACGGATATTTGTTGAAAGTTCGGTTATATTTAAATTGGAACAAGTTGTGACCAATGCTGTCGGAAATCAAGATGATAAGGGACATTTTTCAATCTACTGATGTCAACTTGTTCACGTTCATACTCCCGCATTAATCCAAAATCACACATACACACACACATGGATCTGACAAATAACAATAAAAATGTCTCGATAAATTTAAATTGAAATTGGTCCGCAACACATAACAAAAAAAACACGACATTGCTTTTGCATTCACGCAAATTTTATGGTAATTTGTGGAGACTTTTTATACCAACCCAATTTATGCGTAATTTGCGTATGAATTGAAGGATTTTTTGTTATCACTCGACCAGCTACAAATTTTATTTTAGAGAAGAAATCAAACAGTTTAGTTAAAGATTTATTGGAATGGGAAGTAATGTCTTGAAAAGGAAGAAAAATGTGTGGAAGTCTTTAATTTGGTAATTTATTACAGAAAGAAACTTTTTTCTTTATCTTGTGATTCAATTGGATAGCAAAACATTTTGTGGAAGTTTCTTTCTAATTGATTTCCGGTCATGGAACACAATCAACATTATTGGCTTGAGTTGAGACTTGAGACATCAAAATATTGTCGTGTTAAAGGAATTGAAAAGGACGATCGTTTGGAATGATTTTCGTTTTCTCTTCAATGGACTGATGAACCGTAATAAATAACTTAAAGTAACCACTGTCACCTTAGTCCTTAACGACCATCGAATGGAATGGCGATTGATTTGTTTGGTTAAAGCATTGAATTTGAATGCTTTGATGGCTTAATTGAAAATATTTCAATGAAACTAATACGAATTAATCTGATTTGACCACCACGAGAGAAAATCCTTGAGAAATTGCTTCCGACCGGTGTACAGAAAGTCTTAACTTTATAACTTCTTAGAAGATCTTACCTCAAATGCTTCAACCATAATTTTGTCTCTTTTGCAAATAACTTTTACTGTTGGTGGAACGTTTCTCAACCCCGAAAGCAAATAAACATAAAAAACGGATTGCAAATTGCAATTTCTTATGAAACTTCGAGACTAGATAAGTAAAAAAAACCTTTTCATTTTACAGTTCCATTACCAAAACTGCGTTATTCTGTTTTGAGGCGTTGACAGTTTCATGTGCAATAAAAAAAATCCGCAAAAGGTTTTTTTAATGTCCTTTGTCGAATCATCAATAAAACAATTTTCCAATTTCTTCATCACTCTTCTGCGTGTGTAAAGCGATTCTCTAAATTTGCAAATATTTTTTTGCAAACTTTCCTTTTACAACATCGGTAGAGTTTTGCTTTGTATCCTTCAAAAAGGATGATTTTCTACCTCTTTACAACCCATCAGCCGTTGTAAAGCGATAAAAATGAGTAAAAAAGGAGAAGGAATCCTTTTCGGCATTCTCTACTCTTGTTTGGATGTTCAATGTACAGGCAAGAAAGTTCTTCTTTACAACTTTATTGCATTTCATTTCATTTCTGGTTTGCTGATGTTGTTGTCAAACATTTCAACTTGAAAGAAAAAATATTTTTTAAGAAAAGTTATCTTTTTTTGAAGAGTTTTGTGAAATAGAAAGTTGATTAACTGAAATGTTGATATTTAATTGCAGTTTTTCTTTTTTCGATCATCACATAAAAAGTTGATTTTTTTCCTACGTGGTTGAAAATAAAATTCCATCGCGTGTTCTAATCGAATTAAATTTCAATTTTCGCCTCAAACTGCACACATTTTTCTGGTTTTCATACCGCAGCGAAAACTTTTTCAATTGAAATAGAGTTAGATGTAATAAAATTTAGATATCAACTTTCCCACCCACGCTATGTCAGAAATCTAACAAATCATATTAACTCACTAATAAAAATAAATTAAAGCTTCAAATGTTCTTGTCAGTGGCTTGTGAATGTTCATTTGAGTGAGCTGTCGACGTCTGACGCGTCGCAAGAAAACCCTGATGAAGCCAACGATCAATTTCAATGAGAAACCGTACAGAAACCGATAAAACTAAATATTTGTTCAAGGAAATATCCATCCAATGATACCATAATATTAACAAACATCATAGAAACTCTCGTATTGCATGTAAACAAACAAACGGCACAGAAAAAGGAGCAGCAACAATAAAAGTATGCACAATAAAACCAAAGACAGAGAAGAACGATTTTAATGGGATCCCAAAAAGAAACCTCGAGCATAGTTTCGTCAGCAATACCTTCATGCGAGTCTTTTTCTTGCTTGCCAAAAAAGGCGGAGTAGCCACATCGTAAAATTAAATAAAAACATTTTTCGTTTCAGGCATTTAACAAATAAAGTTGTAAAGATATTTTGAGAGAAATCAAAACTTTTATTGAGTCTTTATTTAATAAAGATCATTGAATTGGTGATAATTTTTCATAGCAAAAAAGAAAAAGATTCGTTTCATTCAAGTTTCAATGAAAAATATTTTTCCTAAATATTTACAAGCAAACAAGATTGAATGAATGGAGAAGGGCGAGGAAAGAATTTGATAATTGATGATGAATCGCATGTGGAACAAACATTCAAACTTTGATTCCAAACAATTCAATGAACTTGCCTGCTTTTAATTATTTTAGTGACAAGAAAATTCCATGTGAAAAAAAACATTTTTCATCATTTTTACTATTTATACAAATCAAAATAAATATTAAGCTTAGAATGCGAACAAGTCGATTTCCATAAATTTAGACTCTTCAACTTTAACTTTTATTATAAAAAAATACATAAACAAACTTCTCGCTTCTGAGAATTGTAGCAAAAGAGCAAACATAATTTGATTTCATCCCCAATTTAACAATGATTCACCCCCGGAATTTACAATGAATCCATGATTAAACATTTTCAACGACGTTTGTGTATCAAAGTCGTTGAGAGAACATAGCGAGAGAATAGAAAAAAAGCTGATTAGAAAGTAATGATTTTCAATAAGATGATTTTCAAATCAGAAGCACATTTTCCTTGTCGTTTATTTTTCACTTCTGTCACTTTCCGCGTACATATTAAACAATTCGTGGGAGTGGAATTGAAAGTATAAACAAAGCTAGGAGAAGATTTATTGTTGAAAAAAGTGTCGTTATAAAAATATTCCATTTAAACTCTCCCCATGCCCGAAACAATGCCACGATCTGTAGAGCAACTCACAGCGAGTCTCATTAAAATACTTTTCTTTTTTTTGAAAGACGCTTAACGGTATTTAATGGCGACAAAACCCTCATAGATGCGGGGGTGGATTTTTCTTATTTGTTTTTCACTCTCACACTTCTGGCCACGGCTCTGTGTGTCACCAACAAAAAGGAAAAAGCGGACTGGCACCAACAAATTGTAAATTGGTTTTTAATTTAACTTTTATTTTAAATGGATTACGATTGAGTGGGTGGAGGAGAAGGATGTAGAATGACGTTTTAGGCGAGAATGTTAGCGAATTAAAACCAAATCATTAAACATGCTGGCGAGTGAAAACAATTAATGTTATACGCTGGATAAATATTAAAATTATTTAAATTAAACATGGAAATGACGTTTCATGTTGTTAATGTTGAAATCATTGATTTTAATTATAAATAGATTTCAATTTGAATTTATTTTAGAACTTTGAAATGTTGAATTCAATTTCATGTTGATAAAAAACATTTTTGATTGCTTGGAATTTAATTTAATTAATAAAATAACTTCAAGGTCAACAGATGAACTTAAAGTTTTAAGCTTTAGAATCTAAAGTGATTTCTGCACCATTGCAATCGTTAGTCGTGCAGGTACAAGCATTTCCAGTGATTTCTAATCTCATAGCGGGTAAAGTGAGCCAAGTTTTCATGCAAGGCGAAGAATCATTTCTAGCAACAGCGCAATGTCGCTCAAGTGACGTGTTGTCTTTATTGGGTGTAGCTGAAATTAAAGAATTTCAAATAAAATTGACAAATTTAATTAAGAAAGAACTGAATTATTCACCTTTAACACCTTGATCACTGTAGAGTCTTGTCATCCTCCTGCATATTGTAAAGTTTTCACCCCCAGCCAATTTGCTGCAATCGACCAAGAATTTAGCGGGTGGAGGATTTTGCCAGCATTCATTATTATCCAATGTATTGCAAAAGTAGCATTTAATAGCTTGAGCTATGAATAAATTAGACTAATTATATAAACACTAATAAATACTTTCCTTTAATTACCTCTCACGATTAGTAATGCGAGCATCACTCCAATTGTCAACAAAATTTTCAAATCCATTTTAACTTTTACGTTTTTTACAACGAAAACAATTTGACGGCCGTTTCTGTTGAATAATTTTTGATTTGTGTCGAGAATGAAATGTTTTCTGACATATAAATAGCTACGTAGGATCGTCATTTTTAAATTGATATAAATAAGCATGTTTTCAATTTTTACACACATCAAGTTATGTTCTCATTATTTATTCTTGGAAGCTCAATTGAAATATTTATCAGAGATGTGAACTGAGACGTGAACTGAAGCTGTTTTACGATTTTTCTGTATAACTAATCAACCTTGTTTACAACATTATTGTTGAGATTGCGCGAATATTTTTTAAAATTTTAATTCCATGTGGTTTGAAAAACAAATTTGACATTCACAAAAGGTAAAAAATAAAACAAAATCAGTTCCCAATTAGCAAAAACAAAATTTATTGCTTTTCGATTATTTTCTTATCTGTCACCAACTTAACATTCAAAGTCTAAAATGGTAAAATAATTGCCGGAAATTTTCGAGATCAATGGAAATCAGAAGTGTAATAAATTAAATCCTAAACCGAAAAAAAGGACAACGAAGAGAAAGATAAGAAATATTTAGAGCGAAACTAATAAAATTTGGTTGAAATTTGCCTTCGATTCTCAAGGCTCCGTAAAAATGATAAAAAAAATAAACTTTATGTTGAATCAGCATAAAAAAATCTTTTTTCCTCTCGACCATAAAGTCACATTACGATGAAATTCAAAAATAACAATTCGTCAATCTTATCAGAAACTTGAATCGATCACCGACTTTTTATGACGCTGCATGAACAATAAAGATGTTTGTATGATGAAAAATCTTTCAACTGAATTTTAGTGTCGCATTCTTGCGAATCTCCATTGATTTGATTCAATGGCCATTGCTATAAACGATCATAAATTATTACAGTTTGAATCTTTTTCCCCCTTTTTATGAGTCTCCAACTACCCTCCTTGCAAATTTTTATCCATCGCAACAAATCGCTTTTTAACGGTTTACCATAAAAAAAAAGTTAAACACACAGAATTCACACACATGGTCGGGTGTAGGGGTAAATTTATGAGATGATTCTAGTCAAGCTTGGGCTCTTTTGATTAAAAGCAACGAGTGAATGTTGAATCTCTTTTGATGCAATTTTCATTCACTCTGCAGACGCTACCAAAGCTAAACTTCAGTTTGAAAGCCATTTATCATTAGCACCATCGACAAAGTTGGGAGATAGTTCAAGTAAACATTTATTTGATATTTGTAACAAGGTTGAAGCTTCGTTGTTTTCATGTTTGTAACATGGCAAATAAATGCATTAATGAGTCTTGTTCACAATTTTTTTTTGCAGTTTAAACCGCACATATGTTGCATACAAATGGGAAGTTAGAATGAAAAATGGAGATGGCCTGCAGCTTGACTATAACATTTCATTGTTATCATGCCATTTTAAATCCACTTCAACTTTCCTTTGGCGAAAAAAACTTTTCATTTACCCGTTGCTATGCTATGAACTGACATTGTGACAACGCATGAAACATGAGAGAAAAGTTTGTAATATGATGTTAGCTTTAAGTAGATTCAAATAAATAGCAAACAACAATTGAGAATTGTGTTTCACTCTATTTTGAAATTCTTCATCTTGTGGAATTGTTTCAGGGTGGAGAAAATATCAAAAATAAAAATAAATTTTGTGACATTATCAGCTTCCTTTCTTAGTTTAATCTCAAAGTAATTTTTATACAAGTATCCGCAATTTTTCTTCCACCCACGCATATCCTGTGTCTTTAATCTCGACATCTTTCTGCATCGTTTCACATCCCTGGTCCCAAATCCAAACCGAAACAAAAAATAAAATAAAAACTAAACTTACAATGACCAGAAGAGGGAAAAGTAAAATTAAAGTTAGACACAAAATGTTGCCATCGGTGACAATTACGAGTTTTTTCATCTCTTCTTTAGATATCTACTTCGTTTTTGCACAATAGGTTTGTTCAGTGTCCATTTCGGTTCATTGAGTGAAGTTATTGATGTCAATTTGTTATGGGAAAGCCAATTTCTAAACAATTGCGACACGAACTCACACCGGATCCAAAAGATTTGTTATACGCAATTCATATATTGTGAGGGCGATATCGACAGTGGAAAGCTGAAATTAATACACACACACAACACCTTTTGTATCACCAGAAAGCGGCTGCGAGTTGATGACACAATTAAACTACGATACGTGATCATTAATAATGCGATCTCTCACTTCATAATGTCGGTTGAATTAAAACTCGCGGCGTGATGGCATTCAATGACTTCACTTCGTTGTTGCCAAGAAAGAATAAGAAAGAAAAATCTTCTCATAGCTCTGCTTTAAAATTTATCTTGATTTAATTGAGACCCAAAAGACCATTCATTCAAATTCTTAACAGAAGCTTTGTTATTCCATCTTTAAAAAGACAGAAATCTTCTAAGAATGAAAACTGATTCGAAATTAAACGAAACAGAAGTTGATGTTCTTTTGTTTGCTTCATTCTTATTCTTTAACAATTATCCTTCGTTTATCCATGCCTCTTATTCATTTCTGCTTATGCAAAACTGCTTCCATCCACTTAGTTTGCGTTAAGGTGAACGAGATGCTTCTTAGAAATCGGAAAGATGAGAAAACAGAAATTTTCGTAACCGATACGATGTCACAGGATCCAGAAGCAACGTTATCGCAATTCCAATTCATAAAAAATCCCTTAAGCTTCCATCCCTTACCTTACCGTCTTCCATTGAGGTTTTTTATTGATCCATCCGAAATGGGATCGCACCAGGATGATGAATATCATCGATAAGAGAATTAAATAACTGGATCCAATTTCAGTAGATAAATGTAGGCGTAACTCTCGACAAGGGAATTAGTTGAATTTTGTGACCTGTCATTGCCCAATGTTGTCGCCACGAAAACATGTCAAAGGACTGAACCCACCTCAAAATCTGGTAGAACAGAAGGCACAGGCAAGGCAAGTAATCTCGAGCAGACGGTCAGCGACAACAACAAGTGTAAATAAATCAACAAAAACATAAATTTGTCGAGGTCTCGGCTCTTTAGTTTTCTTCCGCATTTGCTGTTCCATGTCGCCAAGTTAAGGATCCGCAAAAAAGGTCCAACAATTGTTGGATGCTGCGCACATTTCCTTTCAATTTTATTACTTCTTGAAATTATTTGACCGAAATGTGTTTTCCAAATTATTGGTCGCCTTCTGTTTCTTCCTTTTTTCGGTCAAAATGGGATCAGTCGGAAAATTCCGTTTATCAAGTTTTCCTAAGTATGAAGTCGACATCATTAATTGAATATCCTAATAAATTTTATTGTTTTTAATTGTCCCCCTAGGTTGAAGTTACCATAAAGAAGACATCAAGGTTTGTTTGTAAAAAGGTAAGCACAGTGAGGTGCCACACGTTGTTGCTATTGTAACCAGCACTGAAAATTAAGTCAGCCATAATTGACTTTAACTTTGCACCATCTCACTTTGTCTTTTTTCACATTTTAACATGCTCATTAATGCTTTGTTAGTTTAAAACGAGAGATAAAGAACTCATTTGATTGTCTCTAGTCTCACTGCATCATCTGAAAGATTCTTTTTTTACTTGCGGTTGTAAATTTTGTTGTTGAGAAAAGTTTCAGAGATGAATTAGAAAAGTTAGAACAGCGGGAAATGTATGGGAAGAAAAATTCAACTCTGACTATTGCAACAGCTTTAAAATTAAATGGAAACTGATGCATTTACAACCGACTCCAATGCATGTTCCTTTGATGAATGCTTTACAGTACAACATGCCTCATAATGTGGTTCGTACTTCTCCCTGCACTCAATTGTCTTGACCATGAACATATTGCTTTGTGTCGCATCTTCCAACGACTCTGGAATTGCACCATACCGAGACATGTGATGTTCTCGTTAAAAGATGCCTCCGAACATTGTAAATCAAGTTCTTGGAATTTTCAAGTTCTGGTTTGTCGTCATTGCAAAGAGAGAGACACAAAGAAGTAAAGGAAAAAACAGTAACAAGTTGATTTTCTGGTTAGACAAACTTCAATTATCAGAGGGACGACGAAAGAAACATAAAATGACTTGTTTTCATGTTCACATTATTCCATGTAATGAATTTTCATGCGTCGATGTGTCAGTATTTGCATATTAAGATGATTTTTGTCATTGCACTTTATGACTCAATTTTCAGTAGCCATCACCCTTATCTAAAAGAAAACAATGAATTTTCCTAAGATGGAATAAAATTTGCATTAAATTTTTGATTTTTCCATTATTTTTTTTAAGGGTGACGAAATGTTGGGCGTTGTGGGGGTGGAATTGAAATATTTTTTATTTATTTTTGAAATTGTTTAAAGTTGCTGTGGGAAATGTTTTGATGTCAAATTGAAGGCAATCAACCAAACTTCTGCACGAATCCCTCATATAGATGGTCAAAGATCGTTATAAACGTTTCACTATAAAAACAAAATCTCCGCTGCTGCAAAACAAAAAGCAAAAAGAATTTGTAAAAAAAAAACAATTTATTTTCATAGCAAACCCTTAAAGCAAAATGTGTGTGGAATTTTATTTCACAAGCATCATCATTGCTACTGCTGTTGTTTCTTTCACAATTGAATCGATAGTGAAGGACGAACACAAAAAAAGGAAAGCGAGTTTATTTCTTTAGTTAAGGGATGTTGAAAAATTGCATGTGATAGCTGGTGGAGATTGCAAGTTATTGATACCAGCAGATTAAAATCGAGACCAAGAAATATTGGATGGGATACAAATGGTCGTAAAGCAGTTTTTTATTTCTCTCGTTTAGTGTTTATCCGTTGGGATCACCAGAAAGTTTTTTTATGATTTTTGTTCGAATTTTATTGAATTTTTAAGGGATAACAGGAAGCAAAGATGTTGGAGGGTGAAACTAGTTTGAGCTATCTAAAGAATGTTGTTGGCGATCTTTTATTTCGCTTGATCAAATTGCTTCTTTACAATTAATTTCCCAACAATTGAATAAACTTTATTGAAATATCAAACGTCCGGTAAATCTCTTTCATGCCACTCGTGACTGAAGCAAAATCTTTTTTTCCTTTTTTTTCAATTTCCGCGAAGAATAATCCGATTAAGGCAAAAAAAAGTTTATTTTCAATAAAAAACGAAAGCAGATTGGTGAATTTGAAATCCACGAGTTGGGTAATTATTTATGGTCAAGATTTTTTCCCATTCTGATTGCAATTTTTTGGTCAGCATAGAGAGAATGTGTGGGAGTGAAAGAAGAAGAAGAGCGGATTAATTCTTTGCTTTTTTATTGAATGTTTTTTAATCTGGATTTTCAGCTTTTATACTGGACAAAAGTTCAACAAAAAAAATTTCATTAAATCCTTAATGGAGAATTTTTTCGTTTCTCTGCCAATTTAATTTCAGTTGGAGTTGAAGTAAAAGCTTTTCTTCATTACTCACAGCCACTTCCGGTCAGGAAAAGTCTTTCATTTGAAAATGTTCACACGTTTTTCCTCGATTTCCACACATGTCAAAGCCCGCATCCGAGGTGAAAAAGGAGAAAAATTAAATATTTTCATACACGTCGTAACGATTTGCTTCTTTGATGACATTTTTTTGTATTTGAAATGTCCATAAAGACTTTCACAATATAACGTTGTTAAAATTGTAGATCGCAAAGGCACAAAAAGCCATGAAAAAGTATCAAATTTTACGTAGATTTAACGCAAATGACACAAAAGACCGGAGGATAATGAACACATGAACCGGCCGAAGTAAAATCTGGTTGAACATTTTTATCACTTAATTCAATCAGCAGTAGCAGCAGCAACAAAAAAGAACTTTTCATTTCCTTTTGTGTCGCACTCAAGTCCAACCTTTTTCTATCCCTAATTGATACCTTGCTATTTTATGTGTGCTACTTGATAATGATCCAATGGTATAACAACAAAAGGTTGCCAACGAGAGTTTTTTTTAATAATAAGCCGGATAAATGGAAGGAGAATCATTTCACTCGATGACTCGCAAATTTTTTGCAAATTTCAATTTTCAAGTTCAACAAGAAATTCTGAAAAATGCTGATTAGTCTAGAATTGCATAATCAATGACAGAAGTGCATGAAAATTGTCAACAAAAAGGAATAAAATTTCGTATCAATTTCAAGTTCATTCAAAGGCACAATTCTCTTCAGTTTCCTTTTCCTTAAAGATCTGAAATGTCTGATACAAGTTAATCCCATGTAAAAGGATCCAAAAGGAACAAAAAAAAAGTTGTTTATGATTTTTTGATTGATTCGTAGATGAATGAAGAATGAAATGTGTAAATGTAAAGTTTTTTGTGTGAAAAAATGTTTTCATGAATGAAATCGAGGACCTCGATTCGAGGTTTTATGGGTTTCAAGTTGATGGGATCAATTATCAAATTATGAAATGTTTTCTTTACCTCTTCTGGTTGAGAATAAAATTATCTAACTGAATCCTTCTTATGATATGAAGAACATTTGATGATCAAAAGATAATCTTACCTCCAAGCTCAACAATTATCATTAAATAATCTTTTAAGTAATCGACATCGAACTGTTAAATTACAAAATATAATCGGGAAATATTCCACACTTCCGGTCGGGTGCGTTATTAAATAAATATTTAATACATTGAAAGCATTAATAAATGGCACAATGGAAACAGGAAAAATATTTCGCATTAATCTTAGACGAAGTTAAATATTTACAATCATATACGCAACATGCACCTAGAAGCGATTTAATAAAGTTACGTTTGGTATTTATGCATTGTATGTTGTTCAATGTTTACACACGAAAATGTGTTTCCGTCTTCGACATAGTAAATATTTTAAGCGAAAATAGAAGGCTTAGAAGAAAAATGGCAGAAATATTTCACCTTAAGCGATCGAACTTCAAAAGTGTGTAAAAGAAAACATTTTAGTAAGAAGAAAATCTCATATTTCTTATCAAATTTTGATTTTGCGAATAAACAAACGTGATGCTGGTCTGAGAAAATCGGTGGATAGAAAAAAAGAAAAGTTTCACGTTATTCCGACACAAACATATTGTTGTTGACTATAACTCCGAACAGAGATAATAAATCAACGAGTAGTTAAAAATCCATCACATCCTGGCTCACCAGCAATACTACAAAAAAAAGAGATAAGCGATGGTCTGGTCAGCATTAGTTAGTGTGGTGCATGAAGTTATTCACCAGTTATGTGAAGAATCATTTTAAGTTATTTGAGATTCACATGCTTACTTATAGACTGGAACATTGTGACCGATAAATCAGCCCGCTCCGTTTCATTTTTTCCCCAATGAATGATTTCTTGATGCCACTTCATTGTTAGCTTTCCAAACGAACAGGATTTTTTTCACTCTCTACATAACGATGGTTCTCCACATGAAATGTTTCATCGTTATGTAAAAAAACGAGCAAGGATTGCAAAAGCGAAATAAAAAAAATCGTTTTATTATGTTGGACATTTTACATTGGCTTCATCTCTTTTGCTGAATAAATGACATGACATTTGAGATTCAGAACACGAGAAAATGTTCGTGGAAATATTGGAAAGCACAGATCAATTATTAATTAATGTCAGATGATAAAAATCAACAAAATTCCCCGAAGATAGAAGATAAAAGCAAAATATTTATCTGAATAATTCAATTTTATTCATTAACATCAAACAGAAGCTTCATCAGTTCACCTACAACGGCAACATTCAAGCTGTTGCCAAGAAGTTTGTACTTTTGCTTTTCGGTGACTTTGTCAGGGAATTTAAAGCTCGGTGGAAATGACATCAAACGTGAGACTTCTAAAGGCGTGAAAAATCTTAATTGAAGTGATTTCTTAAGTTCTAGATCGTCGTCATTCAGCTTGATCAGCTCTAATTTCAAAGTAAGTTCATCCTTTGTTAAATGACAAAACACAGAACCAGTTCCTTCGACATATCTGGAATAAGATTTGGTGAAGCACATTGAGTTGGTTGAATCACTTGTGCAAATGTCGAGAACTTGGAATCTTTTCTCAAGAATATTGTCAGGTAGAAGATAATTATCGTGATTAGCGAGGTCGTCAATGTATGATGAGATTTGTGGTCGTTCCACTGGTGAATGAAAGTTGGGAAGTTTTGTCAACTGAAAGAAAAAAATAAAATTCGATATTGAAGTTAATTTAATTAATTATAAAATTTGACTAACATAATCATCTCCGTTAGCAAATGAAAAAGGTTTATCTTGTCTTGCTATGCAATAATATCGATGTCTTGTGTTTGCAACTCCAATTTCTGTCGGTGTTATGATGAATTCTTGATAATAAAATTCAGCAGACGTCAAAGCTTCAATGAATATTTCATGCATCTCCGATTTTTCGAATCCTTTGACATTCTCCATAAGAATATATTTTAAATTTTTCAATTGACTCTCTTTGATCATATCACAAATAAAGAGAAATGCATTGCATCTCATGTCTTCGACATCTTTGAAATTTCCATTTCTTGTGAAAGGTTGACAAGGTGGTGACATGAAAATTCCTTCGATATGTTGATTCCTCTCCACTTTTAATCCTTGCACGTTACTACTCGTACATTTCGTATCACTGAAATTATGTTTGTAAGTCATATTTGCGGTTTCATGCACGTCTATTGCTAAGACTATCTTTCCAGGAACTGAACTGTCTAAAATAACATTTAAAATCTGTAATTATTATATAAGAAATGAATTAATTTCAGCTTAAACTTACATTCAAGTGCGTAATGCATGCCTCCAATTCCACTGAATAATTCAAGAATAGCAATTTCTGGCATGTTTCTGCACATGTTTAACAAAATCAAAACAAACAAAAATAATTTGTGAAAAGTTAGCAACTTTCAAATGTCGGACTGACATTTCGTCATCATTGACATTGATCAAAACTCTAATTATCACATTTCCCCTTCATTAATTCACTTAACATGATGAAACCTGAAAATGCAAGCATTGAAAGAATTCTTTTTCGGGTGTTTCCAGATTTTTATTGATTTTTGATTGGTTTTCTCTGTATTGATATCGAAACGAAAGATAATCTAGGCAGTAGTGAATATCAAATATCTGTGTGTACAAAGTTACATCTAGAACTTTAAATGTATACTTTTATGCTATTGTTAATTTTAAGGAAAATCACCCATTTTCTAGCGTTTTTTTATGTTTATCAGCTACATGTATTATTATGATTCTTATTATGTCGTATAAAGTATTAAATGTGAACTGAAGAAATCAAATTAACTTACATTCTAAACTTCTTAAAAAACCACAAAAAAATTACTTAAAGAAATTGAAATAATTGAAAAAGAAAATATAATAATTAATTAACTCCCTTAACTATTATTACCAAAGTTAAATGAGCCTTAAAATATTAAACGACAATTGTTTTAAGATGAAAAATGTTTGTTTTAATTTGTTGTGGAGAATTTGAACTGTTGAAGATCCTTTTTAAGCACGTTCTCCACGGATACGACGAGCCAATTGGATGTCTTTTGGCATGATTGTGACTCGCTTGGCGTGGATTGCGCACAAGTTGGTGTCTTCAAACAAACCGACCAAGTAAGCTTCACTGGCTTCTTGCAATGCTCCAATGGCAGCAGACTGGAAACGCAAATCGGTCTTGAAATCTTGAGCGATTTCTCTTACCAAACGTTGGAAGGGCAACTTGCGGATCAACAATTCTGTCGATTTCTGGTAACGACGGATTTCACGAAGAGCGACGGTACCTGGACGATAACGATGTGGTTTTTTGACACCTCCGGTTGATGGTGCGGATTTACGAGCAGCTTTGGTGGCGAGCTGTTTACGAGGAGCTTTTCCTCCAGTTGATTTACGAGCAGTCTGCTTTGTACGTGCCATCTTGATTTACTTTTTTACCTTAAAAAGAAAAGAAAGAAAGAAAGAAAGAGAAAATGTTAACATTGTTTGTACACATATACATCTGTCTCTTGTGGGAGATTCGATTCGTGATGTCACGAAATTAGGTTTCGTTAGGAATATTCATAAGTTTTGACGATAATTGAAACGAGATTTCATTTCATAACATTGTTAAACTTTACCATAAATTAAATTAATAACCTTGGAAAAATTCATTGTTCAAAAATTATAAATTCCAATATGGCGAATGCCGTTACATGCGCAATGTGACACCACTTTTGGAAGCATCCCTCACTATGCTTATATACAAAATTTTATTTTGTTAATTTTTTTGATTATTTTGAAATATTTTTATGTTAAAATATCATTATCCTAATAATGAATACGTAAATTCGTAAATTGAATAACTTTTTTGTACTTATAAGTTAATTTAGACATGAAAATAAGATAAAAAAATTTTAAGTGAAGCGCGAAAATATTTTTCCAAATTAACGTTTGAAATTCATGTTTTTCTTAGTGAAATTACTATATTTCATGTAATTTCATTGTTAATAATGCTTTTATGATTAACTTACCTTTTTAATTGATGATATTATCCTGCGAAAGAAATTTTTGTTTTCTTGACTCCTTTTCGGAAAATGGACGTATTGAATGTTTGAACTCAAAGTGAACTTAGACTTTTAATCATTGGCGGCGCTGCCATCGCAAATCTCGTGCACGGACAAAATCTCGTGCGTGCACGGACACATTTTTTGTACATTTTGTATGGAAGGTCAAATCCGCGCGAACCGTCGGGGCACGAGGCAATTATCTCGAAACATCATAAACAAAAACCCTGTTGTCTGCGCTTAAACTGAGGGGGTATGAAGTCAATAATTCATTTATGAAGTCCTTAAGCTTCGTACCCCTATGACGTAAAATGTTGAGTTTGAGGTGAACAAAAAGCAGCTGATAAAAGCTTATTTAGTATAAATTTTTAGTTTGTAACCAGTGCATTAGTGCATTAAAAATATTTAAACGTTTGAGATAGTGAAGGAAAGCCTAAGGTACACATTTTATGAGAGGAAATAAATTTAATACAAAACAACTTTACGACTTGGCACACTGCAAATATTTTTCAATGTCAATTTCCACAATTTCCTGATATTTAATATAGTGAAGTGCATGTTGTAAATATCTCATATAAAGATGATATACTAGAAAGTGTCTGAAATTTTTCTTATCGTAATTATGAAGCCAGACACATGATTAGTTTGCAAAGCAAAGTAGAGATAGGTCAAGGTCGCAATAGATGACATCATCACACAACCAAAAGTTTAGCCAAATATTGTAAACATTGACGTCAGATGTTTTTCTTGTTTTTAGATTAAAGAAATGATTGGAAGAGTGTCAACATTCTTTCGAAAGCATCCGATGATAAAAGGAATGGCCGTTTACAGCGTAATTTGGCCAACGTCTTCAGTTGTTCAACAGGTGATCAATAAAGAAGAGTTTGACTGGAAAAAGAGTCTGAGATTCTTTTTGTTCGGTACTTTCTTCGTAGCACCAACACTTTATGGTTGGATAAAGCTGTCATCAAGTATGTGGCCTCAAATGAATTTAAAATCTGGAATAGCGAAAGCTGTAGTCGAACAATTCACGTAAATATTTCAAATTTCTTACTTCTATTTGTTAATAACATTTTCTTTTTGTGTTTTCAGATATGGACCATTTGCTGGAGTATCATTCTTCACATTAATGACACTTATGGAAGGACGAAGCTTTGGAGAAGCTTGTAGTGAAACAGCAGACAAATTTCCAAAGACATTTCGAGGTAAAACAAATATTTGCATTACGATGAAGTTCTGAAATCATATTTAATATTTTTTTCTCATCATCATCATCATCATCAAATTTTTTTCTCTTTCAGTTGCCGTCTGTTATTGGCCTTTCATTCAAGTCATCAACTTTTCTTTTATTAAAGAAAGAAATCGAGTTCCGTTTGTTGCCATGGCATCTTTCATTTGGACAATTTTCCTCGCTTACATGAAACAACTTGACTCAAAAATTGTTCACGACGATCCAGCTTTATTTCCTATTCACTTATCCCAAATCAAAGTACCCGATAATCTCAACAGAAAGGTTCAACAGGAAGAAAAGTGAAATTATTAGTTATTAAATTTATTTATATTGTTTTCCCAAAGAATGATTTAATTTATTATTCTGTGATCATCAGCTTGATGCTGAATGTCGTCGCGGTTTGTTAGTACAATTTTAGATAAATTTTATTAAATATTTTTAAAATAATATTTATGTGCTATTAATATTAAGTATTAAGAATCGAAAACTGTTAAATTATTCCGAATAAAATGAAAAGTATTTTCTTTTGCATAAAATGTTGTTAATTAACGCTTGTCAAGGTCATTGAAAGCAGTCAAAAAGTTTTTCTTTCGAAGCGTGTTTGTGACGAAAAATCGAAAGTTCTAATTTGAAATTTAAGCTTTCTTGATTGTTTACAAATTCGGCCGAAAGTTTTTCATCTAAATTTATAAACATGCATCAGCGTACATCGACCGAGTCTTCTTCCGATTATCTTGGCGCACGATTTTCTAAATAATTGCGATGAATTTTCATTCCTTTTCAGTTTCATTCTCGCGTTCTTACTAATCACAACATTGCATTGATCTCAGCTTTTATCTAATCTCAGAATATATTTTTTAAATTATTTATTTATAAATATTAAAAGTAAAGGAAAACTTCCAGTTGTAAATTTTAAGATTGCTTTAAAATGACGCTGTCATCACCGAGAAATAAAATGAATTTACTTCGTTTAATGTTCACATTTCACAAAGCGAGAAGATATGCAAAGTCAAAAGCAGAGCCAGCCTTTCAAATATTTCGAAAACATCCAATAACACGCGGAATGGCTTCATATTTATTTATCTGGCCATTTGGCAACACAATCCAACAGATCATGTCAGATCAGGAGAAGTTTGATTATTGGAAAATTGTTCGTTTTGGTATTTATGGTGCACTCATTACCGCGCCTTCACTCTATGCTTGGGTGAAAATTTCAACTGCTATGTATCCAAATGCAAATTTAAGAATTGCTTGCGCGAAAGTAAGGTATCTGAACAACGTTCATCTCTCATCAATTTGAATTGTTTTTTGCTAATCTTGACAGGCGTTGATTGAACAAATTACCTACACACCATTCGCAATGACGACTTTCTTCTTCAGTATGACTTGGTTGGAAACTTTCTCAGCCGCTGAAGCGTGGGCGGAAGTGAAAACAAAGTTCATTCCTTCTTATTGCATTGCAATCACAATCTGGCCAGTGATTGGGGTGAGATGAAAGTCACATTGATGAAGTGAAGAAAACTTTTAAATACTTTTCCCATTTTAGACAATAAATTTCGCGTTCATTCCCGAACGAAATCGTGTATTGTTCGTGTCATGTTTCTCATTACTTTGGACGGTTTATCTTGCACATGTGAAGAACCTTGAAAGAGATAAAATGATGTTGACAAATAAAACGAAAGAATTGGAGAATGAAAAATAAAATTAAGTTTGATGAAAATAAATTTTTATTTCTTCTCTTTTTATTTACATACGGTAATTGGAAAAATTAAAGATTTTGCTTTTGTTCAACTGTCAAACTTGCAAATTGTGATGAGAGAATTTGCATGACATCTTTGTGACTTTTGCTCGGTGTTTTAACTTCTTTGTACTTCATCTTAACGAATTTTGGGAATCCACGAACTTCTTTAGCGACTGGCGTAATCACAACTTCCCCGTCTTTGTTCTTTTTATTCAAAAACAGTTCAATTGGACCTTTGCAAACTGAACAGCGAATGTTTTCGACTTTCTTACTCTTTGAATGTGCTTGATGCTTCGCTTTGCAGTTGACACATTGATAAGTGTAGCGATATTCAATAATATAATTGTGACAAACATTAATCTTCGGTAATTCAGGGAATGTTTGATTTGCCTTCGACGCCCACGCTTTCCATGTCGCTCCATGCCCATTTCCGCCATTCAAAATCCACGTTGCTGCATGACACATCTCATGAATTAAAGTACATCGAAGACGATCAGCCGATGTCAATACTTTGTCGCTTAAATCAATTTTACTTTCACGAATGCCATTGCGACGACAATTGTTGCATCGCCCAGCTGTGTTGAGAAGTTTCTTGTTCCAAATCACTTGAACTTCTGAGAGTTGTCCATCAAATACTTTCTCATTATATAATTTGAATAACTTTTCAGTTAATTCGTTTTTCTTCGATTTGTAATTCTTGCGATATGAAAGCGCTTCGGGATCGCATAACAGTTGACTTCCTTCAGCGTCAAGTGACTTTAAGAAGCTGTAAGTTCCGAACTTATTGATGGGAAATAAATTTAATTTCGGTGTTTGCGTTTTAGATTTTGGTGTCGTTTTCGTATTTTTCACTGATGGCGACTTTTTTTTACCAGAATCTTTGATATTCGATGGCAATGGACGTGGAAGTGGACGAGGGAAAATCACTTCAATCGTGTTTAATTCATTTTCTTTATCGCTGCTTCTTGCATCTTCATTCCTTTCATTCCTTTCGTCAGCAACAACTTCGTCCTCATCTTCGTAATGTGAATGTGTAAAAAGCTTTCTTTTGGATGGTTTCTTCATGTCGGGCGTTTGCATTCCTTGCGGTTTCTTAAACTCGTAACGATATAAAAGCTCATCCAACTTTTTCTCTCTGTCATCGTCGGAATTATTTGGAACAAAAATTATTTCTTCATCTTTATGACTTTTACGTGAAACGTTTCGCTTTTTAATTCTTTCACCTTCACTTTTATATTCTTCATCAGAACTTGCATTCCAAGTCTCATTGGGATTAAAATCATCGCCAGAAGAATCTTCCGATGGTGTATCTGAATCACAAATCTCGAGATAACGTGGAGTTGTCTTCGTGCTGCTTGGCAAATTCTTCTTTTTCGTTGAACTTATGATTGGAGCTTTTGGTGTCGAAAGTTTAACTTCATCTTCATCTGATGAGATTTTTGGTGATTCAATTTCTTTTGGAAGATCTTGAATAACTTGAAAAGGAAGAGATTAAAAATTATTTGCAATTAAAACAAAATTTGTTACTCACAATTCTGAAAATTATTGGCATGAATCGATTTTCTTAAATTTTGACGGACTTTCTTTGATTTACATGATCGCAATAATTGCGGCGTTTTCCATGTTTCGCCATAAAGATTTGTAAGAATTTCTTGGAGATCATCGTCGAGAACAATTTCTGGTGTCTTTGGAGTTGTTTCATTTTGCTTTGTGATGTCAATTCGATCAGATTTTAAGTTTGTTGGTGTTTTAATTTGAACATTTCCTTGCATTCCTTTCTGTTTCTCTAAATTTATGTTGATATTTGATTCATTACGTTTCGATGTTGATTTTGGCTTTTCTGGCGATGAATCTGAAGAACTTTCGTCAGATGAACTCGAAGTTGTGTCATCGCTTGGAATTCGAATCTTTAAGTTTATATTGATATGTGCTGAGATGTTGATTTTGCCTTTAATACGTTTGATCTTTGATTCGGAAAGTTCTTCACTTGAAACGACTTCTGATTGACTTGGAATTAACGTTTGCGCGTCAGAATTCTTCTCCTTTTCTTTATTTTCTTCTTGTGGTGTTTGTTGAACATCAGACAAGTCAGTCTCACCGATTTCAATTTCATCGCCGAAGTTCTCATCAGCTTCTTCAATGTTGTTCAATCTATCACCACTAACATTCAAATTTCGAACTTCTTTCTCAACAGTTTCGATGGTTCTCGTTCCTCTTATCACTGAATGTGTCACAACATGATCAGGATTTTTAATCGAAGGTGGATTATTGAAAAATCTATTCAAAGTTGTGTCACTTTCACGTTTGTCACTGACACTTTCATCAGGATTGCATAAAGTTGAACAATTGAAATGAGATTTGTCTTGAAGTGGAGGCTCGTCCACTGAAATGTCTTCTTCATCAGAGTCTGATATTGTGATGACATCTTCTTCATCTCCTTCATCATCATTATCATCACTTTCAGAATAAATCTCTTCATTTTCATCTTTTTTTGGAATCTTTTGTTGAATTTTCGTTGATGTGAGTATGAACGATGAAGATGTTCGCATCATTGATTCAGAGAATCCAATGACAGTTTCTGGCAGTGAAGGTTTTGGTGGTCGAGGTTTCTTATTAACAACTTTCGGTTGAACTTTAACATTTGATAATTCACCAAACGATCCAATTACCGTGTCAGGAACTTCATTCTTCTTATTGCCTTCTTGTTCATCTTCTGAATCTGAAAATGGTCCAACGATTGTATCACGAAGTTCTCTTCTTTTACGAATTTTTAGAACTTTAGCATTCTCTTTACTTTTTCTCGTCGATGATTTGTCAGGAAATGAACCGATTACAGTGTCAGGAAGTTTACTTTTAACTTCGTCCTCGTCCAAGTCGCTAAAAGATCCGATGACAGTATCTCGAACTTTATTACGATTTTTCGGTGTGAGAAGTTTTTCTTGTCTTTCCTTTGTCTTGACATTCATCTCACTCATTTGTGAACACAAATCATTGCCGGAAAATGAGCCGACAACAGTTTCTGCCAATGTAACTCGACCACTTGACCTTTTATGTTTTTTAACTGGAGTGTCGCGTATACTCAAATTCTTCAGAGGACTTGAAATATTCTCAGGAACAACAGCTCCATTGGTCAGATTTGATGATGTGCTGCTTTCAAGAATTCTGTTAATTATTGGTTTACTTTTCTCTTTTTTTGACACTTCTTTCGGAATGTTGTTATCACTGTCATTTGAACTGTCATCGTCGTCAGTAAGGAGAGCATCATTTTGTCTTATTGGTGGGTTATCAGTCAGTTCTCCTCTGATAGGAACGTGATTTGCTTCTGAAAAAATAAACAAAAGGAAACAATTTTTTTTTAAACGAAACTACAATTTTCATTTATAACGTCTTACTTTTCTTCAGCTTCAGGTTGAGTCCTGGAAAATTACTTAAAAATCCAAACTTTTCATTCATTTTTCACTCTTCGATATCATAAAAATAAATTGTTTTTTTCTTTCTAAATATATTTTTTTGTTGTTTTGCTAGCATCAATTAAATTTTTTCGGTTAAAATTTGAAACGGGGGTATCACACTTTTAATGATCAGAGTGATCCATGAATCAGCGTAGTTCAAGAAAGTTTCAGTAAACTGACACTAGATAGCGCTACTTATTATTCCAACATCTTTCCATCTCAAGGAAAAAGGAAAATATCCAAAAGTATCCTTTAAAAGAACAGTTCTATAGCTGAAAATGACGGAAGTAGATACAGATATCGCTGATATTGTTAAAAGGGAAACACATTTCCAAGAATACTTTAAGAACTTTTCATCACAATTAATGAAACTTATTGACCAGGTAAGTAAAGATTTGAAAAAAATTCTTGATTAAATGTCACTTAAAAGCATTCATTATATAAGGGTGAAATTGTAAAATTATGTAACAACGATATTCTTATCGATACAAGTTTACTTCAAGATCATTTGTCCTCAAAGTCTTCGCTGTTTCAAGTTGAATCTCTTCAAGATTTTGAAACAAGTCTTGGCATCCTTGGCTTCCATCTCAGAGAACATAATGAATACCAAAAATTACGATTTTCAAACTTAACTTTCAACCTAGGAGGGTCAACTTTCATTGGTAATTGGAAAAAGATATTAAAAAAGGATTCAAAGCCTACGAAGAAAATTCATTGCATAAAAAATCTTCAATTTCTAAAACGTCTTTCGGAAAAGCACAAATCTAATAAAGTTAAACTTTCGAGACTGGATCTTGCTAAAATTAAATTACAATTTGCACTTAGAAAAACAGTGAAACCATTGGAAGTTGGTGAAGAATCTCCAAAGATTGATGAACCAGATTATGTCAAAAGTAATGAAATTGCTGGGTATTACGGAGAAGTTTCCATCGATCAATTAAAAGTTGGATTTCAACATCTATATCCTGTTTATGATGAAAAGTCTCCCGAAGTCTCGATAATGGACGAAGAGCCAATATTCGTTGACGTTGTTCGGGAAGAAGTTGTTCCACTTCAATCTTCTCCACCAATAACAAAGCCAAAGAAAAAATATGCAAAAACATCAAAAACAACTCGTACAGCTAAGAAGGAAGTTTCTGACGCTCTTTTGTTCCTACACAAGGAAACTGTAAAGTTGAACAAAATCCAAGCGATGGATGTTGATGGGGAAGAATAATTTGATCATTTTTTACTTGAAGTTTACTGCTGTTTTTTTTTTCTGAATTTTTTTTTTCTAATAATTTTCTTTACACTTCGTGGATTTTGGATTTTTAAAAAAGATTTTTTTAAATTTTATTCAATAAATTTAATGATTTCACATTCACCATCATTGTGTTAAATGAAACCTCAAAAGAGAACCGGAGAAATAAATTTACTGCTGTTGTTGACTTCCTTGCTTAGCAGCTTTTTCTTTTGCATTTTCATCTTCGATGATTGTAACGAATTTCTCGATTGTTTCGGCATCAAGCATTTGCATTGGTTGATCCTTACGCATAACAGCAACTTCCAGATTCTTTTGGCCGGATTGAACAACTTCCAGAAGAGCTTTAATAGCTAACTTCACAGCTCCATCCTCAGTCTCAACCAACTCGGGCGTGTAGTACTTTTCCAAGAATTCTCGCACTGTTTTTGCTGACTTTCCTGTCGCATTTGCTTTCCACTCGTAATAAATGCCAGATGGATCTGTTTGAAACAAATGTGGTGTCCCATCAAGATCGAATCCACCAATTAAACATGAAAGACCAAACGGACGTCGTCCATTGGATTGCGTGTACTTTTGTTTCAATTGTGCAATGTATCTAGTGATATATTCAATTGTCACAGGATCTTCAACATTCAATTTATGACTTTGACACTCAATTTGAGCTCGATTGATGAGAATACGTGCATCGGCGGTGAGTCCAGCAAAAGCCATAACGACATGATGGTCCAATAAACAAATCTTACGAACAGTGCGATCTTCCTGAAGTTTAGCTACAGATTTCTTCTCAACACACAATACTACTGCTGTCTTTCCTCTGACACCAACCTAAAATGAAAGGAAGAATCATTTGTTAAGCTTTGTGGTTCTTTGGTTTGTTGATGTTTTGTTGTTGATGACAAGCAAAAATTATATTGAGGTTAGTTGGGACATTTTCAGTGTTATTGAGAAGATATTATTGTCAATTTTGCGGTAGATGTTATGTATAATTATAATTATACTACAATTCATTGAAATTTTCACAATTTCTGTCTGAAATGTGATGAAAAATTTTTGTATAATTTTACTTACGGCTGTTGAACCTTTATGAACTGCTTCTTGTGCATATTCAACTTGAAGCAAATGACCATCAGGTGAGAAAACAGTAACTGCACGATCGTATCCACCAGACATATTTTATTTCTTATTTCAAGTTAATTAAATATCGAAAAATATTAATTTGTTGTGTCACTGTGTCGGCTAAATAACAAATTACAGTAAAACCTCTTTTTAACGGCAGATACTTTTTTACTAGGTAGATAATAACATTGAAAGTTTCAATGATATTTGTTAATTGACATTTATTTTAAAAGAAACAATGAAGTTCTAATATTATACAGCGTCCATATAAGAGCAGAATTACCTTTTCAAGAACATCCCATGGGGCCCTCTTTTCTAAAAATTGTATAACCTGAAGTTAGTTGCATTTGATATTTGAAACTGTTTTCTTATGAAGTGCCATCTTTTCCCACTAAAGTCGCTAAAATCGTTTCTTAAAAATTGAAATTGAATTTAGAATCAAATGAATTTTTCTATCCTTTTAAGTGATAAGTTTTGTGATATTCTTCTATTTTAATTGTTCTATGGCCCTGCAGAGGAAATTACCTACAAAAATATGTGAGTGTAGAAACCAGAAGTTATTAAAATTTGCAAAAATCGTTTTGCTCAAGGCTATTATTGTGTTAGACAAAAAAGAAAGAAAAAAGCGAATTTAAGACGATTCAAATATATTTTCTGGATTTTCAGTTCAAACGACAGCCCATTCACAGAAAGTATCATGCCTAGATATCGGTGAAACCGGCAGAGTTCTTGTGACTGGAGGCCAAGATCGTCTTGTCAATCTTTTCGCAATTGGCAATGACAAACCAATTCAGGTGAGTTCGAAGATCCAGTTTGTGTGAAAGAAAATGATGATGAAAATGAAGTCAAGAGCTTAATGAGTGTGGGAGTTTGAAGTGTTTCGCCACTAATTTACAAATAATCATCTGATATTCAGATTCACCGAAATTTTCTTTCGTCATTTCTCTTTCCAGTCACTTGACGGTCATCATTCTCGTGTCGAATCCGTTCGATTCACCAATAACGACGACTATGTTTACTCAGCGGATGAAAATGGAATCATCAAAAAGTGGGATCTCAATAATTGCGACAACAATTCGACCTTCTATGGACACATGAAAAGTGTGAAAAGTTTAGATTTTCATCCTTACGGTGACTATTTAGTGTCTGGAAGTCACGATACAAGCGTTAGGTAAGCCAAATTCAGTTAATCTGTTCAAAAATATTTTATTTAATTAAAATTCACAACAGATTATGGGACACAAAGAACAATGAGTGCATTAAAAAGTACCGCGGGCACATAGCGAACGTAAATTCTGTGAAATTTTCACCCGATGGTTCGTGGATTGCATCGGCCGGTACAGAAGGTAAATAAATTGCATAACATCACACGAAATATCTAAAAATACTAATCATTCTATTCTGAAACAAACCAAAAACTATTTTTAGGTTCCGTCATTATATGGGACGTTAGAATGAGCAATAAAATACTCGAGTTTATCGAAAATGGTTCTCCCGTCACTTCTTTACAATTTCATCCATATGAGTTTCTCATGGCTGCCGGTCGTAACGATGGAAGTGTCGATTTATATGACTTGGAAAGTAAACAAATGATATCAAGAATTGAACGACGCGAAGCAGGAGGAAATTCAGTTAAATGTATAACATTCAGTGACAATGGCGATTGTTTGTTTGTTGGAACGACTCAGAATATCTCGGTGTTGGGTTGGGAGCCAGACCGTGAATTTGATCGGATTGAGTCGACGTGGAGTCATCTTGGAGACATGAAAGTTCTCAATGGAAAGCTTATTTGTGGAGGATTTGAGAATCGAATGGTTTCTGTCCACGCAATCAGTCTCGACAAAGTGATTCCCTTTTATAATCCTGCCAATGTAGTCTTCAATCATCAACAAAGTTCGAGGAAATCATTCAGCAAAGGTAATGGAAAATTGCGTTTATCACTTGACAAAACAAAATCAAATGGAAGCAAGACAAGTGAACTGGCGCTTGACAGTGGTGGTTTATCGTCACCAAACCTTTCAATTGAAATGATTGATGAAGAAATGGAACCTTTATCATTTCCAATGCCAACCACTGATGATAATCAATTTGAGTTTTATGCTTTAAGCAAATATAAGAACGCAATTGACTATGGAAACAATCTCACAACAAATGGGACAGGGGAAGAGAAGTATCAGCTCAGTAAGATAATTAATGAAGATCATCAAGAATCGACGACGATTGTTCATGGATTTCCATTGCCTGATCCTGATGGATTCAATTACAAGCCGACAAATATCGATGGTTACAGCAGTGACTTAGATTATTATTCACCAAATCGTTTCATCCTTTCGAATGTGTCAGCACACGAAGATTTCACTGTAAAAAGCGCACAACAACCAGACTATGCCCCAAAATTGCCTACAACAAATGTGAAACCAATGACAGCAAAGCAAAAGATGCTTGAGAATCATGACAAGCGAAGATCGTCACCGCCTGGTGCTGTTCGACCGACAAATCTGAGAAAGAACAACAGCGTTAGTACCGTGGACTTGAGTAAGATTGATGAGCAATTTTCAAGTATTTCTACGTCGAGTCGCAAGCCAATTTCTCGTGGATCATCACCAATCAGATCGTCAGCAAATTCAAAGATTCGGAAAAGTGAATCGTCATATCAAGTGAAAAATCAGAACCAGAAAAACCTCACCGTACAATTCTTTACGAAGCCGCAACGCTCAAAAACAGCAATTGATATGAAATCAAATAATCGAAGTTCAATTCCAAGAAGTGTTCAACCGCCACCGGTGGTTGCGCATCTTCCACCTTCACATAACATTCAGCCAATGTCAATTCCAACATCTTACAATCCGACAATGTCATATGAACAACATAATTATAACAACAGCGGCAGCTTTGAGACATCAAGTGAAGCTCATGAACTGCAAAATGTGTCGACTGGTCACGATACAATCTTCAACACGTTGTGCAATCGAATAACAAGTTTGGATATGATAAGAAATCAAATGAGGTGAGGAATGTGATGGAAATTAATGAAACTTTTCATTTATTCAATTTTTTCTTTAGAACGCAAGATTTACTTGCAGCTTTGAGAGCAGCAGCGAGAATAAAAGACGATTCGGTGATTGTTGACTTCCTTGGTGCAATTCTCGAGAGAAAGTAAGAAATTTGACAACATTTAATATTAAAACTGATTTTTAAATAATTTTTGTTTACTTACAGTGCTGCTTGGACACTCGACATGTGTGTGTTGGTTCTTCCGAGTATCTTCGAACTTCTACAAAGCGATTATAAGTTGTAAGTTCGTTTCTGTAATTTTTTTCCCTCATTTTTCTTTTTTTATTCCCTTCCCTTGTTAATAAATTTTAATCTCGATAGCGAGTTTGAATATCTTTTGTTGTCATGTATCCATCATGTATTCATTTCAACATTCATCGTGAGATTGAGAGGGCTACGAATGTATATAATTAGGGGATGAAATTGAATACTTTTATTTGAAAAAATCTTTTTTTTGTCTGCAAAATGGCGAAATAAATTTGATTTTCGTTTGTTTCTATTCACAGCCATTGCCAACGAGCTTGCGATAGTCTGAGAATTATTATAAAAGAATTTCTGCCAATAATTCAAGCAAACTGCGATCCGTGGTCGCCTGCAAGGAGTCTTGGTGTTGACATAACCCGCGAAGAGAGAGCACAAAAGTGTTTGGAATGTCGTAGTTGGCTGCTGAAGATTCGATGTTTGCCAGAGAATGATAAGATTGGAAATTCCCTTCAACCTCTTCAAAACATGATTGTTGATATTTGAAACAATTCTAGAGCAGCTTCAGGTTTTTTAATTATTATTTCTTTATTTCTTGTTGACTTTCTTTCGATCTTTATTCGCTCGCTTAAAGCCATTTTTTAACAAAATAATAAAATTTATCTTTATTTTTAAATTAAATTCCTTTGTCTCGTCTGTCATTGTAAATGTCATTGACTTACTTTCTATGAACTGGAGAACATACATTTTGCTATAATTAAGACTGATAAATTAACAAATGTAAGTTACGAGAACAAAAGTTCTTCAAAAGAAACAATTTTGTGAGTTCTTTAACATCGCGAACCGTCCAAAAATTTTTTTTTTCTGTCATTTAAAATTTGAATAATAATTTACGTCTTACGATTAATCACAATAACATGCGTGGGTGTGAAAATATTTTTTTAAATTTTTGTTTTGTTTTGATTGTTCTCGAAGAACGAAGTTTCGTCAATGAGATTAATTTGGCAGAATTTGAAGTAAAAAAAATATCAGAAATCGATTAGTGAACTAAGCTTGAAGGAAGACAAGATTTATTCAATTAACTGAGACCATCTTAAGACATTGCTCAATAAATATAAAGAAACATGACATTCTTGTCGGCAACGTTTGGTTGTTTCTAAAATTATTTAATCAGAAATCTTTCTCAGTCATTTAAATTAAATTAATTGGCTGACTAATTGATATCAAACTTTCCTTAAACTAAAAGTTTATTTAAGAATCTTCCCACATTTCAACTTCACAAGACAATAAACAATATTTTAACGTGATAATTTTAATAAAAAATAATTTCTTTCGGCTTTCTTTTGATTATTTTTATTTTTTTCTGCGATTACAAATTAAAAATTCACAACAAAGATGTTTAACCAAAAATAACAAAATTATTTAGAACGTGAAGAGAGGAAAATTACTGACCTTAATTTAAATAAAAAAAGACAATTTAAGAAGTTTCTTTCCATTTATGAATGCCATAAAGTCAAGACCAGAAAAAGTTTGAAAAATTCCATTCGCAATTTAATTTAATTTCATTTCCAAATGGCAAAAGAAGTAAAAAAAACAAATTTCAATAATAGGAGAAAATTATTTAATTTAATTAACAGCATATTAAACAACACTTCATAAATTTCGCACGATTTGATGCAAAAAGTGATATGAAGGAGAAGAAATAATTTTACTAATCTAACAAATTAAGTTAAAGTGACTAATAATGAAACTTCCATGTTGGAGATGTTGAAAGTGCCTTCACATGAGATAAAAATTTCTCCAGGTTTTTGTTTTCTTACAAATCTTTACAAAGATTTAAAGCTTTTCTAGCATTGACTCAAAATCAGCTGAATTTTAAAGTGTTTTTAATCCCATAAAATGTTTCATTGCTTTCAAGTGAAGCCATTCTCGTTTAACCGTCAATTCCTTCCTTTCATAACATCACACATTAGCTTAACATTAGTTATATAAATTAATATGAAAATTATTCCTCAACATATCAAGGAGAGAATACTTGAAAAGTGAATCGGCCTCAAGAAGAAAACAAATTAAAAGATTGAAAAAGAAACTAAATTGCCTTCGAAAAAGTTTGTAGACAGGAAAATTGTTTTGATAAGTTGTAAGAAGTTTTCATGTCACTCAGAAGCAAGTAAACAATCCTTGTAGAAATGCAATTGGCGATCAATTTAAATGAAAATTCGATCGGAGTGTGCAAATTATTTGTAATGCAAATCAGTCGTTTATCTTTATCACCTCACTGAATCCTAATAACTTTTAATTTAATGTTCAATTAATCATTAAGTTAATAATCTCGTGTGTATGAATGAATGAAAGATCAATTTTCGCGAACTTAATCAAAAATCGAAGATAACTTTTATGTAATTAAATTAAAAGAGATCCCAATTTAAGTTATTTGAGACTAAACAAAACTTTTCATCATTTGTATTTGATTTTTCCTTTAAGAAAACTTTATTAATTTAATTGAAGGAAATATAAACATTAAATAAAATAATTAAGAATAATCCAATAATTTAGATGTTAAGAAGATTTGTATAAAAAACATATGAAAATGATTAATTTAATTAACCCAATTGAATCGAAATAATAAAAAGCAGTGAATTTTATAATGAATTAAAATATTTATTGAGTGTTTTATTTTCAACTTGCATTATGTCATTTTATGTGTTGAACAATTCATAATCGTATTTATTTTAAGGATGCCCTTCAATTGCCTAAAGCTAAATTATTTATTAGATCCTCTTACAACATAAACAAACATCAGACAATAATCCTCCCATAAATTTTCAACATGAAAACGCTTCTGGCCATTTTCTTCAGAATTGTTAAACATAAAGCTATTTTGACTTAAATATCATACAAATTATTATCTCAGTCGAAGAAGGGAAACGGAAGTTAAACTTATTTATAACATTAATATTATTAGATGATTCTGCAAACAAATCTTCAAAATAATCTTAATGTAAAGAAAGATTTCCTGAAACTTTATGAAAGAAGATGAAGAACAAGAAATATTTTTGTTGCCCTCCAGGTACTGCGAAGCTTCTCAAGTGATAAATTGAAATTTCTCAACATTTTCAAGAGTCTTTTGTGTTTTGTTGAAAAGAGAAGTCATAATGAGTCTGAAATTGATCCTTCTGATGTTTGGATACAACATTAATATGTTACATCTTTCTTTAGAGATGAGAATCAACAACATTAAAAGATATAAACATAAAGAGTGAAAAAAATGTGTCATTGAACATTCGATCTCCTTTTTAAATCAATGACAAAGAAAGATGAAGACAGTTGAATGCATCTCAAAAGATTATTAGAACGAAGGCGAAAATGTCTTAAAAATAAAAATGTTGACACATTAAAACTCGCATGAAAAATCCCTCCTTTGTTGTTGACAAAACAAAAAGCTTTTTGTAAATTTAGAATTTTATGGAATCAGACACGAAAAAAAGAAATCAAAACATGGAGGGGATATATTTACATACCGTTGCCTTAGAAACGAACCAGAAAAGAGTATGAGAATATAACAACAAAATTAACAAGATTATAAATAACTTGCAAAGGCTTAAATTCCAAAAATAATCAATAAAACTTGAAATCCGACATTAAATAAAATCACCCGACAGTAAGTAAATATTTACTTCAATATCAGTATAATCCGAGAGAGAAATCAACATAATCCATGAGAGAGAACTAAAGGGGCGGAGCTTGTAAAGCTTTCAAATCTACCCGTAAATAAAATTCATCTTTTGAAACACTAAAAATCTTTTTTTTTGCTACTTTATCATCAGTTCGGGTTGAATTTTAAAACTAGCATCAAGTGGCGTGAAATTCTTCTCTTGTGCCGAAACTAGAAAAAAAAGTGTGGATAAAAAATCAATTATAAGTTCTCGAAAGTAAACATTTGAGTGAAAACCGTAAAATTAATTGATTATCGTGTTAAAAATGATGAACATGAACATGATGAATGATCCAGCACTAGCTGGCATGATTCCCTTTGATCCAATGCAGTTTTATGAGCCACCTAAGCCTCGATATATTTTTAAAATGCCACGCGTCGTGCCAAATCAAAAGGAAAAGTTTGAAAGTGAAGATTTATTTAAACGGCTGCATCGCGACGGCGAAGTTAGATACACAGGATTTCGTGATCGTCCTCAGGACGAAAGGCAATTAAGATTCCAAACAGGATGTCGAGAAGGACACACAGAACTCTCATTTGTTGCATCAGGCACAAATGTTCAACTGGTTTTTAATCCCGGCTACCATCACCATCATCATCCAGCATATGCCATTGAAAGAGAATGCGATTTCGACAAAGAAATCGGAAAAGTAAGTTTGAAATATTAAAGTCGCTTAAACTAAACATTGTTGCTAGCTTCATCACTTTCTTGTGCCGTCGGCAGACTCATAAAAGTAACAATAAATTCACAAAAAGGCATCACAAAAGTGATCCGAGCAATAACTCATCTCTTTTCATTTCTTTCCGTTCTTTGTTTTCTTAATACAATGTTAGATCTGTTTTTATTTTAAACAACTCGGAATTATGTTTGAGAACAAAAACTAGAGAAATATTATGAAATAAATCTTGAAATAGACAGAAATGTTAAAATTACTTGAACATTTGCATGTTGATCACCTGAAATCTGATCACAACTACAAACATCAATTGTTCGTCTTTTATCTTAATTTTAAACAAATTAACACATGTAAAGTAATAAATTGAGCGTTTAAAGTGAGTTATTAAATGACTTAATTGGTGCCATGTCGTCCCTTTGAGTCATTGCCGGTCGAAACTTTCCAACGATGTTTAACATGTTGATGCACATTGAGAAAGGGTCAGGTAAACGAAGCGATAAAATAACTAGCGGCAATTTGATTTTATGACACTGTTAGTCTTTATTAGTTTTCAGTTATGTTGATATAGAAGATATCCCTGAAATATCGAAGTCGATTATCTCAGACAAAAGAAATTTTTCGATAATTTTCTGCCTTCAGGATATTTGTAATTTTATAATTTTCGAATGAAGCTAATTGATGCTTGTTTGAAGCCCAATTTAAAATCAACACATCAAACACATGCTTCGTTACGTTTCAAGAGAAGTCGCTTTGTATGTCGACTTCCGGTCACGCAGGGAGGTCTCAAAAGTGCAATTTCTAAGGATCGAAACATGAAATATGATGCATTGGAACGGCATGAAGCACATGTAACTATTCTGTCAGAAGATGGCAACAAAATCCTCACGGATTAGCAGTTTGACTGTAAATAAATGCTAACTTACATATTAAGAGCATGAAAACTATTAAGGGACATAACTAAATATTTAAATGCGCTTCATGTGATGTCACCACCCTCGTGCATGCATCGTAAATAAAGTTTCTGAAAACTTCAACATCATGTCGCGTGTTCATCGTCATGTTAAATGTCACGTGAACTCGTTTAACTGATTCTCGTGTTGTGCATTCACTTCAAGAAGAAATGTGAGAAGGTGACATGCTTCACCTTTTGTTTTATCAACTAATCGCTTTTCAGATTCAAATTTCCTTTGTTCTCGTCCGCTTTTGTTTTGATTAATTCAATTTCATTCTTGATAAATCAACAAACAAATTATATCTTTATTGGCGGATGTTTTGCGTAAGTCGTGAGAAGAATTTTTTGTCTGAATTTTTTTATTTTCTTCTCATCAAAGGTAAATTGTTTGCGCGCTTATGGGATGATGCCAGAAAGGAAAAAGGAAGAACAATAATCATTTTGATGTTGAAAATGATTATAAGTTCGGTGAAATTGGCTCATTAAAGAGCATGTGGCGCTGGTGCATTATTGATTTTGATTTCCTTGCTTATTTAACTTTTATGATGAAAAATAATCAATAAACGAAATTTGAAATCTTTTCTCAGGTTCACATCAAATCACATTTCATACTCAACGGCGTTTGCGTAAGATTCCGTGGATGGGTCGACCTTGAACGTCTTGACGGCATTGGACGTCTCGAGTATGATGAACGACGTGGCGCACATGAAGATTCAATATTGAAAGAGCAACTCGAACGTTACAGCCAAAGATTAAAAGATTTTGAAGACACAAAACGCGGAGTTTATCCAAGAACTGACGATGTTAAGCGAGATGGGCAGACACAGCAGATGAATGGCTGGCGACGTTGAATTTTATTTATTTAAGTCTTCGACAATCCGAATGATTTGTGCAATGTAAAACATTTCCTAATTTAAGTACATTTTTTGATTTAAAAATATATTNATCTGGAAAGATTAAAAAGATTAAAAACTGTAAGTAAAAGTAATCAAAATTTTGGCTTACTTTCGTTCCATTCTTAAATTTAAAGTCATCATGACAACCAGCATGACATGCGGAAATGTAAGTGACACCATCAATGCCGCATACTGGAGAATATTTGACAAAGTCACAATGACAATCCATGTTACAACGTGCACTTTCCAATGAGCTTTAAATGAGAAGAAAAATTTGTTTTACGATTTTAAATGGGAAAGGGAAATTACGAACTTTCTCAAAATTTCTGCATTGTTGTTTGCTGGACATCCAACAAATCCAAACGCGATCAATCCCAACGCACTTATGAAACTTGTAACAATATTCCAACCAGCAAGATATCGTGCTCTTGGTTTAAATATCGTGATTACGATTCCAGCAGTTAAGAGTCCTACAGCCGATGCTACAAAGCTCACTGAACCCGTCATTGCGTTGGCAAAGGAAGGTGATAAAAGAAATTGAATTTGAAGATACTTTTGCATGAAATATCCGTAAGGAATGAAACCGAAAACATAGAAAATTGCTGCCATCGTATTGCAAAAGTATGTTTTGTTTGTCAAAAGTCTTTTAATGGTGTCGAAAAGATCTTGAATTGAAGGCTTTTCAACGTTTTCCAACAACTGTTCGCCTTTCGTTCGTTTCCTTTCAACAGCTCGTGGTAGCATTCTTGGAAATTTGGCCAAAATAGGAACCAGAAGAATCGAAGCAATTGCTAAGATTATGTAGCCACCCCACCATGCACCAATCCATCGTGGATCTTTGTTGTTTATCGTCGGATGAAGATGCGGCGCAACATAAAATTTCAAGAAAAATGACGCTGTGTTTAATCCAATCGCTGGTGCTAGAAGACGCACAAATCTGTGAGCGCTATAAATCAATGGAATCTTTGATCGTTTAATATTGTTGTCAAGATATGTAGTTCCAAGTGTGCTGAAAAACTGCTGACCACATCCAGCAAATGACGATGCAATAGCGATGATTGTTGTCGCAAATTGATATTCATTCTTGACTTCATCAGAACAGTCTTCGATTGTTGTCTCTAAATGTCAAGAAAGAATTTTTTATTAAAATTTAAGAGTTAAACAAAAGTTGGGCATTACTATTTTCAAAACATAAATTTTTTAATTTGTTTCGTTTTATGCGTTCCCATGTAAGATTGCCATTGAATTCCGATCCATATTCTTCCGTTAAAGCAAGCGCATCTCTTCCCGGTCCATAAATTGCATAAGGTACTACTTGCAACACTAATGAAACTGATAGAAGAAACAAACCGAAAGAAATCCAACGTGGGAAATGTCCTTTGGATGTATAGTAAGGAATGATGATAGCCAAAATGCCGCTGATGACATCTTCCAAAGCATACATCACTCCAATACTCGTACTTGATAGTTTATATTGCTTTTCCAATGTTGAGATAATACCACGAGTGTAGGAGCCACCACAATTAAAAAGCATCGCACTTAACGTGTAAACCAACACAAATGACTTTTTGCTTCCAAAGCTGGGAAAGATAATTAAAATTTATGATATTTATAGAATTCAACCTTCTTCAATGATTTATAGTTTTTGCTTACAATTTCGAACTTTCTTCTTGAGAAGTGGAATTCTCGTCGTCAATCTTTTCATCATCAGTTTCATCTGATTTATTATCATCCTTAATGATGAACTTTTCTTTAACACTTTCGTGATCATCATCAAAGTTTTCTTCGTCTGTTGCCATCGAGCTTAAGATATCAACTGAATAACTTATCAAAAGAAGATCGTTGTTATCTATCTTATCTTTAAAATACATTACAAAATTGATTATCTAAGATGTATAATTAAAGCTTTTTGGGGATGTGAAAATTTTTCTTCCGCTTTTTGAAAGCTTTCTTTTCATTTGGAGTGTTTTCCGTTAGATGGCGCTCATTTCACTAAGAAGACGTTTGTTCATTATGAATTTCGATGAATTCTTTAGATCTTAAAAATTTATGCAAAGCATCCTCATATTACAAAGAATCCATAAAACTGTGCAAAACAATGTTTTCATCTGCGAAAAGAACCTTAAACATCTGAGTGAATTGTTTAAGATATGCTCAGGAAATTATTCAATTCTTTTCGTAAAACTTTCCATTAGAAACTGAAACAAAACCGCACGCAAAAGCCACAAGACGTTCCAGAAAATAAATTACGAAAATAAACTATTGAAGTATTCATTTTCTTATGCATGAAAGAAACTTGAACGAAACCGCAGTTTTCAATAAAATTTAGTTAGACTGGAACGCAATCGGATGGTTCAAGAATCGAAATAAAAAGAACAATTTAAAATTGGTAAAAAATGTTTTCGCTTAAGAATTGTTTTGAAGTTTTCGGAAGTTTTATAAACGCTGACAAACCTTAAAAGGTGTGAATATTTCTATTTTATTGAGATATCGTTTCAACCCTTTCATCATCATGATGCAGGGAATAAAAATTCATTATGATGTTTGCTTAGCGAATTAGAAACGAAAATTAAATTTGCATTTACATCAATTTTTTATGCATCAAACTCCGAATGAATCTTTTTCCTTTTCCTGCCTTCATTTAACATATTTTACTCGATACATAAATTTATAAATCGTCTTAATGAATTAAACAAACAAGAACACCATGAACGATGCAAGCAAACATTTTTTTCATCTCAATTTCCATTCCTGGACATTGATGGATAAAAATATCATTTCGTTGTCCATTTCAATTCTTTCCCAATTGATCAAATGTCAAAATATGAAAACTTCTCGATGACAAATCCGATTCGAGTTATGAAAGGTCGAATCGACTCGACGATGATCTGCAACATTAACATCAGATTGTTTTATTTGTACTTTTCCTTTTGCCTTCATTCCTGACTCTAATCTCGTCTTAATTGAAATTCATACTCGGCTTCTGGATTTTAATCTCGATTGAATAAACAAGATTTGCTGCTGTTGCTGTTGCTTCTAGGGAGTCACACGAACTTGTCAGATTATCTCGCATTCGAAGGCAGAAAAGGGTTGAAGATTAATTTAAATTCTTCAATTTTATTTTAAATTCTTTAATTGACAGAAGTTTAAACTTTCATTAATGAAATCTCATTGAACATAATTCTTCAGACTGGAAAGAATAAACCGGAAATTAAACTGCAAAGAATTGAATCATTATTACGATGATTAATTACGTGAAAATAGCGTTCGATATGTTTATTGATATTGAACCTGCCTTCGGCTGTTAACAGCAGTTTTCTAAACACTTTCGATGAATGGACAATGAAGCAGCCCATTAGTGAAAGAAGTTTGAATGACATGAGAGGGTCTCGAACTCTCCCAACATCAGCCTCTGATTTACCTTCTCACAACCCCTGTTTGTTTCGTTTAAATATGTTTCGACAGAATACGAAACTGAATGGAGAATGGCACAATTGAGAAACGTTCCGTGTTCGTTTGTTTTCTATTTGCGAATCATTAGAATCGAACAATTTCTTTGTTGTTCACATTGCATCACATTTGTCAACTTCAACTGCTGTGCATTTCATTCCTCGCTCTTGCTTCTCATCAAACGTTCCCTGATTTCATTCCAGGTCAACATTATCGACATGAATATTCAGATGAGTATCAAACAAAAGGTTGATGTCGTCTCTCGACCCTCGTTAAAAAGAAACTGAATTGAGATCGAAATCTGTTTGCATAACAATCAACATTGAAAATATTTTCATATTGTTAAGTTGATCAAGTTGAAAATATTCAACTTGAAACTGAAGCGGATTTCGATTTATGAAACTTTAATAATTTTTAAATTAACATAAAAAGGTGAAACATTAAAAAAGATGATTTCGTACATGCAAAGTTTTATTTCAATTTTAAGATGCTGCTTCAAATTAAATATTCTTGGGTGGTAATCACTTGCAATGACTTCAAAGAAAAACATTTTAACTGCTAACAAGTTAGCAAAAACTTCTTTTTTAATAAAACCAATTAGAGATACTAAACATGCTATAACAAAGCACATAAACATAAATTTAAATTCGACGTGAATGCGACACTAATTTGAATGTTAGATGCAGGTTGAATTTATTTTTTAACACAACACAATATGAAAATTTAAATTGTGGGGTGGAAATTGAAAAATGAGAAAATTTTCACTTTTAATTAAACTTTTTATTTGCATGAAAACAATGACAAATGTGTTAATGATGCAAACAGCAGTTGCTGATGTCAACTTCGTTTAACTTTTCTAATTGTTGATTAGAATTGATTCTTCTTCACAAAAATCTTCGTCAGCTCCATTGGCACAGTCTTCATGTCCATCACAAAGCAATTCCTTACTGATAAATTTATTGTCGATGCAGTCAAAGAAAATTTCTGCTGATGGCTGGGTAAACACCAAAGGCAATGCAATCCTCCCGGCATGAATTATTACAATTAATAATGTTGCGAAGAATACGAAAATAAATTGCAACCTCATCGTAAATATTGACGATGTTAACTTGTTGAAAGTTTGATATAAACTGAAATCTTTTTTGAACTTCTTCAGGTAAATTTACGTGAACATCGTCAGCAGATGCAACTTGTGTAACATTTAATAAATCTAACAATAGGATGAACATTTTTGAGATTATCCACGGTTCCATGGTGTGAAACCATGCAAGCAACATGATAGGGTTGAAAAGAGTTGTTCATAAACACTTCCTTCAATATGTTACATTATTAATGATTCTTAATAATGTGACGACACAATTTGGTGTTGCGAATTAAATGTTGTGATGCAGAAAATAAAGTCACAGAATCTGTTACCAGTTTGACTTCTGCAATCATCGATCACAAACTCAAGAATTTAATCCTCTGAAGTTCTCGTGTTTATCATCATTTTCAAATAATCTTAAATCAACTCCCACAATCCATCATCATCCGGATAACTCTTCATCCACTTTCCAAAAATCTGCGAAAATTTTTCTACCCAAAAATTGTTTTATTAATAAAAAAGTTAAACAATCGCATCGTGTTAATGTGATTTCATTTCTAAGATCAATCGATTCTGATCGCTCAATTATATCAATCAGGGAAAGTTCAGATTCGGAACATTTTTTATGGGAAAATTAAAGAGAAAAAATGCGAAAAGTCACTGCAGAAATATGAAAGGGTGTGAAATTTGTCGTTAGAAGTTCCGAATGCAATGAAACAACGAAAGAGAGTTTAGTGACAGAAATTTATTAATAGAGCGACAAGCAGGCAGCATAAATTTATGAGTTGTCAACTCGTTTTTAATGTTGCTTTATTTTTATCATTACATAATGAAATATCATTAAAATGACAAAAAAAAAAGCGACGAAGTTATTTAACCCTTTAAGGCGTGAATGGTCACATTTGTGAATTAATTTTATTGAAACAAGCAACATTTAGAGACAAGGAAAAACATTTAAATTTGCTTTTTAATCCTGTTTGCTTTCACAAGATATGAGACGAATTCATTTATCATCGTCTTAACAGCTTCTAATGTTGTTTCTCAGGTAGCAATTCGAATCATCATCAGGTANTCTTAGTAAGTCAGTTTAGAAGTTACGTAAACTTTGTGAACAGTTATTTTCGAGAATGCCAGAAAATTCCGTAGAACAAAATTGCGGCAGATAAGTTCTACTTCAATTATTTCTTTGTAAGAGCGGCGAAACTGCAATGAAGGCTTTTGTATTTGCGTGTACCATCGACACCTTCAAATGCAAAAGCTTTCATTGCAGTTTTGCCGCTCTTACAAAGAAGTAATTGAAGTAGAACTTATCTGCCGCAATTTTGTTCTCCGGAATTTTCTGGCATTCTCATTTTCATGATTAAAATAATCTTAAATCTTTATCAAGAAAGGAAAAGGAGTTAGATTAGATTAAGATAAGAATCCAGATTAATGATTTATCAGCTTAATCCGGCTGTTAATTTCGAAAGGAAAACCAAAAAATCGTTCTTAAACGACTAAAATTTAAAAATATTGAAATAAAATAAATATCTACGTAATTGTTAAATCTATTATAAATGTTTAAGTTTGATATGGGAGATTCAAGTCAAAGCACTCAGCAAGAAAATAAGCCAAATTATAATTGGAAGGACATCAAAGATGAATTTTTTGATTGCGTTGAAAAACTCGAGGTTGGTGAACTTGAAATGCAAGACATTTTCACTTTATCAGAGTCAACATCAGCAGTCGTAATGTTGGATAAAGCTTCTGACATCGGACATTTCGAGAAAAAAGAGGATTTTCCTCTATCATTTAAAGTTGCTGTTGAGGTTAATTTTTTTTTAAATTATTTTGAAATTCATTTTTATTAAAACTGATGTCTTCAGACTGGTCAATTGAAGTTGAAAGACTTCACATATTCGGAACTCATTGGAATCTTTGATTCCCTCTTTGCATGTCTAGCTTCATGGATTCAAGGAACTTCCATTGTCCAGTCAATTCTTACTTGTCTTTATTTACACAACACTGCAGCAATTGAAGATAAATATTTGATGAGCTTTTGCAATGGAATCTTAAAGATTTCACGTACCATCAGCAATTTTATTCTAAGGTAAACATTTTCCTTATACTTTTAATGATATTAATGTAAAATTACTCATAAATAGAGCTGGAGTGTATGAGGAAGAAGATTTCCAATCAAATCTTTTCAACTTTGATTTATGCGATGAGATTATCGCCCGTAAAGTGTTAGCTGCATTAAGAGATTCGGAAAACAGCATTCAAAATTGTCTTCGAAAACTTAATTCGTCAGATGATGAGTTCAAAGATCTTACTGCAATTATCAGTCGAATTAAGTATCTTAGGTTGATGCTTCAATGTCTTCTCGAATTATTTCCAACAAGACTCGTCTCACCTGATGAGAGTAAAATGTCTGATATCACAAAATTGTTAGCAGGAGCTATTGAAGTATTCCCCGAAATTAAAAAAACAATCGACCGAGGAACACAACCCGATCCAGAAAGTCACTCTCCTAATCCAATTGGCTTTTCTCCTAATGTGAACCTTCGATTAATTCCACCAACATTTCCTCGATACCCAAGAATCATTAGTCGAGTTGATGCCTTAAATTTTCTTGAAGAACTGCCGAAGAACATCAGATTAGCTTGCAAAGTCATTCAGTTTACAAATTTCCAAAGTGTTCTCAGCTTCTTTCTAGAATTCAGTAGAATTGCGGAGCCTTGCTTGCTCTCGCGAAGCGTCTTGCAGATTATTTACTTTCCAGCCAAAGGAAAAGTCTTTGGGACATTAAATCTTAATGAAATTCTAAAAGACTCCGCGAGGGATTTCATCGGTCCACCAGGTCTCTTGCCCAGACATCAATTATTTCATGATGTTCAAGTAAGCATAGGTTTTAATGATTTCAATTAAGCATAAATGTGTGTGAGGTAAAAATGACGAATTGAATAATTCCGAAGGAGTTTCAAAATTTATTCGTTATTTTTATTGCTTTGTTTATTTCCAACTCCACTTAATAGCTTAAAATTTAATTCAATTAATTATTAATAGGCTAAAGAGTGTATTGATTTGTTCTTCTTCAACAATGGACATATTTTTGCTCGACTTATTGAAGTTTTCGGTTATTATCGCTCACGACAACGTTACAAGATTGAGGAACTCTTGACAGACTTCTCGAACATGCAATACGAAGTAAGTTTTAAAATACTAATTAATTAAAATTATTTAAATATAATTTCTGTTAGGCAGAACAAGTTGATGCTTATTGTCGTAAGCAGTTTTCAAGTTGTACATCAGCTGATAATTGTTTTGAGAGTTGGTCGATTTATTATAGTCTTCGAGCGATGTTGCATTTCTTGTTGCTTGGTTTTGAACTGGAATTGTACAGCATTTGTGAATACTTTTACATTTACTGGTGACATTAATAACAGCTATTGACATTCAACCTCTTTACTTATGATAAAATGTTTCAGGTACATGGAAAATGTGACATTGAGTTGGATTATTTCAACTCTGGCTCAAGCTGAAGCATGTTTAGTTGAACAGAAATGTTCGACTGAAGAATTTAAAAATCTTTCTCGTGGTCAAAAGCGTACAAGATTGATTAAGAAAATGAAACCATTTGATCGTGAAATGAAGATTATGCAGACATTGCAATCACTTTGTGCTGGATTTTGTAAAGCTGTTGGTGGATTCATGAAAGCTGGCAGAATTCCCAAACCTTTGCCTGAATTTGACAGTGAGAAGTTTCGCTATGAACATCGTTTTGCTGCTTTCGTTGATTTTACTGCGCCACAAATGATAAGTTACCAGGAGTTCAAAGAGAATCAAGAACAGATTTTTACAGCTGGTCAAGAAGTTTTGTTTTTGGGATCGTCTCACAGCTTCAGCCAAGCGAAAAACATTCTGGAAAACTTGCCAAATTTAGATCAAGAAGTGAGTGAATTGAAATAAACTTGAAACATTTTATTGATTTTATTTTTACGACAGTTGACGAGTATGTTGAAGGTTGCAAAGAACAACATGGTCGTCATGAAGTTATTGGCGAATGGACACAAAAAGGAATCAAAATTAACACCCAACTTTGATTTCTCGATTCATCCTTGCTTCCCAGCAATAAAACAACTCTAAGGTTGATTTGTTTTTTGCATGCAATTTAATATTTTGTCTGATTTTTTTTTGAATTATTTCTCAATAATCTGCATTCAACTTCCACAATCCATCATCATTTTCATACACTTTCCAAAAATCTGCAAAAAGTTTTCTACCCAAAAATTGTTTTATTAATAAAAAAGTTAAACAATTGCATCGTGTTAATGTGATTTCATTTCTAAGATCAATCGATTCTGATCGCTCAATTATATCAATCAGGGAAAGTTCAGATTCGGAACATTTTTTATGGGAAAATTAAAGAGAAAAAATGCGAAAAGTCATTGCAGAAATATGAAAGGGTGTGAAATTTGTCGTTAGAAGTTCCGAATGCAATGAAACAACGAAAGAGAGTTTAGTGACAGAAATTTATTAATAGAGCGACAAGCAGGCAGCATAAATTTATGACTTGTCAACTCGTTTTTAATGTTGCTTTATAAAGAAACTGCATTGAAAGGGATCATTCATTGTTAACCCTTTTCATTGGGCGTGTCATCAAATGGACAAATGAAACGTTTTTCAAGTTAATTTATGAACATTTTATGCAGGTTTACAAAGTGATTTGTTGTTTCGATTTAAATGATTCTTCTAAGCACAAAAAAAGTCTACAACCACCCACTTTCAACCCGTCCGTTAATCCACATTTGGCCACGATCAGCAGACGAACATGTGCGTGTGGATTTTCATCTTAAATCATTCGAAAATTTGAATTTCATTCATCACGTTCTTGGGATCAAAATAATTACTGAAATTTCCTATCAAAACTCTTAAAACATTTTTTTCTCCTTTAAATTCCAAATCAAACACGCCGAGAATTTTCCTTTCAATTCTGCTTTTTAATTTCAAAGCAAATAGAATGCAATTTGTGAAATATTTTTAGGGATGAAAATGGGAAAGAATTTCTGTTAAGGGTCGTGATTTGTTTTTTGCATAAGAGATTTTTGATCTCAAGTGCTTGAAAAGAATTTTTTCATTCTTTTTAATGAGATGTGAAAGCTGTCACGTGTTAGCGAATCCCGAATATTCTTGAATTTAAGTAATTGTTTAATGTAAAGTGGAAGGATTATTAAAAATTCGAGACTTGAATTGAAATTTGATTTGTAGCTCTAAAGTGAACATCAAATGATAAGTGAAACGAAGAAATTGTGACATAATTTTAATGAAAACCGCATGCATAAATCGCCCTCGTGATTATCGTCGTTTAAAATGTCACGTGAATTTATTTAATTTATTTAACTGAATTCCTCACATTTCCACATAACATAAATGCAGTAACCAATTCCTGATCTACTTTCTATCAACATTATTTGGTAAAAAACACAAAAAGAGAAACCAAATCTTTCGTGAATCTTTTAACAAAATTATGGATTTTCAATTCAACACAGAAGGAGCTGAATGTGACATTGATGCCGAGAATGAATATCATTTGGAAATTAAAATTGAGTCTTTAACTTTAGTGAATCAACAAATTAATGAAATTCAGATAATTTTAATCTTTGGTGACTCTGTTAACAAGATGAAAGTTGATGGCGACGATGCAACTTTCGATGGTAAAGTTCATACCTACGTTGTTCATTCGAAGCCTTCAAAATTAGCTGAAAAACTTTTGAACTCCCCAATAATGATTCAAATCGTCGAAATTGAAAGCTTGAAATCGATTGGTAAGTTCTGAGTCAATAAGTAAAAAACTTTTCATTAAAATTTTCTTTCTTTCGTCTTTGAAAGGTTTCTTGATTCTTGAAGTCAACGAATGCTTTGCAAATGCTGTTAAATGCAGTGACTTTTGCTCAGAATCAATTAGAAAATCTTTGGACCTGACACAAGACGATACTGAAGGAAAACTCGTGATAAGCTTCAGCGTTAGAAGAGACATCGGAAACAGCAATCGACATCGCGAGTTTTACACTGAATCGACTAAGGAAACGATGAAACTTGCAAATATGCAAAGAGAAGAGTCAAGAATGGTTACTGACGCAGTTCCTGATGATTCCGCTGAATAAATTGCCCGTTTGAATAAATGTTTTGGCATCATGCCATGGGATAAAAGCAAAAGTATGAGAAGAAACATTAAATGTTCTAAATTTCAGTAAATTCTCTTATTATAGAGCAAAGTATTGCAAGTTCTTTAACAGAAAATAATAACACGATCATGTTCTTTAAAAACATTTCAAATGAAATACAAAAATCTGTTTTGAAGTATTTAGTGAGCTTCATTTAATGTTTCTTTTGAATGCTCATGTTGAAGCTAAGAAATCTCATTTGTTTAATTCTTCTTCAAACGGAGACTGTTTGTGAGTTGTTGGATCGTAACAACAATTGAGAAGAAAAGAAGAATTGAAGACGGATTGGATAATTTGAACGAATTTCTTCTTGCTCAAAGCTTTTGTTATGGAAAACACAAAACGAAATCTGGATTTGGATGAATTCAAGTTGCTGGTTGTGAGAAACTGTGAGATGAAAGAACAAAATTGGAAGAAATCGACGAGTTAAACAATCAAAATTTAAATTGTTGCCAAAAAGTTTTTCAATCACGCACTTGAACTGCTGCTGATTGCGATCATTTCAAGTATCTGCTAATTTTTTTCAATTTTCACGAATTTAAACGAAAACAAATTCAGAAATCTGAAGAAGCTGAAACATGAACCATCGGAGATTGTTTGTTTCCTTCTTTAATAGACAACGAGACTCGCAAACATTTTACTCCAATTGCATGATCGATATCTGTTTAAGGCTGATGAGATTCTCGGAATCTGTGAAAAATGAACAAAAAGTTCATCATCATCGGCTTCTCTTTCAACTCGGCTTATCTTAAGACGATCGGCTCGAACAAATAAACACTTTTCACTGATCGTCAATAATCTTCTCGATGCTATTGTGTCAAACTTTTAATTTTCTTCCTCTTACACATTTGAGTTGCTTCTGTTCGACCAATTATCTCATCTCAAGCAATTCCTTTCCACTGATGGAAGTTTCGAATTTGTTTTCTTAAATTTTTATTGTTCATCAGTCGCCAAGTGCATCATCAAACATGCTCAACATGTGACGATGTTTTCATTATGTTTAACGACTCTTTGAATGTAAATATTTAGATTTGCTTTAATTTCTTGTTTAATCTTTAACTTATTGTAAACATTCTCACTTTATTAATGAATCAAATTTTCTTTTATCGACGATGACGATCAAAACATTTCATTGAAACGTCAAAAAACATTCAAAACGAGTTTTCTCCCTTTCTGAATGCATAAAATCTCGTGGCAAAGTCAAAATGAATGTTTATCAAGGATAATNATCACAGAATTTTTAATTATTTTATCACTTGCACTTGATTTTTGATTTCTATAAAGATTATTTCTTTTATTTGAAAATTTATGTGTGAATCATTTAATGTACTGTCCAAATGGTGTAACGCATTCAACAGCCGTTTGTACTATGAAGAACAAAAAAAGAAACAGCGAGTTTTAAAAAACGAGAAAGCTCAAACTGAAACTCCACCCATTGAGTGTAAGAGAGAAACTAACACTTGCTTACATAAATAAGGAAACATTTGAATGTGTGTGTGTGATGTACATAAGTAAATAAATGCAATCTGCATGTAACTAAACAAGCAGTTATGTACATAAATATCTAACGAAAGAAATGTTAATAAAAAACCATTTTATGTAATTTATGCAGTTTAAAAAAATTATTCAGGTTTGAACTTGAAATTATTGCATTGAGAATATTTTTATTAAATGCATGCTTAGCTACATAAAATATTTAATAATATCATCAATTTACACTTTAAATTAGTAGCCAATAAAGCACAGTAGGATAAAATGAGATGAGATTAGATGCGATCAGTATCCAAGCTTGACCATTGACTTCAATCTTCGAACAGTTTCCAAAGGCGTGTGAAGGCATGTCGGGTCAGAATTTTGTGCGGCTTTAACTCATTCACTGACATCAAATGAATCATAAATCAAACGGCTGAGATTAAAAATTGCGAGCACAAGCCAACTTCTGAAAACATAAAAATGTTGCAATTTTTGTATTCTTTTCCATTTGATGGCGAAATATACAAAGAAGGTAGGAAAATAATTCAAAAGGTCGATGGGAGATTTAAAGAATTATTTATCACTAAATTTGAAAAGAAATGAAAAAGTTTTCATTGAGAACTCATGCTGTCAAACGACATGAAATTTGATGACGGAAAGTTAACGTGTTGACACATAATAAAAACATTAATTTGTTGATGATGAGATGGAAAGGAAGGAGAACTGAAAGGTAAGTCAGCTGCTTATAATTGGAAACTTTCTGCACAAAATAATTTAAAAACTGATTTAAAAAATGAACGAGACAACGAGACTCGCAAACATTTTACTCCAATTGCATGATCGATATCTGTTTAAGGCTGATGAGATTCTCGGAATCTGTGAAAAATGAACAAAAAGTTCATCATCATCGGCTTCTCTTTCAACTCGGCTTATCTTAAGACGATCGGCTCGAACAAATAAACACTTTTCACTGATCGTCAATAATCTTCTCGATGCTATTGTGTCAAACTTTTCATTTTCTTCCTCTACTTACACATTGAGTTGCTTGCTTCTGTTCGACCAATTATCTCATCTCAAGCAATTCCTTTCCACTGATGGAAGTTTCAAATTTGTTTTCTTAAATTTTTATTGTTCATCAGTCGCCAAGTGCATCATCAAACATGCTCAACATGTGACGATGTTTTCATTATGTTTAACGACTCTTTGAATGTAAATATTTAGATTTGCTTTAATTTCTTGTTTAATCTTTAACTTATTGTAAACATTCTCACTTTATTAATGAATCAAATTTTCTTTTATCGACGATGACGATCAAAACATTTCATTGAAACGTCAAAAAACATTCAAAACGAGTTTTCTCCCTTTCTGAATGCATAAAATCTCGTGGCAAAGTGAAAATGAATGTTTATCAAGGATAATCCAACATGCAAATAAAATAAAATTGTTAACTGCAACTGACTAAATTCACACAAAACTTTCTGAATTAATTAAGGAAAATATTTTCTAATAAATTCGTTCCTGTAATTGTTATTTGCTTTCCTTACAAATGATCACCGGAAATGACACATTTAGAAATGAATTGTGATGAAAACAAACATGTTTTATTATGAAAACATAAATTAGGCTCCTTTATTGAGTCGTCACGTAAGCTGAACCGTTCATTTATGCGCATAATGTTGAACATAAACCCAACAATTTATGATAATTGTTAGTTAAGAATTTTAAGCTTATTTTGAAATTGAAAAAGCTGACTTTAGGGTTCAAATTTTGACATTGGAATATCAATCAATAATTAATTTTTTTCAGAAGCCAACTAATCATCATTGAAGTGTGAATAATTTCCAAGAAATTCAAATTTCATAAACAAGATCAAGATTGAAGATTCTTAAAGTCAAGCATCAGTTTCATGTCCACGATTCGTGGTGTTTTCACTTCAATGATACTTTCCAGATCAATGACTTGACAACGATTTAATTATTTCGAGATATCAATGACTTAATGCAGGAAGGTGAATAATTAAAAATTAATAAGACTTCAACTGCAACCAGTCTTGTGTGACAATCAAAAAGATTTAATGCGAGTCATCGTGAGATTAAAAAGGGATAAGCATTCTCATAGTTCATCATGTTTAATCCTTCATGTTTCCACCCACTAAGCAACTTCATCTCATCGTTTTGTAATCCATCTTTTGATGATCATTGTTGCGAAACAAATTTACCTGTCGGTTTCGGATTAAAATTCATCATCGAGTGAATCTTGCTTTGTCCAACTTTTTTATTAATTTCGGATTATCTGATGGATTTGATCAAATGTAAAACTAATTTGCAGTTGATTTGTGTCAGATCTCATTTAATTTATGCTTCATGTAGTAATACATAACTTCATGAGAAAAGAAACTGAAACGAATTCATTTATCATCGTCTTAACAGCTTCTAATGTTGTTTCTCAGGTAGCAATTCGAATCATCATCAGGTAATGAAAGGAAGTTTTGTTCAATTCAATTCAATTATTGAAGAAATGAACGAAGTGAACAACAGAACGAGATTGAAGTACAATTGGAACTTTACCTGCCAGGAAGATAAACAAACATTGACTCAAATCTCGCTCAACTAAACAAACTTCGTCAGGAGAATTCATTTCGTCCCTTCAATGCCAGGCCTCGTCTTCTTTTAGAACGAGATTATGTTGTTAAAGTTCNCTGCTGATGGCTGGGTAAACACCAAAGGCAATGCAATCCTCCCGGCATGAATTATTACAATTAATAATGTTGCGAAGAATACGAAAATAAATTGCAACCTCATCGTAAATATTGACGATGTTAACTTGTTGAAAGTTTGATATAAACTGAAATCTTTTTTGAACTTCTTCAGGTAAATTTACGTGAACATCGTCAGCAGATGCAACTTGTGTAACATTTAATAAATCTAACAATAGGATGAACATTTTTGAGATTATCCACGGTTCCATGGTGTGAAACCATGCAAGCAACATGATAGGGTTGAAAAGAGTTGTTCATAAACACTTCCTTCAATATGTTACATTATTAATGATTCTTAATAATGTGACGACACAATTTGGTGTTGCGAATTAAATGTTGTGATGCAGAAAATAAAGTCACAGAATCTGTTACCAGTTTGACTTCTGCAATCATCGATCACAAACTCAAGAATTTAATCCTCTGAAGTTCTCGTGTTTATCATCATTTTCAAATAATCTTAAATCAACTCCCACAATCCATCATCATCCGGATAACTCTTCATCCACTTTCCAAAAATCTGCGAAAATTTTTCTACCCAAAAATTGTTTTATTAATAAAAAAGTTAAACAATCGCATCGTGTTAATGTGATTTCATTTCTAAGATCAATCGATTCTGATCGCTCAATTATATCAATCAGGGAAAGTTCAGATTCGGAACATTTTTTATGGGAAAATTAAAGAGAAAAAATGCGAAAAGTCACTGCAGAAATATGAAAGGGTGTGAAATTTGTCGTTAGAAGTTCCGAATGCAATGAAACAACGAAAGAGAGTTTAGTGACAGAAATTTATTAATAGAGCGACAAGCAGGCAGCATAAATTTATGAGTTGTCAACTCGTTTTTAATGTTGCTTTATTTTTATCATTACATAATGAAATAACATTAAAATGACAAAAAAAAGCGACGAAGTTATTTAACCCTTTAAGGCGTGAATGGTCACATTTGTGAATTAATTTTATTGAAACAAGCAACATTTAGAGACAAGGAAAAACATTTAAATTTGCTTTTTAATCCTGTTTGCTTTCACAAGATATGAGACGAATTCATTTATCATCGTCTTAACAGCTTCTAATGTTGTTTCTCAGGTAGCAATTCGAATCATCATCAGGTAATGAAAGGAAGTTTTGTTCAATTCAATTCAATTATTGAAGAAATGAACGAAGTGAACAACAGAACGAGATTGAAGTACAATTGGAACTTTACCTGCCAGGAAGATAAACAAACATTGACTCAAATCTCGCTCAACTAAACAAACTTCGTCAGGAGAATTCATTTCGTCCCTTCAATGCCAGGCCTCGTCTTCTTTCAGAACGAGATTATGTTGTTAAAGTTCATGTAATTTATAAGGATTTCTTATGGTGCAATGAAGATTTATGACATCGACTGTTGATAGTTCTGAGATCTTCGTTTATTGCAGAAGCAGAAGGAAAAGAAGTTGAAAGGATCTGAAAACGTGCAGGTAGCAACGAAGTTGTCGAAGATTTTCATGCATTGCAAGTCAAACATTTCACAAACGATGAACGACAATGAAACTCAGTCAGATTAAATTGATAATAAAAGCAAACATTTTATTCCAAAAGAGAATCGTGAGTTGCATCAAATGAATCCAATCAATAATAAAAAATAATTCTCGACATTCACTGTCGCCAACTTCCACGATTTCCGACATTTATGTTGTGCTTCGTGTCCTCGAAATCTTTCAGTCTTTGACTGTATCGTTCGAGTTGTTCTTTGAGAATTGCGTCTTCATGTGCACCACGTCGCTCGTCATATTCGAGACGTCCAATGCCGTCGAGTCGCTCAAGATCCAACCATCCACGAAATCTCACACAAACTCCGTTCATGATGAAATGTGACTTGATATGAACCTGCGAAAATATTAAAAACAGAACAAAAACTATTTAGAATTAAGTAGATAATTAAATATCAAACAGAGTTCGTTGTTGACAATCGCAAAAAGTCGAATTTGCGGTCATTTCATAATTGAAGTTAATAGAAAATTGCAACAAATCTTTCAGACTGAAATGTTTGAAAGAATGAAAGCAAAGAAGATAATTGAGAAGCAATTAGGTCGCATCCATTTATCCTTCTCAATTAGTAATTCAATATTTTCTAGCTTCCTTTCAGGTCAATTAAATAATTAAAGTTAATGCTTAACTATCATATGGTCTTCGTATTCATTGTCTCGAATTCAATTTCACTGTGCAGTAATTTTGTGCTTGACTTAATGACACCAAACAGCAATTTAAGGCACGCGATAACACTTGAGAGAAACTTAAGTAGAAGCAGAAATAAAAGACTGAAAATCTCATCGTTTTACACATGTTACCGTTTCGAATGAAAGAATTTGAAACAACAAAGATGTGCGCATGTCTCTTGAAGTGTTTTCGTTTACAAATTGAATGATTCATTCAAAATGGAAGTCTGTGACTAGGGAGATGATGGGGAAAGGAAAATCAATAAATTCATGCTTCGCTAAATGATGATTTGAACTTACTTTTCCATGTTCTTTATCGAAATCTAATTCACGTTCGAAATTTGTCGGATAAGGATGATAAGGAGTGAAGAAAAGCTGGATGTTGATGCCACTAGCGACGAAAGCGATTTCTGTTGAGCCAGCATTGCAGCCACTAGCAAAATGAATTTTTCTTTCTTCCTGAGGTCTGTCACGATGACTTGTGTAACGAATCTGGAAGACGGGAAATCGTTGACAATCAATAAAGTTGAAAATTAAAATTCAAATCACGAAATTCCGATAAATTAATTTACGATCGACCATCAAACGCGTTCTTAACGATGAATCAACAAGATTCATCGTTTAAGTATTTAAAGCGGAAGTTTTATTAACTACGAGAAACGAATTTTATCAACGACAGTCACGTCTGAAATTGAAACTTAATGAACTGATTACAGAAACCATTCGTGGGAAAATTTATGAGACTTCAATTAAAATGCGATAAATTTTTATTACAAAAAGTTTTTATTTAGATTATCAGCATTGCGGAACTGCTAAGTGAGTGAATTATCACTTTTTGCTTTGGAATAATTCACATATCATTGCTGACATTTATCTTATTGTTTGAAATGAAATTAGCTGAATATTTTTTATGCTTCTTTATTTTAAGAATATTTTTCAAAGAAGCCATTCAAATGAAGATAAATTCACTAAGCCCAGAATTTGCTGATATTTTGTGGTCAGAATTTCCAATGAATAAAAAAATCAACAAACACGATTAAAATTCATAAATATCACCGAAACGATAATCAAAAAAGACCGAAATCTATGCCACCAACATTGAGTCACTCTCGGCACAAAGTTAACAAGAACTCTGTTCGATTAGCATAATAACGTCCAGTCGCTCGACTTCAATTAGCGTTGATAGGTGTTAACAACAAATATTGGTTGCTCAAGAATCTTAAAGAAAGTTTTGAATATTTGCTAACAAACTACTTAAAATTCATTGCACACAACAAAGCAGAAATTCCCCGTCGATTATTGATATGATTCATTAGCAAGGTAATTAACGTTTAACATATTTGAATTATGAATCGACAATTTTGAATTTTATTAGTTTTCAAATTTTTATCTTCATTTTTGTTGTGAATATTACGTGACAAGATAATTCAAGAGATTACAGAATCGATTCCGAAGAATTAGCGACATTGAACTTATCCTGTGACGTCAGTAACGCTGACCACAACAATTCTGCTATCCAATTTACTTCATCAACATTCAAAATCATCCAACACAACTCACTTCACTATCTCGACTCAGCTTCCTAAACATATCGTCACTCTCAAACTTCTCCTTCTGATCGGGAATAACTCGAGGCATTTTGAAAATATATCGAGGCTTTGGAGGCTCATATAATCCCATTGTGTCAAATGGAAGCATTCCAGCAAATGCTGGATCGTTCATCATGTTCATATTCATCATTTTCTTTCAATTTAAATTTTTTAATCACAGAATTTTTAATTATTTTATCACTTGCACTTGATTTTTGATTTCTATAAAGATTATTTCTTTTATTTGAAAATTTATGTGTGAATCATTTAATGTACTGTCCAAATGGTGTAACGCATTCAACAGCCGTTTGTACTATGAAGAACAAAAAAAGAAACAGCGAGTTTTAAAAAACGAGAAAGCTCAAACTGAAACTCCACCCATTGAATGTAAGAGAGAAACTAACACTTGCTTACATAAATAAGGAAACATTTGAATGTGTGTGTGTGATGTACATAAGTAAATAAATGCAATCTGCATGTAACTAAACAAGCAGTTATGTAAAAACATAAAAATATCTAACGAAAGGAATCTTAATAAAAAACCATTTTATGTAATTTATGCAGTTTAAAAAAATTATTCAGGTTTGAACTTGAAATTATTGCATTGAGAATATTTTTATTAAATGCATGCTTAGCTACATAAAATATTTAATAATATCATCAATTTACACTTTAAATTAGTAGCCAATAAAGCACAGTAGGATAAAATGAGATGAGATTAGATGCGATCAATATCCAAGCTTGACCATTGACTTCAATCTTCGAACAGTTTCCAAAGGCGTGTGAAGGCATGTCGGGTCAGAATTTTGTGCGGCTTTAACTCATTCACTGACATCAAATGAATCATAAATCAAACGGCTGAGATTAAAAATTGCGAGCACAAGCCAACTTCTGAAAACATAAAAATGTTGCAATTTTTGTATTCTTTTCCATTTGATGGCGAAATATACAAAGAAGGTAGGAAAATAATTCAAAAGGTCGATGGGAGATTTAAAGAATTATTTATCACTAAATTTGAAAAGAAATGAAAAAGTTTTCATTGAGAACTCATGCTGTCAAACGACATGAAATTTGATGACGGAAAGTTAACGTGTTGACACATAATAAAAACATTAATTTGTTGATGATGAGATGGAAAGGAAGGAGAACTGAAAGGTAAGTCAGCTGCTTATAATTGGAAACTTTCTGCACAAAATAATTTAAAAACTGATTTAAAAAATGAACGAGACAACGAGACTCGCAAACATTTTACTCCAATTGCATGATCGATATCTGTTTAAGGCTGATGAGATTCTCGGAATCTGTGAAAAATGAACAAAAAGTTCATCATCATCGGCTTCTCTTTCAACTCGGCTTATCTTAAGACGATCGGCTCGAACAAATAAACACTTTTCACTGATCGTCAATAATCTTCTCGATGCTATTGTGTCAAACTTTTCATTTTCTTCCTCTACTTACACATTGAGTTGCTTGCTTCTGTTCGACCAATTATCTCATCTCAAGCAATTCCTTTCCACTGATGGAAGTTTCAAATTTGTTTTCTTAAATTTTTATTGTTCATCAGTCGCCAAGTGCATCATCAAACATGCTCAACATGTGACGATGTTTTCATTATGTTTAACGACTCTTTGAATGTAAATATTTAGATTTGCTTTCATTTCTTGTTTAATCTTTAACTTATTGTAAACATTCTCACTTTATTAATGAATCAAATTTTCTTTTATCGACGATGACGATCAAAACATTTCATTGAAACGTCAAAAAACATTCAAAACGAGTTTTCTCCCTTTCTGAATGCATAAAATCTCGTGGCAAAGTGAAAATGAATGTTTATCAAGGATAATCCAACATGCAAATAAAATAAATTTGTTAACTGCAACTGAGTAAATTCTCACACAAAACTTTTTATTTTATATTTTATTTATTAAAAGTTTTAATATTGGATGTATGGATAACGGACTGGTGGACCATAAAAGCCCAATGCAACTTGATTGCTAATGCATAAGAGATACTCGTCATGGACCTGACGATGATCACAAATAAGCTTCTTCTGATGTTAACTCGTTTTCAAGAATGTTGTGGCAAAACATCTCATCTAAGCCATCGGCACAATCTTTATTGCCATCACAAATGAAATCTTTTCTGATGAATTTGTTGTCATCGCATCTGAAGAATGCAGTTAAGCTGTTCCACTCAGGAAACACAATGGGAATTGACTGGTACAAATTTCTTGCTTGTGAAAAGCAGACGAGAATTGAAACAAGAATCAGAAAAATTTTGTTATTCATTTTCGCGAGTTGTTGATGATACAAGCAACTGAATTAAACTGCAAATAAAAACTCCGTTCGGTGATTTAAATTAATTTCGATTCTTATCAGTTTTGTTGTTTTGCAAATTCACTTGAATTGTTTACAAGCTTTGATGTTGTTTGACCCGTCAGGTCAGTCAATTGGACGAGGAATCCAAATCAATGATTAATTCGGCGCAGAAGAAAATTCATACTTTGTACGTCACTTTGTATACAAACATCAGCCAACGTGTCGACTACACGTTAGTCGCAACAGAATTTTGTTTCTTTCATCTCTCATCGAGTAAAATACGTTGAACAGAAACAAGGAATGAGAGAAGTTTGATGCATAAAAAATTGATGTAAATGCAAATTTAATTTTCGTTTCTAATTCGCTAAGCAAACATCATAATGAATTTTTATTCCCTGCGTCATGATGATGAAAGGGTTGAAACGATGTCTCAATAAAATGGAAATTTTCACACCTTTTAAGGTTTGTCAGCGTTTCTAGAACTGATTGAGTTGCACTAAGTGAAACTTTCGTTGCTTTGTAGCGACTTCCGAAAGGGTTGAAAGTGTTGCGCAAGCAATAAATCTCAAATCTAATCCGTGACACGCTCAAACCGTTACAAGACTAATCAGTGAAATTACATCAATAAAATCGGTCATAATTCGATCTACTAAAATACTTATTGCCGTTTCAGATCAAATTCTTTCTCATTCATCATAGGCTGATATCGAAAATATTGCTTGAGATGAGATAATTGGTCGAACAGAAGCAAGCAACTCAAATGTGTAGGTAGAGGAAGAAAATGAAAAGTTTGACACAATAGCATCGAGAAGATTATTGACGATCAGTGAAAAGTGTTTATTTGTTCGAGCCGATCGTCTTAAGATAAGCCGAGTTGAAAGAGAAGCCGATGATGATGAACTTTTTGTTCATTTTTCACAGATTCCGAGAATCTCATCAGCCTTAAACAGATATCGATCATGCAATTGGAGTAAAATGTTTGCGAGTCTCGTTGTCTATTAAAGAAGGAAACAAACAATCTCCGATGGTTCATGTTTCAGCTTCTTCAGATTTCTGAATTTGTTTTCGTTTAAATTCGTGAAAATTGAAAAAAATTAGCAGATACTTGAAATGATCGCAATCAGCAGCAGTTCAAGTGCGTGATTGAAAAACTTTTTGGCAACAATTTAAATTTTGATTGTTTAACTCGTCGATTTCTTCCAATTTTGTTCTTTCATCTCACAGTTTCTCACAACCAGCAACTTGAATTCATCCAAATCCAGATTTCGTTTTGTGTTTTCCATAACAAAAGCTTTGAGCAAGAAGAAATTCGTTCAAATTATCCAATCCGTCTTCAATTCTTCTTTTCATCTCAATTGTTGTTACGATCCAACAACTCACAAACAGTCTCCGTTTGAAGAAGAATTAAACAAATGAGATTTCTTAGCTTCAACATGAGCATTCAAAAGAAACATTAAATGAAGCTCACTAAATACTTCAAAACAGATTTTTGTATTTCAGTTGAAATGTTNAAACAGTGCGACAATAGTCGCAATCATGCTGTGAGTTTTTATAAAATCCCTGGAAGGTTTTTCAAGTCTCCCATTGATCTTTTCAATTCCTTTTTTAAAGTTGATGTGATTTAATTATAAAAATTGTGACAGTGAAATTCTTTTTATAAACCAGCAGTTAGTCTACTCCTATTTAGTATGGAAGCTTGTTAGTAACTGTAGTAGGTGTGACTCATTTAAAATCTTTAATTCACTTTTATAACAATCAGCTTGACTATGCACACTTTTTGTAAAGTTCACAAAGGACGGCAGTGGACAATTTGGACATTGATCGAAGCTAATTCTTTAAAATGTTTGACTTTGTTCTTGGCTCTTTATGAAAAAGAAATTAATTGAAAAACACTTCGATTCACCTTTAAAACCTACCCAAGCAATAACAGGAAGCAATTTCCTTGCAACATGATTTTTATCGATTATTTTCTGAAACAGACAAAAAATTCTCTTTAAAGTTTTCCGTTCACTGCCATTTACACTTTTTGCAATTTATCGTTGTGAACGAGTTCAGTGGAGTGAAACATAAACAGAGAAATTGAAAACTTTTGTCTTGTTATTCACGTTTAGTGAACTGCTTCTTCCCTTATGTACTTGCCGATTGACATTGGTTGTGTTTGTGTGAATTGCTCTCAGTAATAAAAATATTTTCAATGGGTGGAGTCGAATGAAAAGCATTAAAAGCTCTTTTGGATTATTTCTCAATGCTTCCGATACTTCGCTTCCTTCATAATATTAACGGCTGTTGAATGTGTCACATCATTAGAATTTATTAACTTTTTTATTTTATAAAAAAATGTGAAAGTTTTCTAAAGTGATTTAAGTCATGAAATTATAAATAAAATGAAATTTTACTAAGAATCAAACCGAAAATTAAGTGCAAGTGATAAAATAATTAAAAATTCTGTGATTAAAAAATTTAAATTGAAAGAAAATGATGAATATGAACATGATGAACGATCCAGCATTTGCTGGAATGCTTCCATTTGACACAATGGGATTATATGAGCCTCCAAAGCCTCGATATATTTTTAAAATGCCTCGAGTTGTTCCCGATCAGAAGGAGAAGTTTGAGAGTGACGATATGTTTAGGAAGCTGAGTCGAGATAGTGAAGTGAGTTGTGTTGGATGATTTTGAATGTTGATGAAGTAAATTGGATAGCAGAATTGTTGTGGTCAGCGTTACTGACGTCACAGGATAAGTTCAATGTCGCTAATTCTTCGGAATCGATTCTGTAATCTCTTGAATTATCTTGTCACGTAATTTTCACAACAAAAATGAAGATAAAATTTGAAAAAATGTTAGAACCAGTGGTATCCAGTGTTGTTTAATATTTATCGAGCGTTAATTATCTTACTAATGATTTGTATCAACAATCGATATTTCTGCTTGTTTATTGAAATGAATTTTAAATAGTTTTTTCTCACAATTTACACCAACAGAGCATGAGATAATAGCTGAGAGTGTTTGAGTAAATAATTTTATGATAAGCCAATTGATTTTGGTCAATAATGTCCAACGTTTAACATGAAAGTTGACTCAAGCATTCAAATGTAGCTCAAAATTGTTGAGATCTTTTCAAACATTGCGTAATTTCAATTACTCATGAAGTTATTGCTAAAATTGTAATTTGACTTGTGAGGTCAGTTGCTTTTGTTGTCACACTAAGCAGATAACTAAAAGAGTTTAAATTCATCTATAACTGGCAATTTTTATCAAAAGAATTTTTTATAAAATTTCCCACGAGAATGTCTTCTCAAAAATTGTTGATAAAATTTTTTCAACTGCACTTAAAAACTTTCAAAATAAAAAGATTAAAATTTTACTTGCAGATTCGTTACACAAGTCATCGAGATCGACCACACGAAGAACGTAAAATTCGCTTTATTAATGGCTGTCGAGATGGTCGAACAGAAATCTCCTTCGCAGCCACTGGAATCAACTTCCAACTCACCTTCAATCCAAATCCAATGATGTATCATCATCATCATCATCTGACGAACTTTGAAAGGGAATTGGACTTTGATAAAGAACACGGAAAAGTGAGTTCACTTTGATCTTTTCTTTAATGATGACCTTAGTGATGGAAATCAATCAATCGTTCTTTGATTGACAACCTCAATAAGCATTCATGTCAGAAAGAATTTGTTACACTAGAATTTCTATTCAGAGATCTGTGAAACTTGCACAATTTCTTCCATATTTTTGCAGAAATTGCAAAATTGTTTCAGGACATGCGCATTAAGTCAGGAAAGAAATTAAAATTGACAATCTAAAGCATATGCTAAGCGCATAAATTTCTTTGCTGTTTGGCATATTAACTATAGCATCGCGTGCCTTTTTAAGTTTCTTCTCAATTGCAGTATTCAATTTGTAATCGAGACATGCTGAAAGTTAAGAAGCATAAAATAAAAGAACAAACAAATGAATTCTGAATATCATCTTGCTTGAAGGCGGCAAAATTTCCAATTGACCTTAACAGAAACATGAAAACAAAGAAGATGGAAAAAGTATCGAATAACAAACAGAAACTTCTTAGTGAAGAAGGGAAAGAAAGATTCTGAAGTATTGTCAATGTGAATGTCGTAATTTCCTAGAAAGAAAAAAAAGTTTCGAACTACAAAGTTTCGTTCAATTATTCCCCTTAAGAACTTAATAACAACTCGCATATGTGTTTCCGATCAAGTAGTGAAAATATTTACAGTTAAATTAAATTCATTTTGTGCAATTGAATTTTCTGCCTGACCGATTTGCAATCGAATGGATCGACATGAAAAAAGGCCAACACAATGTTGAGAGGCGAAGGGAAAATTTGAGCGAAGAGTTCAAAATAAAATGATTTCAAACATCAATAAACCTTTTTTTTTCTGCGAGATATTTAAAAAGGGTGAAGCATTGTCGAGTCTCGCTTTGAATTCAATTCAGTTTAAAATTACTTTAACTCGACAAGGGGTGAAGGTTGGAGGCATCAGAAAGGAAAGAAAAGCATTTAAAACAATTAAACTCCTGCGATGTTTCCTTCCTTGTTCGCTGCTGACTTTTTTCGTGCAATGTTCCAACCCTTTTGCAATTGTCATCAACGAACTCTGTTTGATATTTAATTTCTTAATTCTAAATAGTTTTTGTTCTGTTTTTAATATCTTCGCAGGTTCATATCAAGTCACATTTCATCATGAACGGAGTTTGTGTGAGATTTCGTGGATGGTTGGATCTTGAGCGACTCGACGGCATTGGACGTCTCGAATATGACGAGCGACGTGGTGCACATGAAGACGCAATTCTCAAAGAACAACTCGAACGATACAGTCAAAGACTGAAAGATTTCGAGGACACGAAGCACAACATAAATGTCGGAAATCGTGGAAGTTGGCGACAGTGAATGTCGAGAATTATTTTTTATTATTGATTGGATTCATTTGATGCAACTCACGATTCTCTTTTGGAATAAAATGTTTGCTTTTANCTGCAATGCTGGCTCAACAGAAATCGCTTTCGTCGCTAGTGGCATCAACATCCAGCTTTTCTTCACTCCTTATCATCCTTATCCGACAAATTTCGAACGTGAATTAGATTTCGATAAAGAACATGGAAAAGTAAGTTCAAATCATCATTTAGCGAAGCATGAATTTATTGATTTTCCTTTCCCCATCATCTCCCTAGTCACAGACTTCCATTTTGAATGAATCATTCAATTTGTAAACGAAAACACTTCAAGAGACATGCGCACATCTTTGTTGTTTCAAATTCTTTCATTCGAAACGGTAACATGTGTAAAACGATGAGATTTTCAGTCTTTTATTTCTGCTTCTACTTAAGTTTCTCTCAAGTGTTATCGCGTGCCTTAAATTGCTGTTTGGTGTCATTAAGTCAAGCACAAAATTACTGCACAGTGAAATTGAATTCGAGACAATGAATACGAAGACCATATGATAGTTAAGCATTAACTTTAATTATTTAATTGACCTGAAAGGAAGCTAGAAAATATTGAATTACTAATTGAGAAGGATAAATGGATGCGACCTAATTGCTTCTCAATTATCTTCTTTGCTTTCATTCTTTCAAACATTTCAGTCTGAAAGATTTGTTGCAATTTTCTATTAACTTCAATTATGAAATGACTGCAAATTCGACTTTTTGCGATTGTCAACTACGAACTCTGTTTGATATCTAATTACTTAATTCTAAATAGTTTTTGTTCTGTTTTTAATATCTTCGCAGGTTCATATCAAGTCACATTTCATCATGAACGGAGTTTGTGTGAGATTTCGTGGATGGTTGGATCTTGAGCGACTCGACGGCATTGGACGTCTCGAATATGACGAGCGACGTGGTGCACATGAAGACGCAATTCTCAAAGAACAACTCGAACGATACAGTCAAAGACTGAAAGATTTCGAGGACACGAAGCACAACATAAATGTCGGAAATCGTGGAAGTTGGCGACAGTGAATGTCGAGAATTATTTTTTATTATTGATTGGATTCATTTGATGCAACTCACGATTCTCTTTTGGAATAAAATGTTTGCTTTTATTATCAATTTAATCTGACTGAGTTTCATTGTCGTTCATCATTTGTGAAATGTTTGACTTGCAATGCATGAAAATCTTCGACAACTTCGTTGCTACCTGCACGTTTTCAGATCCTTTCAACTTCTTTTCCTTCTGCTTCTGCAATAAACGAAGATCTCAGAACTATCAACAGTCGATGTCATAAATCTTCATTGCACCATAAGAAATCCTTATAAATTACATGAACTTTAACAACATAATCTCGTTCTGAAAGAAGACGAGGCCTGGCATGGAAGGGACGAAATGAATTCTCCTGACGAAGTTTGTTTAGTTGAGCGAGATTTGAGTCAATGTTTGTTTATCTTCCTGGCAGGTAAAGTTCCAATTGTACTTCAATCTCGTTCTGTTGTTCACTTCGTTCATTTCTTCAATAATTGAATTGAATTGAACAAAACTTCCTTTCATTACCTGATGATTCGAATTGCTACCTGAGAAACAACATTAGAAGCTGTTAAGACGATGATAAATGAATTCGTCTCATATCTTGTGAAAGCAAACAGGATTAAAAAGCAAATTTAAATGTTTTTCCTTGTCTCTAAATGTTGCTTGTTTCAATAAAATTAATTCACAAATGTGACCATTCACGCCTTAAAGGGTTAAATAACTTCGTCGCTTTTTTTTTTGNAACAGCAATCAATGAAAAAAAATTTAACAGTTCAGCAAAGCCAAGTCCATGTTATGTTGATTGCCTTTCGTATTTTTATATTTTTTTGATTGTGAATTGTATTAAAAAATTTATTAATGGAACTGAAGGTGCTACGAACTTCCTGATGGGATTGCGTTGTGTTGAAGAAAGAGACAAAGCAGTTTCGCTTGGACTCACTTCGGCAATCTTAAAGTTTGGCGCTGTGATTCCAAGTCCAATCGTGTTCGGTTATATCTTTGATCGTTCTTGTATTTTATGGGGTCAAACTTGCTCGAAAAATGGTAATTGTTGGCTTTATGATAATGACGTCATTAAATATACATTTAATGTAACTGCTGGAATTTTCACTATGATTGGCACATTTTGGGATGTTGGGACTTGGTACTACGCAAAAGATGTCGAAATATTTGATGCTGAATTAAAGGATGTGAAAGAAAGTGACGAGAAATAAAGAGTTGACACAAATTATATTTCTTTTCTAAATTAAGCACAAATATTTTACAATGCAAATCTTTCAGTGCACTATTTACTAGCCTGATTGACGCCGACTAATATTTTGCATAGCAAAACTTGAGATTGTTTGGCTGTCAAGCAAATTTGCTCGACCAAAAAGGAATTCATAAAATTTTGAGTGAAGCACAAGAAACATTGCTACTTCTATAGGAACACAACGGAAACTGAACTACTAAAAAACCATCTTTGGATAGATTAATAAATTTAAGTCTTATTTGTGTTTGTTCTCGAATTATATCAAATAAAACTAAAAGGGGTCTTGTGAAGAACGATAAAAGAAATTAGTTTCATTTGCATCTGTTTATTTATTTTTCTTTGAGCTTAATTAAGATTGATGATTTCTAAGATTCTTTTCTACTCTTGGATTTCTTGTAAATTACGGAGGCCCCACCCTAGGGTGACGGGTAACCGTATTGGATTTACGCAAAAATTTCAAAAAATTTTCTTTGCTTAATTACACTTAAAATGACTTGAAACGTCGAGAAAAGTGAAAAAAAACGAAAAAAAAAATTTGTGTCCGCTTTCGGGTCTGGATGGATGTAGACACTCACATTTCTACATTTCTTAACCAAAGTGTTTTAAATACAAATAGAAAGTTTCTATCAAATTATGGGGTGTGTACCTTTAATATTTCGGGTACCTGCCATACAAAGTTGCCCTTTTCCTAGCGAAAAAA